TGAGAATGTCTAATTTCAGAAGATAAGCAGGGTTGGGCCTGGTCAGTACTTGGATGGGAGACTACTGGCCACAGCCTCACTTCTATCAGTCTGACCTAGGGTAACTGTGGCTACAACAACTTACCATCACTAGATGTGGAGTGAATGAATAATGCAATGCAAAGCACTCTTTGAGTGTCCATTATAATCTGAATGCATTATTTTTAATGCCACTAACACTAAACTGGAAAGTCATTTACAAACCATGGACATTTTAATGAATCCAACATAAAGTGTGGTAAATGCTATGTAATTTATTGTACCTGCGAATGTGAATTGTACCTGTATCTACTGGCACACAAGACTCTAGTTTTGCCTCATTCTCTTTTATTCTGTCAAATATCATGTACTGTCAAACCTATACCCACACATTGGTCATACAAAACATGTTACATATACACCAGCATAAGAGAATTCAAAATGACATACCTCTGTCCATTGCCCATTGGTCTGTACCATGAGGATCACACAGGGGTCGGACTTGTTGAGCGTGTCCCGATCCAGCAGAGCCTTACAGGACACGCGCAGCTCCACTTTGGACACACAGGTAGCCGGGCCACTCAAACCAGTCGCTGGGGAAGTGGCCTCCTGGATGTCGTTCATCTTGGCTCAGAGTTCAGAGGAGAGCAGAGACGAGCCAAGTCAAGTGAAGCAGGGGGTCCGTGGAGGGATCTCACTGAAGATGTGTGGAGGCTGCCTTTTATGACTTACATGTCACAGAAAGAGAGAGTCCCATTAAACCCCAAGAGAGAAAAGCTGTTATGGGAGGAATCACCTTGAGAGGCATATTATCTTACCTCAAGACATGAAGGTTGCGTTATTGGAATGTTGAAGTCAAATTGTTGCATCAGTGGATTTTGGACATACATGTATCACTTTTCATTAGGGCTGTGAAACACATGTTAGCTAATTGGACATAATGATCTATCAAAGTAAACAACAAACAACACTATCAAGTTATTTATTTATTGTAGAATTATCTTACAGTTTGCTGTATTTAAAATGCCAAAAATCTCCAACAAGGTACCTCATTAAAGCTTTTAATTAAACATTACTTAGACTAATAATGACATGCTAAATAGACTATAAAAATATAGATAGTTGTAGATGTGGCTTACAGTTGAAGTGGACCAAGTAATGTGTCCTTGAGCAAGACAATTGTGCGTCAGATTGTGCTCCGATAAACCGACCCAAATGACAAACAACACGGTTTTCTGCAGCGTTTCAACCTTACGTGAACATTTAGCACCATGGACAGCGCCCTGTGCTTTTGTTCGGCTTTAAACATTTTACACTACTACAATACAAACGTTTCCTCAGCTTCAGAGACAAGGAAACTATCAAATTGGAAACAGTAGTAAGTAAATAAATTATAGTTAAAGCTACAAACCTACAAGTTAAACCAATGAATTAGTGAACTGACATGCAATAAAGTCGTATTGACGCTACTTAATCAGTAGAATTACTCACATACCCTCACTACAAGTCAAAAGGTTAACTTCGCGGTAAAACAAAAGTCCCTCTATACCTGTCCGTGGATGCTCTTGAAGGTAGTGCACTTCTTTAGCGGTGCCACGCTGGATGATGCTGTCCGCTCAAACTCATGGGCTCGACTGCTGAGGAGGGAGCGCGCTCTGGGCGGAGGAGAGTGGAGACAGTGCACTGTCGCTGATGTAAGCCGCTGCTCCACACTCACACTCTTTTGATAGTTCAGTAGTGAATCTGGCGCACCGAGGCTAGTGGTCTATAGATAAAAGTTACAGTTCCCTCAATACAGATAGACTATTACTATTACTATTAGACTATTACTACTATTACTATGCTTTAAATGCTATCTCAGTAGCCCATTAGACTATCACGTATTTGAAGTCCTAAGGGATCACACAGGTGTGTATAGAGATTGTGTGGATTTATTTGTACTACAGATACCCAGGGCAGTTTCATTACATGCTTTAGTAGACCTACGAGGAAAGGGTACACATGCACTGCACACAGACATAATCCAGCTGTTAGATCATCTGTAAATAGCCCATTACTTAAAGACTGACTGGTTGCATAATGCATTGTTCTCTCTTACAGACCGCCCACTAATGTATAGTTTTCATCAATGTATTTCTAAACATTACATAACATTTATTGAGCAACAAAATAGCTCCAATTTCATCAAAGCATCCAACAGGAAGATATTTATTTATTATTAGAAGTCCTACTGGTACAGTTTCACAGGTAAACCAGTGCCAGAGCTGTTTAATTCCATATCTCCGCATTGCAGTTAATATAAGTGATTTAATGAAAAGCTTTGAAATAACAAGCGTCCTTCAGAGACAGGAATATTTTTATCATTACTTTGCACCTTTACATTTGTGTTTGATTTTTGAAGAACAAAGAAATGTTTTACAAGCTTTTAAGTGGTAGTGTGAGGCTTATTTGGCTCTATTAACTATCTGTTTGATGATCATCAGATTATCAAACCTTTTACCAACACTGTAGAAGTGTCAGTAATGAGACATTTATGCCTGCAGCATCTCATATTCTGCATTACTCTAACTGCCACTGTCTTGTGCATGTTCACCCTCACTGCCTGTTTGTTCATGGGTGCTCCAAGTAGAAAACCCCTGCTTTGGGGAACACACCTGAGCCCAGTTACGCCACAACTCAAACAACTGCCATCTGCTGCTGTGTCAGAGTAGCACCCCACAGGACACTCATCTTTACACATGGATTAGCCACTCCAAATCTCCCACTGACTCTCACCTGTGGCACTAGTTTAGATAAAATATATTAATTTGCAACAGTCACTTAGCACTTACACTTGCAAAAACACATGTATCATTTATAAATATCAGGTCAAAATTGAGTATGCCTCAGTAGCACAGACCAAAAGTTCAATAGGAATTTGTAGATGTAAGATTCCACATGCTGCTGAATCACAGCAAATATTACAAGGCACAATTTTTTTATTTATATATTTATAACACCTGTTGAAACCTAATTTCTTGAGTACTGTCAATAAGCATTAACAAGACCCGACATTTTAAAAATTATACAAACCACTATTCATTTTTTGAGTTCTAGTGACTGACTACTGAGCTGTTTCAAAAGGACTCTGAAATCCTAAACCTGCCTTTACATTGTTCACCTTAGCAAGTTCAAAATGCTGAGGTGAGGATCCAAACAAAACTGTTAAAATGGGATAGCCACACTTTGATTTCTGATTTATTGGAATATCATGACTGGCTTTTGATGTAATGTAGACCAAGACTATGTTATAACCTCTCATGTAAAATTTTAGCATTTAAATATCCCTTATATCAGTGCATTACTTGACAGCGCATGACAAGAATGAATGGGACCATCCATTAAGAGTCTGAGCTATAAAGTGCAAGTCATTCTCTAACCAAAACAATCTGACTGGCCATTCACCTTCATTAACTGAATTATTTATTTGCATTTGGACTGTCTGAACACAGGGGACACATTGGAGGCAAAGACAAGGGCAAAAACAATTTTAAGTTGCTTGAATACAAGCTGGCAAGTTGGCAACTGAATACATTTAAATTGTGCAAGGCATTAGAACATATACCTCAAATTAAGAAAACTGCAAATGTGAGATTTTAGTTTCAACCAAAAACTGAAAAGCGATTTGAAAGCAATCTGCACCATTTAGTAGGAACACTTGCTTCGTACACGTAAAATCATTAACCTGGCAAAGACAGTCAAGGTTAACAACCTTCTACAATTTATGAAACTGGGGGTTAAGACACCCTTGAAATGTGAAGCATTAAGCCATTTTGCAGCTCTGCTGCCATCTATTGGAGTCATTAGAAACATACACATACATTTCAATGCATTTAACCAAAGCAGAAAAGACAAAATCTCCATAAGATATTTTAACAATTTATTCTGCAAAGTGTTATGATCATTTTCACTTCTTTTTCTCCACATCCTGCTCTGCAGCTTCCTTTGCTCTCTTTGCACGAATACCAAAAAGACGTGCATTGGCACGAGCCATACGCAGGCTGGCAAAAGCCTTGAAGTTCTTCTCATCTTCTGAGATAACACGGGCCTTCTCTTTCTTGTGCATCTGAGGGAAAACAAAAAGACAATCATGAAGTCATTATTTAAACCAGATTAACAAAAATGTGTTAAGTACAATTCAGATAAACCTCAATTTTACCGTTTTGATGGGCATAACAGGACCAGAGAGTTGAGTAGCCATTTTAAGTTCCTCCTCCTGTTTAAAAAAAAAAAAGTGAGATTAAAACTGTTCCTCAAATTTCAGGTTTTAAACACATTTTAGGAGACAAAAGTAGCATCTACCCCAACAAATGGCTGCTGTAAAAATATGAATAAGAAAAAAATACATTGGCATAGTGCAGGGATCTCCAACCTTTTGCATCTGGTTTGCTACCTTTACAAAATAAAAATGCTGGAGAGCCACTCATTTTAGTGGTCGCAACAAACTGACTCGATATAAGAGGGCAAGCCTTAGTGTAGTACAATCAGATGCCTATAAAACCTCAAACCATTAACTATTTATTAGAACACAAAGTTCAAAATAACATTCACAGTGGTAATTAATCAAATTTGAGTTATTCAGTACAATATGTATAATTCAGAAATCAATTGGCGAGCTGCTTGTAAGGGAGTGGGAGACCACTGGCATAGTGGCACTAACTTCCAATGACCAGGCTTTGAAAATGTGCTTGACCACGGTCTACTCACAGTGCTGTCTCCTTTCTTAGGAGCAGAAGCCTTCCTGGGGAACAAGATGAGCTTGGAGCGGTACTCCTTTAGACGCTGCACATTGGCCTGAAGAGATTCTGTGGATCTGTTACGGCGTCGAGGGTCAACAGCAATGCCAATGGTGCGGGCAGTCTTTTTGTGGATACCAGCCGCCTTTGGAAAGTAAAAAGACATTTAATTTGAAATGTACTGCTCATTTACACCACAACATGGCAAATCAGTACATTAAGCAGTCATCAGAAAAGGGGTTCAACAGTTTTCATCATGAAAATACAGAGATTCCGGAGATGTGTCATCATTTGACTGCTATAGGCATTTTGAAGATTTGATGCCTTTAATCCATCCCTCTTTTGGAATTAGTCACTGATCCAGCTTTTTCAGTTCAAACAACAATAGTGTTGCTTCAAGTATTAGAGACCCGATACTAACAGATACCAGTACAGAGACTGAAATATGCATTTAATTCCTTAAGTAACAGCTCCATAACACATCTGGATCAGTTTTATCTCTTTTTGTTTTAACCCTCAACAGAATAACTTTGTACAAATCTAAATTCAAACATTTTGAGACTTTCTGGGACAATTACAAACCAGGATATTGGCTGAACCAATATTTTGAACCTGATGTCAAGTACAGCTAATATCAGTGCTATATATGATAGGGACGCACCGATCCTGTTACCCTCTAATTGGAAATGGTTAACAGGTTTTAATTTATCTCCACATTTAAAACAGTAATACAAAATAAAAATAATAAATCTTTAATAGCTCAAACAATATATTAACATTAGAAACATTGATACGTTTAAGTTTAAACATTCACTTTAGCCTGATAGCTCTCCAAAAACAAGAAGTTTACCTTGAGCTCCTCAAGAGTGAACCCACGTCCAGCGCGAACCTTGGTGTGATATCTCACTGTGGGACATCTAACCTGAGGCCTCAAAGGTCCAGCAACAGGACGAGGGGCGATACGCCGAGCCTTAGCCTGACGGGCTTTTTGCCTGATTGAAAAGGGGGGAATAAATTGAAAACCAAGAATACATAACAGGATTCAACATAATTACACCAATAAGGGGCCTGTTATTAACCAATATGGAAGTCCCATTATCCAATAATGTGACTCGTTACTAAAGCATTTAGCACACTAGTAACAAGCTTTATCCTAAAAAAGCTAATCCTTCCCATCCACCAATGTAGCTGGAAGACAAATACAACTCTGTCGTGGCTAATGTTATTAGCAATCTGCTGCCCCATGCGTCTCTTCCAACGCTTACCTGCGGATCTTTCTGGCTGGCTGGTTGAACCATGTGCGCACTCTTTTTTGCCAGTCTTTGTGAAAGTGGGGATTCAGGATCATTCCATTCCGGCTGGGGGCCATGACTGCCTACTTCCCTGCAAAAACCAGACACTGACATGAGCTAGCTGGCTGACATGCCGGCACACACATCACTCGATGCGTAGTAAGGCTAATAAGCTAAAGCAAGCTATTATGTGAGTTTAGACAGAACAGAGCTGAACAGCCCTTAGAAAACACGAGTCGGACACCAGGCTTTGCGCTGGTAGAGAAAACACATTTTCGTTAAAACACAAAAATCACTAAAACGTCAACACATTTGCTAGCCACGAAATGAGAGGGTCACTCGTAAAACAGTTATCTATACTACGGCTAAATAAAAGCATTATGTGTGACAAGAAATACTTTTTCAGACGACCGACAACGCTTGCAATTGTATACTGTGTGTGACGCCTTCTAGCACCGCTTAATTGTGGAGGATTGCTAAAGATTGAACAAAATTGTTGGAGAAAACGGCACAGTACCTACAAGGGAGGAAAATGGCCGAAGGAAAAAGGAAGTGACGACGCTGTGGCTCGTGGGTTATGTATCAGCCAGCCAATCACTGAATCTGTCTCGTGCGTTCAGTCTCGGTTTACAGCGGATTTTGCTTTATTCTTTTAAACTCATTATTATTTAACTTTCGGATAATGATACATGAAAAACTTCGTGGAAACGTTTAACGCTCCAGATGCTCTTGAAAGAAATTCAGCAACCAATGTTATTTCAGTCAATGAATCAATGTCAGTTACCAATAAAGTAACAAGCAGGTGGTGGACCCTATTTCAGTGCTCCTTTTAAAATGTATAATAATTAGGTCATATCAAGTGCACCTTTAAAGTAGCATCAACAGAGGCACCAAACTATTCAGTCAAATAGTCTCTGTCACAATATTTAAAAGGTTTAGATTTATTTCGATGTCTAATGCATAAAATAATTTTATAATGAAGATGATGTCTGTCATTTGTAATTTGCAGAAAAAAAAAGTTTCATTTTTGATGATATGGATATTTTCTAAATTTTTATTTTTATTTGTAAACACCAGACACTAAATATGGTGGTTCATATGAACTGTTATACTTCATTAATCATTTATCCTATCTCAGCAAATCTTCCACTGGGGGCAAAGGGCAAGGTGGTACTGTGCTAGTACAATGCAAGAAAGGGGTAGTCATGCATACAAGGGACACGCATGTGTTGATAAAAAAGAAAAAAGTTTATAAGGTCTAAATTAAATACTTTCCCCATTTATAATAACAAAAAACAGTAGGCCTACCTCTATTGTTTCCAGCAAAAATACTACTATTGAGAGTTACAGAAATGATTTAGCCTACTTCAGTAGTTTCAGAATCAAAATAAATACTTCAGACATGTTTAGAAGCTGGGTTAGTAAACATGTTTATATTGCTTAGTGGTTCACATGTTTGGCAATTAGAGGTTTACAACATCAACAGTCTTAATCCTCAAGTGACTTAACAAATTTATCATATGCAGGTTGATCCATGAGACCATCAAGTTCTTCAGGCTTTTCAATACTCATCTTGATTAGCCATCCTATGAAAAGAACATTTTAAATCAAATTCAATTGAAAAACAGAATATAGCAATTGTTAGAAGCCTTCCTCATTGTTTTTTAACTCATAAATGAGTATGGACATACCTTCTCCATAACAGTCTTTGTTTACAAGTCCGGGGTTTTCTGCCAGCTCTGTGTTGATTTCAGATACTTTGCCTGTGAGTGGTGAGTATAATTCACTGGCAGCCTTTACACTCTCCAAAGCACCAAATTCCTCTAAAACACAAATGAAAATGAGAATTATGTTTCTGCATACCAAAGGTCTACACATACAGTATACATACCCATTTGTTCAAGCTTTTGGCCAACTTCTGGGAGCCCACAGTATACCACATCCCCCAATGCTTCCTGCAATAACATATTTAAAAGGATTGTTTCTAAATATAACAAGTATAATGAGTGATATTGAGTTATATGCAGTAGCATTGTGGTTAATAACTACTTTAAGACTTTTAGCTGAGTTGCACATGTTATCAATGGACCCAAACAGTCATAAAACATTCTTCTTACTGGTACAGTAAAACAGAGAACAAAGGGCTGTACAAAAGTTCATCTACTTGAGTGGATATCTAAAAACAGATAGGCCAACTCAAGAGGGGCCCCCTGAACAGAGCAATAAAACAATCATTACAATGACATATCCCCTAGAACATACCTGGGCATAATTACTGATGCCAACAGTGCCAATGCTTCCCTCTACTCGCACCCATTCATGTTTATCTGTGAACTTTAGAGCTGTGTGGAAAACAAAGATGTTTATTAGTAATAGACAGATAAAGTGGTAGGCTATATTTGGCTCGTTCAGTTTTAGCACGATAAAAACTAGTTTGAGCAGTGTGCAACCAAATGACTTACTGTGATGCCCAGAGGAAAAACTATGCTCCATATTGCCAGAGCAGAGCTTCCCAGGAAAACTAACAAGTTTAAACTAGTGTTCATTGGCCTGCTATTCACAGCTTAATACTACTATTAAAATACTCCCTGCCGCCAGTTGTATTTCTAACAAATCCGCCATAACTCACTGTCAGAGCCCATTGTAAAAAACAAAACAAAACAAACTTATTTGTTGCTTCCACAATCACGGGACTACTAAATACATACAAGCAATTATGACTAGAGTAGTCCACTACAGAAAAACATAGTTTTGGAATAGCCAAAGCAAACACGTGGTTACGTTTATGAGAAATAAGCAGTACGTTTTCTCACACCTCTGCACCACTGAGGCAAAATGACAACCAGAAGTTTTGCAGACAGGAATCCGGTCATTCCACATGTTAAACGCGGCAGCTTCACTGTGAAAGCAACTTTTACCAAGTGCCTTTTACCTGTGGACAAGGTCGAGCTGGAGCTCAGCGCCCGCGATGAGTCGCTCCTCAAAAGCAGGCGAGCAGCTGAAAACTGCGCTGTCGGCAAGGGCTGAACGAGTCTGGAACACAAGTTTACAGACAGGCTTCGCAATGCTGCTCTCATCGCCATCTTCTCTGTTTGGCCACTCTTTAAACGAGTGCACACATACACTTGGCCACGGGAGCGCGCACCATCTCTCTCTCCGTCTACGGAGGGCGTACTTGCTCTCACTATTGCTCTAATTGAGAGTGCAGCAGATCTTTAACAAGGGGTTGCACTAACAAATGTGCACATTGACCAGCCACAACAGTTATAGTGAAAGAAAGATCACAGTATAAATCCATATAAAGTTATAATCCGTTTATTTAATTTTGGACAAAGCAATATTCAGTCCGATAAAAAAAGTTTGCATGTGTTATAATAAAGCCCTACTTTCAGACCATCAATGATTTTTTTGTTCACAATCCAGGAGATTTTGCAATTAAGTTTTTGTCAAAATAATAATAAAAAGACATTATTGTTATAACCATGTGGTGTACTTCCCTCGAAGAAATTTAAGAACTAAACCCTGGACATATACACATGAATAAAACAAAGACTGCAGCGGTTCCTATTGACCATCAGTGAGGAAAAGTTGGATCTTGTTGCAGTGAAGCTGAGGTGTCAGACTGAAGTGCCCTCTGCAGGTCCTGAGACCTTGTTGTCATCTGGCTTCATAGCAGGGAAGAGCAGCACCTCCTGGTGGACAAAATTAGAAAGTATGTTACTGAAAGAATTGCAAAAGGGGAATTTGAAATAATCCAGTAATGTACTATAATCAACCATTTGTCTTCAAAAGTAAACTTTAATAATATTCACACTCTCGTCTGTTTAAATTAAGCCAGACGTTTGAGTGTACATCATGTGAGCTATAAATACAAATTGATTAACTTGCATTACAAGGATGAAGAAGTTAAGACATTTGATATGTATCCACCATTTAGAAGCCATAGTGTTGTACAAGCCAGTCCCAGTTTACATTCTAATCAGAAAATCCACAATATTGAACAGCCCTCTTTTCAATGCTTTCACAAGGTGTGTAAAAAGCTTTGAAATGCTTGAACTGTATTTTCCTAAATTGATATACGATAAGGTCATCTCTGTACTTATGATCATGGTGGATTTACCTTGATATTGTTTGAGTCAGTGAGGAACATGGTAAGACGATCTATTCCCATGCCCCAGCCAGCTGTAGGAGGCAGACCATATTCCAGTGCAGTGCAGAAGTTGTCATCTATAAACATGGCTTCATCATCACCCTCAGCTTTAGCCTGTTACAAGCAAAGTTGCCAGTAAAGTTTGACCTGATATAAGGTATTATTGCATAGCAGGTGTATCAATAACCTACCTTGGCTTGCTGCTCAAACAACTCTCTCTGTCTAATAGGGTCATTCAACTCCGTGTATGCATTGCAGATTTCTTTCTTCATGACAAACAGCTCAAAACGCTCAGTTAAGCCCTTTTGAGACCTATGCCTATGACCAAACATCACATTGGTCAGAATAGCTTCAATAATATTTTAAATAATTCAGTAAATATTTATGTACCATTTAGCAAGAGGGCTCATGATTTGAGGATGATCACAGATGAAAGTTGGGCTGATGCACGTCACTTCAAGGAAATCACCTACCAACTACAAGAAAAAAAAATTAGCATTTCAACTAGATATACCTTGCTGATCAAAAAGGCATGAATGAAAAAAAACACCTTGTCAAGAAGACGTGCTGTCGTTCTTGGTGGTGGACATTCGACTCCCTTTTGGGCACACAAGTCATCGAAAAATTTTCGTGTCTCTAAACAAGAAAAACAAGTTAATCAATGTCACCAAAAAAGGAATACTCAAACAGACTTAAAAATGGAGGATATGAATGATTTAGTCGATTATGATGATACTTGCCGTCAGAGTCGTAGGAGTCAGTAGGTGGGAATTTGACTCCCATAATCTTCTCAAGATCATGTGTCATGCTCACTCTTCTGAATGGTGGGGTAAAGTCAAGTTCAAAGGCCTGACCCTCTGGACCATCAGGGTGATAAGTTACTTTGTATCCTCCGGTGATGTGCTTCACCATTCCTAAAGGAAAGGAAAAAAAAGTAAGCAGAAAATAAAAAAGTATTAAAGGTCCTGTACCTGATTTCTTCACACATGTAAGAAACAAATTTGTCTTGCTCCAGTATCCTGGATAAGGAATTCTCAAGGTCAAAATAAGTCTGCTGTGTGCTGTCTGTATCCAATTTTAAAGAAGTTGTATTGTCTGATAATCAGGAAGTGCACTTGAGCAAGCTAATTGCCCTGTACTTGTCTCTGAGAATTGTGAAAAGCACTAATAAACTCATTGTGGTAAATAATTAGGATCTTTTTAAAACAATGTGATTGGACCACTGCAAACCAGGCTAGTTCTTTTCTTCATGTTTTTAAAGCCTTAAAAATGACAAAAACAGGTTTCTAGAACAATTTCTGTTTGGTTTCTTACCTGAGAGGAGTTTCTCTGTAATTTCCATAAGGTCGTAGTAATCTGCATAAGCCATGTAGAACTCACAGGTGGTAAATTCTGGGTTATGGGTAAGATCAATACCTTCATTTCTAAACTGACGGCCAATTTCATAAACTCTGTCCATTCCTCCAACTACAAGCATCTGTGGAAATATAGATTTATAATGTCTACCCTTTATTAAAGATGTCCCATTCTAACATGAAGAGCAATACATAAATATAGAGCTATATATTGTAGTAGTAATAATAGCAGTAGTAGGAATAGTAAAATATGAAAATCACCTTATGATACAACTCTGGAGCAATTCTCATGAACAGATTCATATCTAGCTCATTGTGGTAAGTAACAAATGGACGGGCGACTGCACCACCAGGAATAAGGTTCATCATTGGGGTCTCAATCTTGAGGACACAAACAGAATAGTAGTTTGTGCTCACAATTATAACATATATTTAGTTACAGATCATTCCATGTTTTGTTATATAATTCTTTACCTCTAAAAATCCCATCTGGTCCAGAAAGCTGCGCAGATAAGTAATAATCTTGGCACGCGTTAAAAACTTCTGCCTAACATAGTCATTCAAGATCAAATCCAAATAGCGCTGACGGAATCGTGTTTCCTAAAAGATACAGAAAGAGTTTAACCCAAGCAAAATTTTTTAGATATTGAGATTAGAAGATGATAAGAATATAAATCTAGTTAAGACAAAAAATTCATGGTATGAAGCCCAGCATCGTATGACCAATCATTACCATAAAAATATTTTGTGGCTGGCCACTAGAAAACATTAATTACAGTATACTAGACACAAAAATTTACATTTGTCTAAGAGTATTAAATTGGGCTTAAATAAATCAGCAATACCTTGTCTTTGAGGCCAAAGTGAAGGTGAGGCAACATGTGTAAGCACGGTGACAGCAGAGTCATTTCAATGGGAACGATGCTCAACTCCCCTTTTTTGGTTTTTCCTGGATTCCCACGAACACCAATGATGTCGCCACGCCGAAGCTTGTTGTTAATAGCAACAAAGTCCTCTTCGGACTTGTAGTTTCTGGTAGTAAAAACAAACAAAATAAACACTGAAAACTAACTGAACAAATTTAAAATTTAAACTACAAGTATACTCATAGTTTTTGTTTTGGTCACTGGTCAAATAATAATGAAACTGATGCAAGTTCTATTTTATTGCATTAATCTATCTAATAAAGCCTACTCCTAGTACATATAGTTGAGCAACGATAGTTCACAATCATCATGTAAAATTATATTACAACACAATTACAATTTATCTTTTCTGCAAATGGACAATATACCTTGAGTTTGCCATAACTTGCAGCTTCACCCCTTCCCCTCGTAGATCATAGAAAAGCAGTTTAGCACCTGATGCTCTCTTAGCATGGACTCGGCCTGACATTGACAAGAAGTGAGATAACATTTTTTGTAAAAAAAATTAAAATTACACTTACTCCAAATGGTGCATACCAGATACATTCAGGACAACATCAGACAGCTGGTCCCCTGGTTGCAGATGGTTATATTTTTCAATGAACTCAGTGAGAGACAAGTCTACATGATACTTGTGAGGATATGGGTCCTCTTCAGTGCCCTTTAGTGCCTGGATTGCTTGAGTGCGAATCTTGAAGTATTGCTAAAAATGCATTTAATTTGACATCGCTCATGTTAAATTTAATCAATTTGGTCATAACAGTACACTATATGACGAATAAAAGTGAAAGTAAACCTTACATTTGGGTCCAGTGATTCTTCATCCAACAAATTATGGGCGTCATTGTTAGTTTCCTTCTTTTGTTCCACGTTTTCCTTGATTTTAGCCTCTTTCTCAGCTGCCTTTTTCTCAGCTTTCATTCGCCTCTTCAACTCACTGATCAGAAAAGAGCAAAAACAATTAAAACAAATAAAGGAGATAATACATTTCTCAATGGGAACCTGTGAAAAATCACTTTAAGCAAACAATGGAGATGATACAGCACTAGTGACAAAAGGTTGGCAGTATTTCTCATTATGACAGAACAGCCACCAACCTTCTGTCACATTTCCATCGATTCCCACAGATTTGAGCGGGCCCTGCAGTTGCACATGGGACTGCATATTTTAACCATTGCCCATTGACCCCAAAGGCTTGGCACAGCTGCTGTCGGGCTACTCTGACCACAGACAGCATGCTGGCTACAAAATTCAGCAGACAAACCTGGGAAAATAGATACACGCTCACTGTATAAGGCTCAAGCAGTAATGAACTGTCTTGCAAAAACGCGAACTGAAATGTATAGGCTATAAAAAGACCCTAAAGTACAATTTTGCATCAATGACCACATCGGCTACAGGGCAAGCATTAAGAAAATCAACTCGAACAACTGAAAGGCAATTGAACTGTAAATGTCACATTTCGACCCATATACAGGCTATGCAAATATAGACTTTGCCACATACATAAAACTTTAAAATCTATGGCCAGTAAAGATTTAAATTCATGCATGCGTTGATAAACTAGCTAACATTTGTAGAAGCGAAACGAAAACGTGGAAAGAGTATCCCTTCAAGTGGGTTTTGGATATTGTAGTTTCGAAACGTGTTAAAATAAATGAAGAATATCGGAAGCAAAGCCCAAACAAAACTACATCAACCATGATCACAACCACAAGGACTTCTGGGAAAAGGAAACCATATGGAGCCCGCGACTAGTTGAGGTACTTCAACATGATGTAACATCCTGTATAGGGTACTTTAATTCACATCACAAGAATACAAAAGCTCCTAATGTTGGTAAGAATGTTGTTGTGGGTGAATTTGAGAAAAAAATATTTAACTCGCTCACTTTTTGCTGAGTTTTTCCCCGTCCGCCGCTGTCACTTCTGCCATGATGGTGCCGCTCACTGCTGCTGCTCGACGGAAGTACGCATGCGCCTAAGGCTCATGGCCGAGTTCGATTTCTCCTCGCTTCCTCTAAGCGTCTTCTCTATGAATACAGCCTACTTTATCTCTTCTGTGGGCGGGGTTTAGGAGGTAAGTGAACTAAAATGGGACGCACGTAAAACCAAAGTGTTCAATGAACGTGGACGAGTGAAAAAGTTCCGAGTACATCATTCCCAAATCACAGGATGATATAATGTATATACCGTCTATGTTCCCAATATGGACTAATGTAAATAGCACCACACTCTAACACCAATTCAACTGTATGTAATGGCAATATTTAGGAAAATATTTTTGGTAAATGGAATGATAAAACAATAATTTTATGATGTAGTAGTAGGCTATGTTTAATAGAGCAAATAAAACACAAACACACAACAACATAACAACAGTCATCAACAGCTGTATGCATCTCGCTTGTTCCATTGACTTAAACATGTAAGCTATTTATCCCAATTGCTGCAATTGCTGAAATCCTGTAATGAAAACTGTACAATGTAAGGCTTGCAAAGATTGCTAACCAGTTCTTTCTTAATGTACTGCAAGGCTTAAGGATTAAGGTACATTCGCTGTTGTCATTGTGTGAAAAAAAAAAAAGAAAAAAAAAATAAAAAACAATCCTATCACATAGTGATCATCACCAAGATACTGGAAATCAAATTTATGTAAAGGTATATCATTTTTCTTTATAATAATTACCGCTTTGGTCAGAGAAATAGCAAGTATCATTAAGCAACATGACAACAATTACATAAAATATTAATGGAATTAAAATACTGTAGGCCTGTCACATTTCTTTAAGACATACTGAAGATAATAAGAGCCAATCAGAGATTTTATAAATTAATTAATTATAATAAAATTATTATTGGAAACGTTTTGCACAAATAAATTAGACTTAAAAAAAAACCTACAACAATATATAGTAAAAAGGTTTAGATCTAAAATGTACAATAACATTTTAAAACACTGGACACATTCAATCCATCATGGGTAAATAAAAGCCATTTCCAGTAGCCCTTTTCTAAGGCTTTCTTTAAGAAAAAGGCACCGTAAAGGTGTCTCTGTGAGAAACCGTGACAGTGACTGAAAAAGACAGTTCTCATTTTATGTCTTTCATTGTGTTACAGGTAACATATTGTTGCTAACATGTTGTAAGCAAATACTTCTAATTGTTACGATGAGACCAGCCCCGTAGTTCCTGCAATCGTGTCCAGGAACAATTAAAGGATGTAAAGGCAAAGGGTATATGGAAATTGTTATATAAGCCATAAAACTGGCAAACCATCAGCAATGTGCTGATTTTAAAACCATTTGTTTTTAGTCATTTGTTAGTCACAGACTGCTGACAATCAGATGTAATATCAAACAATTCACATGTCATGTAATTACATACACAGAGCCAAAATTCATTTACTGTCTCAACTAAACATAGTGAATATGTTATTAGCTAAACACTTACCACTTGGATGTGGTAGATATTTCTTGACAACACAAAAGTGAAAATATTTCCTCTACATTTTACAATAATAGTGTTAATGCAAAAAATATTGTATATACAGAGTGTTATGGTGCTATGATTTATACAGTAATCAAGATATTGCATATTACCTGTAAAATATAGTCTGCCATGCTCCCCTTCTTTTTATGTGATTTAGGAGCTTACCAATGAAAAGACAATGACATCCCACTCGTGTTGTAGCAGTTGTTTGTCACATACCTTAAAGTGCTAATGACTAATTTAAAACTTCAGTGTGAACAGTGTCTTCTTTGAAACAGAATGAGCCCAAATCTAGTAACTTGTTTGTGATATTACAAAGTACCATATGAAGACAAAAAGTTAAGTAAATGTTAATTTGACAAAAATACTGAGTCCTGTGTTGCATTCAACATCCCACATTTCTAGTCTTGCAAAGAATAAAAGGAAATTGAGGCACATACATGAACATGACTAATAAAGGTTTAGAAGATTATCCTGTCACAAAATTTACTTGCATTAAGGATAAAGCGTGGGTTCCAGTTCAGTCAAACATTTTTAAAGAAAGATGAAACCTTGCTGTCCTTCAAATTCTTCTGATAATATTTATCTTTATATCTTTATATTTAAAAGTCTTCCCATGTTTAATAAGGTTCATTATTATACTTCACAATAACTTAATCCGTATTTGTCATTTTGGAAAGAAAATGCTACTGATGTAGCAATTAGAATGAACGTGTTAAGCTGTTTGCAGAATCTTGTAAGCTAACTAGCAGCTCGTCCATCTTCTCCATGTTCTGAGAGGCAGTCATGCTATTCTGGACTGAGGCAGTCTGGTTCAGCAGGGACTGGATCCGAGCCTCACTCTCTCTCTGGTTCTGACCAGACTGGCTGATGGCAATGATCTGATCTGACACAGTGTTTCCAGCTGGATTTATTAGTTGACCACATTCTGTGGAACCAATAAAAAGAAAACAAACAAACAATGTGACGAAGTCTTGAAATGGAATTGTTCAAAATACTGTTCTGTTTCTTACCATTCTGAATCCCAAACATGAAGAGTCCAGGCTGTTGTGTCTGGTTTGGCTGACTGATGTTGCTGCTGACTGCAGTTTGGAACAAGGTTCCTGGCTGTTGAACAGGAGAATTGGTGGTTGTTTGGAGGGTCGCTACACTGTTTTGTGCAGTAAACAGCGATGATTGTGCAATCTCCAGATCTTGTTGTAAAGACGTCATGTTTGATGGAGGCATGAAAAGGCCCACAGACGACTCTGGTCGAGGGCCTGCTGTGTTGCCCAGCTGCATCGGCTGCTGCTCCTGAAACAGAATCTGCTGTCGTGGGTCAGAGGGGTTCCCTAAAGCCATAGGCTCAGAACGATCAGACTGTGCTACATTCATCTGGGTCTGACCACTAAACAGCAAGCTGGATGCCTGGTCCTGGGTGGACAAGGGGGTGCTGCAAAATAAAAGGCCTGGCTGCTGTGGCTGTTGTTGTGGGTTCGCTGACAGTGGATTTGCAGAGGGGTGTGCTGTGATGTTTTGAAACAGGGAAGCCTGCTGTGCTGACTGTGTGTGTGGCTGTGACTGTGGGGAAGGCTGCTGCTCCATGGGACTTCTTTGTTGAATAGGTGAGAGCTGTGTCTGAGCCTGATATACTGGTGGTTCAGGGTTTGGAGTTTGGAGAGTATTGAGGAAGGCCATCTGCTGCTGCTGTTGAGGGCTGTTAGTTGTGAGTTGAGAGGAGAGGGATGTCTGTGGGAGAAACAGAGCTGAAGCAGGGGGCTGTTGCTCTGGAGACTGGAGTACTGACATGGGAGTCTGGAAGAGTGCTGCCTGGACCTGCTCTTGAGAGGACTTTTGAAACATTGTCCCCTGTGGAGAAGAAGTTTCAGCCAATGCAGATGAATTGTGAAACATGGGTGGTGAAGGATGGGAGGAAGACTGCTGCAGAAAGTTTGTCTGAATAGATAGAAGTTCATTACTTTGGAACATGGGCACCTGCTGCTGTGGCGTCTGTTGAAAAAGAGAGGCCTGGTTTGGAGCAACTTGTGGGGATCCTTGCTGCTCACTTTTCCCCGGCCCCGCATCCTGAAACACACACTGCATCTGGATTTGGGACTGAAACAGCTGCTGCTGGAGGCTATCTAAAACCTGCTGCTGCTGTTGTAGTTGCTGTTGTTGAATCTGTTGATTTTGGAGTTGTTGCTGGTGCTGTATGTGCTGCTGTTTAGCCAGTGAATTGTCTGGTTGCGAGATCCTGCAGTAGCCTTTGGCTTTGAGCTGTCTTACAGCCTCTTCTAACTGTGCCACTTCATCTGAAGGGAACACAGCCATCTGTGGTGGCTGAGGAGTGGCTTCCCCACAGAGCCTACCCACTCCTGCGGGGCCACTGCTCGACTGGTCTTGCCTTACACTCTCCCTAGGCTTCAGGAGGAACTGCTGTTGGACCAGAGAGTCTCCAGAAGGCACAGTAAAGCTGGGTGGGGTGATGTCCTGTTTTTGAATGGTGCTTAATTGCTCAGCGTTAGTAAACGTCTGGCCTTGATCTGGGTCACCTGTTGCCTGCTGAAGACTACTGGAGTAGGGTCTGTTCTTATTTAGAGCACCAGAAGTGATGTTTGCATTTGGCTGCGAACAAAGACCATTCTGGTGCCAAAGCAAAAATAAATGTAAACCAAACAAAAAATAAACAAGTTAAAAAAGTAATTATAATATTGTAAAATATAAGCAAAATTGTTCATTTATACAGAAAGAATACCTTGAATACTCCAGCGTTCTGCAAGTTACTGGTCACCTCCATCGGAGTGACCTCTTCAGTCTTTACCAAAGGTAACATAGACGTTACTAAAGCAGGTTCTAAAAAAGCAAAGAGATATTGGTATTTTTAAAGCACATCCACATAAAAGCTACTAAATCTCAAATTATAAACCTTTTTGATTATCAAATGAGCAGTCCTTGGTTGGAGAAACAGTCTCCTTTTTTACAGAAATATCTGTTTTTCCTGTAACAAGAAATACTAGTGTTTTATCTTTCTATGGCCTGCAGGTGGAGCCATTGAGCAAAAACAAACCTGAATCGGGAGTGTATGTGAATGGCTGGATATCGTTGGATCTCCCAGCATTGGTCACCACATAAATACCCACACAAACTGCACAGGTGATTGACTGAGTCTGGTATGGAGGGACCTTTACTACCAAGTGGTTCTAAAACAATAAAGAAAAGAAGAAAAAAAAGAAAAAGAAAGAAAATGCTAAATGATATTCTATTCTTAATCATCTTAATCATAGAATTGTGGATCAAAGACTGTTAAACTTGCATTACAAAGTACCTGATGAAACAGCTCCATGTCAATTTCAGCTTCTGCCTTCCAGGAAGTTTCATCTAAATTTTATACATTATATTAACAATAATGAACAACCAGACTATAACAAAATTGAAAGCATTTGTTTAAAATGTGTATACCTTACCAGAAACATTCTCATGAAATATGACTTTAGTGTCTTTTAGAAAATTCTTTCCAATAATGAAGACCTCTTCTCCACCTCGTACAGAGCAACTGTGCAAAGATTTTTTAAGGATTTCAGGAAGCCCAGCAGGCTGAGCTGCAACAAACAGACACAAACACCCAAAACATAATAATTTTCCATACAGTCAAAGATGTTTTACAAATTCAGGCATTATTCTAGAAATAGGTACCTACTTAAAGGTGGTTTCTATGGAGATGTTTTTGCTTTGCCTGGAATCTTCCATGGTATGACATTGAACATATACATCTAGCATTTATTCATCATGGGTGTTTCTATTGCTCAAAAATAAAGTAATTCCTTCTGTGAATAGGGGTGTCTCTCCACTGATCTGAACTGTAATGTAGCATAGAGCTGTAACATGCTTGTCTCCCGCGCGATAGATTTAATAGATTAGAGTAGATTTAATCAATACTGTGGAACATTCTAGACAAAGCAACAACATTTCCATGGAGACAAGCAGGTGGTGGACCCTCCATGAGATATGTTACGCAATGCACTTTTAAGTCATCACTGTTATGTCAGTGTGAAGCTTAAAGATGAACTTCTGTAGTTGGGGGCTGGCCATGTACTTGTCTCCATTATGGCTTTGCATGGTTCACTTGTAAGGCATTAAACATGTCCATGTAATATTTATTTGATCATAGGTGTTTCTTAAAGATACATACATTCCTATTGTGAGCAAGGTTGCCTTTCCACACACTGGACCTATAACTCGGCCTAGTTGTATAACCAGTTTCTCTCCATGGAGATAGAGGTTTAATGCTAAACTGCACACCATTCCAGGCAAAGCAATTACATGAAGACAAGCAGATAGCAAACTCTGCTCCAGAAAAGTTATGCGGTGATACTTTAATTCAAGTCTAAAAGTGCAGGCCAGTTTGGCCCATTAGTGCATAACGTTAAACCTGCATAAACTGCCATTAACTTACTACATAGTATAGGTGATGAGGGACACTGAAGTGTGAGCACTGATCCATCAGCACGAGGGATGTTGACACGAAACACCAGTCGAGCACGGGTGCTCTTTTTTTTGGATCCTGCCACTCCAATACGTGCCTCCACATCAGCATTACGGAGCTTAAGAATCCCAACACAGTCCACACTGTGAAAGAAATATATTTTTAATGTTGTAGTGTATGATGAAATTGTTAAACTAATTGTTTGCTGATCTTACGCCAACGTCATGCTGGTATTAGGATCTAGAGGCACTTCAATGACAGTTGTGCCCCCAACGTCCACTTCAGTGCAGGCAGTGGTATTGCGTCCAGTTACGCGACATGCCTGATAAAATCCATGAGGCTTCACTCGTCCTGAGTCATTAGCTACAAACACCTGTAGAACCACAGGGTCGTTCACTCCTTCCAGCTGTATCAGGCAAAACACAGACAAAACATTCTACTGAAACTCATGTGCACAAAATACATAATAAAATACAAGATATAGGTATGTTCCATTTGTATTTTTAAAATATTGAAATTAAGGTCTGCATGTCTTCCAGTTCCCCATTTTATATTTTTTATAATATGGTCTCCAAAAAGTCTGCAACAAGTCTTATTTTTGAGACGCTTCATTTCAGTGTCTCTGAGTAGGTAAACACTTAAGATTTTAAACAGTTAAAAATGTGTCAGTAATGTGTTTAATTCTTGATGATGATTGAACTACCACCTTTACAGTGGGAAAACCCTGTTGAGTGCGGTCCTTCACTGAGCCTCTGCTGCCTTCAGTCAGGTAGCGAGCCCGATGCTGGGTCTCTGGCTGGACCAGAATTTTCAGCTCCTTCCCTTCACTCTTTGCTGGATACTGCACTGAAAGAGTTCCTCCTTTTGGATTAGATGTTTGAGTGCCATCTTCAGAACTACAACAAACACAGCAGTTAGTATAATTATCAAATACAACACATAAACTGTCAATGTTATCATATCAGCAACACTTTAGTTGTTTAGTTGTGCAATGTGGACTGAGGCGGTAAAGCTCACTGTTGTTTGAAGATCATCTTGCCCCTCCCACTGCTCTGATCTAACCACTTAATCAAGTTATTGTGGGAAATTTAGTTGATGTATTGCTGATATTTCACTTGAACAATCATAAATAACAATATTTTTACTGTAGATTGCAAAATGTAGCAAATGTTCTGATAGCAAGGTAAACAACTAAACTCGGTAAGAGTCAAGTAGAGTACATCTAAGGTGTGAGGAACTTGAAATGTCTTGCAAAAGTGTCATTCTTTTTATTTAATAATTTCATGAAGTAATATTAAAAACAACAATAGTACGGAAACCAACCTTCCTTTTGGTCCAGACTTGTCAGGGCCAAGTTGAGAGAGGACAAAGTGTGGACCTTTAGCACTGTCTGCATCAAACACGTCCCGGTTAGAGCCCTGTTTAGACTTAGGACCAGGCCTTTGACGGGGGGTGCGTTTGCGAGACTTTCGAGGCACTTCTGTGTTATCATTGTAGGAAACTGTACTCATCATGCTGAAGTTCGAAAGAGAGTCCTCCATCCAGATGCTGTTGCTCTGTTCTGACTCTCCAAATGTTTCATCCTGACATGACATACGACTATTATCCAACAGATCTTGAGGAGGTGGAGAGATGTTGAGCACTGTTCTGCGTTTTGAGGGGCTAATCAGGTGCATGTCCTGGGATGTAACTCCTACGTCACTGCCTGCCCTGCAGTTAGCACCACTGCTGATGTTAACATTGATGCCCTCAAGAGCGATCCCTTCAGTAAGAGGCCTTCCACTCCTGTCTTCCTCTGGCTCAACATTGCTGTTGAATGCTGTTGCCTGGTCACTACCTGGATGCATGGATGACCTGCTTGATGGGGTGAGGGCACTGCAGTTGCCTTCGATGGTCATGGAGGACATAATATCTACAGCGTAAAACAATATAACATTAATAAAGGCTTCTCAATTACGATTGGCTAGCAGTCCCAATTAATTGGTATATATAGATAGGGCTTTTTATCCAATACATAATTCAATGTGATATGTGCATTGGATTTAAAAATTACAAACAAGAATCCTAATATTTTGTAATACAATAGGAAGGCAATTTTCTTAATAGATGTCATTATGATTCTATGTGTCATCAATTTTTGACATTATATTTATGATATATACCAATATCAATATTGCAAAGCATGCCAAATTAGTTTTTCTTGTTTTGCTTTTGGACAAAGTTCAGGTGCTGGGACTGAGCTTAGCCACAGAGACAAAATAAACAAGCTTCTGACCTATGAAGCAGAGAACTGCAGACCATTTTAAATGCAGACACTCCCTGCTTCAGAGGGAACTTCCTGGAATAAAAATAAGACAGCGAATGAGCAATAAGAGCTGAACAGCATCAAATATTCAGATTCAAAAAGGTCACGTATGTGGGGGAAAAAAAGCTCCATTATGCTCATAATTCAAAAAAGGGAGTTCAGGGGGGTAAAATGACAGTGTGAAAAACACCTGAATCAATGTAGCCTGCAATATCAGGTGCTTTGCTCATTATCAGTAAAGCTCTGCTTTTTCTCCCAGAAAAGAAATGCCAGACATCTTCATGGCTTCATGATTCAATACAAAACTTTGGGCGTATATTTGCTGCAGATGAAAACTTCCACATGTTAAAGCATGTTCAAGCAACACACTGTCATGTGAGGATCACAGCCGCGACTGCTTGCCTGACTGTGAGCGGCAGGTGTATGCCTGCAGGTACAGATTGCTGCATAAGCTGCCCACACTGGAGGGTGGGTTGGATTTTGCCTATACAGAAGGCACAGAAAACAAAGAGAACTGTACCTGTCGGTAGGGTCGCAGAAGGAGGTGAACCTGCCACTCCACCACTCTTTTGACTCATAACTTTGAGCTTCTGCTGACTGGAGCTTTGCAACTGCCACTGTCCAGGAAGAGGATCACACACCTCTGTGGAAAGAGAAAAAGCAAGAGAGGTTAACAATACTATATCAACATAAACTATGATCAGGTTATAAAATTACTGTCTACTATGGATGTCCTGTATTCTATATCCATAGGCCATCCTATTACAGAATGACAGATCAAAAGCATGACAACACTTTTACTAGAAGCCTGATTCATCATCCAAATATTATGGTACGAACTTCAAGAGGACATTACAGTCGCATGACTCTCCACTGCCAACTGCCAGATTTAATTACTTGCAGCTGAGTCGCAGGGTCTGGTGTGTATATCAGATACTTAACCCTCCCATTGTCATCACTCACTGTGTACAATGGAGAAACCTAGGATGTACTGACTCCAGCCATGCCCCTTCATTCCTAAAGCCCTCCTTTCTATTGCAGTGAGATGTTAAAAAGGGGGGAATGCTGGTTCCCAAAACAGGAGCTTAAGTTCAAACTCAGTAAGAACTCACATACAGGGCTCCAGTGTGTTGTTGGTTATTTGCTAAATTCTCCAAACAAAATCAGTTACTCATAAGCCCGCACACACCCCCTGCATCTCTGCAAAAAACACTCTCCGCCTGTGCGTCCATACGTAAAACACTTAAGTCCACAGTCCCACACGACTAACAGAAGGACAGCACATGCAGCAACATGTGCTCCAAGTGAGAGAGCTGCCTTTCCAGTAAACAGATGCCAACCACACACAAAATATAGACTCAGTGATCCCACAGTGGTCTTAGTGATTGGTCAGTTCAGTCAGTTTGTACACAGGGCACTATAAATAAATAAAAAATAAATATATATAACTCTTAATTTGCTTAAAAAGAAAACATTGTATTTTTCGCACATGAAAAGTTTTAAGAGATGCCCACCTTTGTTTGCAGAGAAGTGAACCAGTCTGACTCACATACCAAGTGATGTTTTCATTTCAATTTAGGACTGCAGCCTTGTTGACCAGACCACTGACCACTGTGGAAAAAACATTTTCTGTTTGTCTGCAATATTTATATAGCTCAAACTGTCAAATACAAACCTGAATAATTATAAACAACCATCTTTGTCTGGCGAATGTATATGTTATATATGTGTTTGTGTTTGTTACACATAAATAAGCACACAAGCTAAAAAGGATTAACATTTATTCTGGATATATTTATGCCTGGATTAATTATTATTATTCTTTTTTTTTACCTTAAGGCTGTATGTTTGTATGGTAAGATGTACAGGCAAAAGGTGAAAAAGAGGCACTCACCATGTGAATGGCAGGACTTTCACTCCCATTCATTTGCCTCACATTCTTGCTGCCTGCTCTTACTAGCCTTGGCACCTGGGGCGTGGCGCTGCTTTGGCTGGGTGACTGATTTAACTCCCCTCTCCCCCCTTTTTCTACCCCTTCTCCACTCCACTTATTGCTTCTCTTTGGGACTGCTTTGTTTACTGTACTGCAGACCCTTCTCAACCTGCTCAACAGGTTAGTGCTTTTGTCATGTGGAATCCTGTTAGGCAGAAATTAACAATATTGAAAGACTGTAATCTTTACAAATGATTTAATTTACTAAAAAAGACAATAGAAGAACAGAATCAGATAATTAATATTTAATTATCTTAGCATGAGTACCACAAGTTTTTTTTTTTTTTTTTTTTTTAAGAGGGTAAGGCAGAAAAACAGTGAAGGGGCTGGTCCTTGCCACAATCCATGTACAACAACCCTGTAATGTTTACAGCCAAGCTTACATGAAGGCTGCCAAAGACTCCATAGTAACAGAGGTCGGGGGACCAGTCTTCAAGGCAGTGCTTCCCATGTGAGATAATTTGCAAAATGTACAAAGAAATCTTTCTTAACAATTGTTAACATTGTTGGTAAGACATACCAACAATCTGGTTGATTTTGTTTTGTTTTGTTTTGTTTTGCTTTTTTTTTTTTGCCTGCTATTAGTCTAAAAGCTCCAGTACAGGCTGAGATTATGTTTAGGCCTACCACCTGACTTAAGGACATACACTTGTAAAAAGTGTAGCACTAGCAGAAGATGGCAATGCACAAAATGTGACTACACAGTTTAGGTAACTGGTGCCAATAACTACATGAAAACACAGTGAAAGAGAGAGGTTATGGTGCAATCAATGACTACTACTACTACTACTACTACTACTGTACAGACGTCACTCTATCAGCTTCTGTCAGTGATTTTAAACAACTAAGACACTACTACAGCATACACTGCCAGACAATATTATGCAATGAGGAAGTTTTATGTAATTTTCCTGCCAATATGAACAGAAAAACGTATGGTGTTCATTACAGTGTGTTATACTATACCTTAAGGTAATTTCATACTGGTGTCTAAAAAGCCTCCATTGATATAAGGCATGGCATGGTTAGGCTTGATATCAGACACACAGGAAAGCAGGCTCAAAGTGTGCATGTAGCTCTTAGAGTTGAGCCAATCCTGAAGTGACCAGGCACAACCTCCAGGCATCAGTTTACACGACTCGCTTTCAACAAACACCCACCACAAACCTAATTTCAAAACAGGCCGTGTTTCTACTATCAGTCCCAACACAGGATGCTCCTGAATCTACAGTCAATATAATATTAAAATATTACTATATGACTTCATTACCTTTGAATTAACAACCAAATACATTGCATTTTATTACATGTTTACAATGTAATGTGATTAAAGCAAACAAATCAATAAATATGGTCAAATACTGCTGTTGTCTCAGTGTAAATAGTACATAATGCATAAACATGGGGCTCAAAGGAGCTAATGAACACAAATCAAAAGAGAGCGACTACAGAACGTAGTGGAATTCAAACTATTTACAAAGGACACATTGACGTCTGAGCACACTCACCAGAAAATGTCCTGTTTACACATAGGTACTGGAATGTGACCCCATCATGAGTACCGTATCCTTTCCAATGAACCATGTAAAAAATTGTAGAATACATTATTAGCAAGAGAAAAATTATAAATCCAAATGAATCAAAATCAAATCCAGATTTGTAGCTCCTTAACAGAGAAGATAAGAATAATGTTTTCAGTTATTTATTATTATTATATCTTTTTTTTTTTTTTTTTTTTTTTTGCTGTAGTACAGTTCTTAATAAGCTAACTAAAAAGCTTATATCAAGGAAGTTCTGAAACAAAACAAAAAACAAAAAAAAATCTTTAGACATGTTTCAGGCATGTCCGGGCCTGAAAAACGGGAAGAAGCTCTGTCATAATAGTCAGTGACGACTTATTTAAATTCTGAGTCAACAGTAAGAATGGCATACAGTAATTTACTCAAATCTAATCAAAATGACCACCATGCAGTGTAATTAGCATTAATGATAAATGCATTAAACATTAAAAGCAGTAAGATATTGTTCAAAGTGCAATAATAAATACATCTAGTTGAGACATGGGCATGTAGTAAGAAAGTAAGTAAACAAGCAAACAAACAAAAGTGGTATAGAAATGAAATGTTCAAATGCTCAACATTAAGAGGGAAGAAGCAGGCCTTATTTCAACCCACCTTAGCACTGTGAACTGGGGTACAGACCCAAGTGCTACAGCTACACCAAATCAGAGGATTAAAAAAAAAAACTGCTCATGATACTTTAAAGCCTGTAACAGATTTGGCAAAGGTTTTAGCAAATTACGTTATATAATACACACATTTAAGCTATCAAACAAACACTCCACTGACTTAATGTTTTGCTTTGAGGCAAACTAGGACAAAATTTGCTGTGAAGGCCAATTATAAACACAGAGTGATGGTTTATGTGTATCATTTGGCAATTCTACTGTAAATAAACACACCAATGCTTCAGTAACTCACTTATTTGGGAGTATATTCAACTGTTGTGTGCAACAAAGAACTTGCAGGTCTCTTCACTGTTAGGAACAAAGGCAGGATCCACAAGAAAATGCCAAGTGCAAAGCTCTTACTCTCTTGAATCCTGCCAGTCTCCCAAGGAAGCATGACTCAGAAAAACAAATCAAATGACACAGGATATGTAGCTGCCATAAACCAGTATAAAGAAGAGCAAGCTGGACTGTCTTTAATCCATTCAGTTTAAGGCATTTCCCAAGTTCATGAAATATTAAAACCAAATGGTATAGAAAGTATATTGAAAACATTCAAATAGGTCAGTATTCAATGACATAATACACAAGACTGTGCAGAGTGCATATCTTATATGATTTAATACTGAAATACCTTGCAATCATAAACATTTGGAATTTACCCAACTGTGTCAGAGGACCACATACAAAGTTACACGGGCTCAATGGCATGGTTTCAACAAAAACTGAATATGATATGCTTCTCACCAAGAGGACCGTAATAACCTGGGATTGGGTTACAACTACTTTACAACAACTACTTTACTTTCTGCCGTTTCACCATTCAGCCAAGATACAATATGGGACTACTGTAAAATAAACATTTGCTTTGATATGTTAATCACAAACTTTCTATTTAAATTTGGATTAAGCTGGAAGATTGTTTATCATAGTTCAACATTTTCAAGTAGTTGCACTAAACTTTACACTAGTGCAACTGTATTGGTACTTTTTCTAAAGATCAGTTATAAAATTGAAAACTTAAAACCAGACCATACAAAGACTGCTACAACAACTAAACCAAGACTAAATATGACCATAAACCTATATATTTTGACTACATATTCTGCAGTTTATTTGAGCATGGAGGTAAGGAACGCAATGGCTGTTCTAAGGTCTATTGTTGGCACATGGTGCAATACACAAACAAAGTAGTTTGTATACTAATAATTAAATATGATTCTGTCTCTCAGAAGCTAATACAAATCGTTAGAGGAGCCACGCTCTCAAAAGAAACAGCCTTGTTCCTTACCAGAGGTCATATACAGTCTGCAATATGTCTGCTCTGTATGTTATAAGTTACACCGTTCCCAAAAACTAGCATACATTTAACAGATAATAATGTATGCCTTATCTTAGCGGTATGAAAATATCCCAGTACATAACCTGCTAACCTACAATAATCCAAGGAGACAAAGTTCAGCCACACCCCATAAGAACCCATGGTTCACTCCACCATAGCTGTGCTTAAATAACTAACTTTGAACAGCACTAATGGGTAACTCGGTGTAAAGTGAACAGTACCTGACATGACAGGTTAAAAAGCTTTGAAACTGATGGTTCTCAATCACACCACACAGGTGTGCAATAAATACCTCAGAAGGCACTCTTCTGACCTAGGCCTGATTAGGCTTTTTATTAGGGTAAGGAGTTAATAATAAATGAGATTCAGACAAAGCAAAGAAGGAGACAGATATCACTGAAATACTCTACACTTGACTATTTGTTTGCTGTTTATACACTGAAATTAAAATAGTAATTAGCACTCACATTGGTAAGTACAAGGTACAATAAATAGATAATGCATGTAAAGTTTGAGGTTTATGGAAAGAAAAAAAAACTGCACCAGTATAGCGGTGATTTTTTTATCAAACAAATGGAGAAGTGAAGTGCACAAAGTTCAGAAGGGTATTTCACAAATGACTTTAGTTTAAGTTTTGATGGGACTCAAAGTGCTGACAGCTCTTGTAAAAAAATATTTTCATAGCTTTTCAACCTTGGCTATAATGTTTACTGCCTGGGGTTAAAAGCTCAGAAACTATATGTTACCATGACCATAATATGTGGCACATTTGATCCTAATGGCATGTTTGTTTAAAAAGAAACATTATTGTGTTCTGTGAAAGGTACACAGAGTATACTTACACTTTCTTGTGATCTCCTGACTCTCTTTAATCATATAATAGGAACATGCTTTCAATGCAATCAAGTGTTTTATACGCATGCTGCCAAGTTTACTTAACACAGACAAGTCAATATTAATAGAGTGCTATTTAAGCTCAGGTTTAAACACAGAGAGCAGCCACAGGGTTAATCAGTGACCAGACTGTGGACTAGCAAAATAGAGGGAGAAAAATAAGCAGAGAAGTGCACTTTCACAATTGGTAACCCACCTTTATTGTCTGTTTATGTCTTATTGAAAATAATTTCAAATGACACTCAGTTATAGTTACACTGACTGTATGTAACTAAATAGTCAACTGGATCGTGGTGCTATTTCATGCAACAGTGTAAACTTGCGAAAAAGAGAAGTCTTCGTGGCCTCATCGAAAGAATTCAGGCCTATTGCATGATCTGATTCAGGTTTAAATATGAAACAATTATTTGTTGCTGTTTTTTCTAAAACTCAATAGCAATGGAATGTTCTAGAAGTGTTTTATTGCTATAAAAATACTTTGAAAAACATACATTATAAGATAATCTCCATAAATGTGACTTGTAACTTGTAACAGTTTCACCCGCTTATGTCCATGCAGATAAAATACATTTAATGTCATATTGTGGAATATTTTAAGCAACAAACAAACAAAATAATAATAATAATCATCCACCAGAAAGCTACCGGGTCTCTAAAGTTTGGGCCCAATATTCATGCATAAAAATAGGCAACTACAAGTGTGCAGGCCTATGCTCTAAACATATACTACATAAAAATAATTGGACTCAGTAGCGCCGCTTACAGGGCGCATCCGTACTTCAGGGGGCGGAGGTGGCATGTGTGGTTTCATGAAGAGAACATATAAGATACGAGAACTGTGCTATGCGCTTCATGTAATGGTTCATGTAGAAAAAACTGGTCGGACCGGTGTGCGCCAAGAGGGCCACTTCACAATGGACTGGGGCTCGGGCGCCTGCACATTGTTCTCAAGAAAAGTTGGGGTGAAAAAATAACTATACAACTCACGATAATAGTTGTTAAATACGTTATAATTAACACAGGAGGTTAGACGCAGCTAGAAGGACTGAACCGCAAGGCTAGATATATTTTGTAAGCTTTCTTGGCATGTTGTAGAAGTAAGTTGTTTATACTGATCTATGGTCAGATAAAGAAGTCATGAATGAAATGTCCTACCTGTAGAGTGGGACGACGGTGTGGGAGAATACAGGTCGAGTTCCCCGCTGAAGAGCGACGTAAAGTCAGAGGGCATCGCAATCCCTCTGTGTCAGGAAACCGGACACCGACAAACACCACGCGATGAGCTGATTCAGACCGTGTTTTCAGTCAGTTTGTACGAGTTCAAAAAGGTAAACTTGTGTTCTGAGACCACGGGTCAAAAGTAAACCATGCAGTTTTGCCTCTGTCGGTGTATCCGCTGTGACTTCCACTCGGTCCGCCTTCAGTGCTTGTTTGTTGTCATTTACGGGAGTCACGCCCCTCAGTGATGAAATCCAAAAAAAGAGGCCACTTTTAGCCTAATAACGCTTGAGTTCAGCTATGCGGCCAATAGATGACTGATAAACTCTTATTGGAGTTTCTTTCATGCTTCTGCCTGTTAGGCCTCTGTATTTTACCAACTTACACTTAAAACATATTTGTAACGTAGCCCTAGAGGGCAAAACACACACACACCCACACACACGCACACCCACACATATACACACAGGACACTCCCGTCTCTTGAACTCTTTTCATAAGCATGTGATTATTATTTTGCACAAAAACATTCATTTCACAGTATATTTCATATTGTATATTTTCTATTCACTGTATTTAACATTTATGCAACATTAAAACGTGCCTTAACACTATGACATTTAAATATGAGCAGTATACGAATCATACTGGCATATGAACACTATAATATGCAAGTCTATACTATACTTTGACATTTCATCCTTCATTATTGACCCCAGAAGAAATGGCTGGAATTCCATTATTTGAAGCTGGTTTCTGATTGGTGCCATCACAACCTTGTTTCTTGCATTTTATCCCAAACAAACTGCATATTTTAATCAGCATCAGGTCCACTATCTCCTCCTCTTCTGATGGCTGGAGAAATATAAGTACATTCAAATATTAATTCTTGTATGTATGACTGGTTATGATTTGGAGATTTTACCTTGTGATGTATTTGTTCTTGACTAAATGCCACAAGTATCACAGAAATAAAGAGATTCAGCACAACAAATGTCATGAACACGATGCATGAGCCAATGAGGAAAGCTCCAAGTACTGGGTTGTAATTCAAAACCTATGAAAAAAACATGTTGTTTTAGAAACTATTCTATTAGGTGCTTAGCTATTCAATGCATTACAACTACTCACCTCTTCGTAGTTGAAAATGCCAAGCTGCAAGCTGACCATGGTCTGTGCAGCGTCCAGTAGTGTTCTGTAGGAGTACAGCTTCCAGCCATACATCAGGTTGGACTAAAATTATAAAACATACAAAGAACTCTTCTTGGCATCGTAGCAGATTGGTAATAATGAATATATTGACAATGTTATAACAAATTTTGCTTGGACAAATTTTGAAATAAACAGTACTCTGAACTAGTACAACTAACCTTACCCATTTTTATAGTACATACTTGCCAATTTTAATGTTATTTGTTATTTATATCTCTGTGTTTCATACAAACATACATATGTCTATTTGCCATATTGCTAAAATTGTAGTGTGGGAAAATTCTCACAGCAATAGAGTAGGCAAGGAACATGATGGTTATGACCACCAGGAAGCCTGAAATATCAGTCCAGGCACGCTGCAGTGTGGCGGTGATCATGTGCAGCTTGGGGTTCAGCCTCAGCAGGTGCCAGAGTTTGATTGTAGCCAGCAACACCAGGAACGCAATCAGATACCCCAGCACTGCATCAGCCTTGGCTGTTTCATGGAAACTGGCAAATCTACAAGATATTACAAAAATTGTTTTTTAAAAGTACGTATCTATTTGTGAAACAATGTGTACTGTAATTTAAAAACAGTTTCAGTGCACTTAAGATCCTGAGGTGTAGTGAAAAAAAATATATTTATGAGTGAGGTGCATTGTTCAAGGTAGCCACTATTATGCATTATAGCCCATATTTCTAAAAAAATAAAATAAAATAAAATCTTGTTTTAATACAAAGGTTCAGAAAATAATACTCTTTTTACACACAGAATAGCTTCGTAAAACATGTGGTTCTAAAATGTAAATACATGGCACCAACAATAATTCTAAGTTAATGCCTGTTTGAAGAAGTCCCCTTTTTAACTTACTGGTCTTTGTGGCTCTGATAATACTCCATGTCTCTTTTCCCTAATAAAGTCCTCTTGATGAACACAGAAAGGGCGCTCCAGCTCAGGACAATAATGGCCATTTCAAGGAAGTTCCACTTACTTCTAAAATAAGACCATTTTTGCTGCTTTATTAACTTCCCCTGTGAGAAACAAATATAAATGTGCTGCCACTGTGATATGTATAAATGGTATACTCACTAATGCAAATCATACCTGAACAAACATATAATAAAGTATGAAAATAAAGTAAATAGCTTCAGAGGCCATTACAAAGATATGCAAGCCACCAGTAGATTGATACAAACGGACATTTTGAAGTTCACTGCGAAACTGGAAAGCACCTGTAATAAACACAGGATTTAGAATTTTTTTTTAAAGTATTTAACAAAGTGGTGATTTTTAGTGGCGCACCAGTGGCTGTGGTCTCCAGCATCAGTGTAACTATGCAGAAGAGATTTACATTTGCATTATACACAGTAAATTCAACAAAGATGGCTTGAGTATATGCATCAAACCAGGTGTTGTCATAAAGATATTGCAGGACTCTTCAAGACAGAAAAAATAAAAACACATATTAAACAAATATACATATATTCAAATTCACTGAGTATGGTGGATAGGAAATTGCTGGCCCTCACCCATATTTACTCTCCACAATTTATTGAATATACTACACTATATTGTCATTATTATTTGTTCAGTTATGCTTGTCATGTATGTTGTCTATAGTTGAAAGCCAGCCTTTTAACTTAGTCAGAGCATATGTGATTGTGCCACAGGGCTGGACATATTGTCTTTTTTTTTTGTCTAAACAACCAAATACTGTATCATGTGGGTCATTCCACGCCAAATCTCCGAATGCCCCCGCCCGATCATCTCAGATTTGACTGAAAAAATTCTAGGAGGTTCACACAATTTCCAATGGGAAAAGTCCCAAATTTTAGCTCCCAACTCTTTATAGTTTTGTCATTAAAAGATATTTTGTCAACTCTGCCCTGACCTGCTTTGAGCAGAGTTGTTTAAGGAGCCACGTTCAGATTGCTGTATCTAAAAAATATCTAAGGTAGGTCCTTAAAATTTTCAAGGGTTAAAATTTGTCAGATGTACTTGTAGAATATGGACTTTTACACATGTGCTTTTGATTTATCACAGATTTTTGGGGGCTTGAATTTATTCGAAAATTTCACTCTTCAAATTTGAGGGCATTTTTGAAGGACTGTCAAAAGTGCAAAAAGACAGAGATTTGATATTGAACACACACCTTCCCACACATGCTGTGTACTTTGTATTTTAAAACTGAGCCTCTGTGATGAACGCTCTAGAAGATATTAAGTGTTAAAAATGGAAAAAATAAATTTGGTGCCCTCTTTACCATGTTATACCAAAAAAAATGATAGCACCCACCTACATAAAATGGACTGTTTTAAAAAGACTAGATGTCTGTTTTTAACATATCCAAAATTTGTGATGGTGTTCAGCCTTATTTTTGCAAAATGATTTTTTTGAAAATGTGGTGTCTGCATACATGCAGAGCATTCATGGACTATGAAAGCACTTTTAGAAGCTAAGAAAATACTCTGAATATTTGACCCACAGCTTAAACTCAACAAAATGCTACTATTGTAAATTACCTCAACTCTATCTCAAACTTTCAGATGTTTTGATGCAACACTCCTGAATTGTATAAAGGCATCCTGTTGTAGTGCTAGGAACATCTATTTTAGAAATTATGTGTGCACTAGTGTACAGAAGCCCTGAGCCGCAAGTGTAAAAAAATAAATAAATAAAACAATAATATGCTTTTTTCTTAATTAATGTATTCATTTATTTTTTGAGATATTATCTCATTATTTTGAGATATGATCTGGTTATTTTCGAGATATTATCTCGAAAATAACGGGATACTATCTAAAAATAAATACATTAATTAAGAAAATAAAAAAATAATAATTATTTTATTATTATTATTATTTTTACACTTGCGGCTCAGGGCTTCCATAGACTAGTGCTGGGTACCTTTACAACACATCATTTCTAAAACAGATGTTCCTAGCACTACACCAGGATGCCTATATACAATTCAGGAGTATTACACCAAAACAGTTGAAAATTTCCTCAAAGAGTTGAGATAATTTACAGCTGAGTAATCAAATCATGCATTTTGTTGAGTTTAAGCTGTGGGTCAAATATTCAGAGTGTTTTCTTAGCTTCTGAAAGTGCTTTCATAGTCCATGAATGCTCTGCATGTATGCAGACACCACATTTTCAAAAATTCATTTTGCAAAAATAAGGCTGAACACCATCACAAATTTTGGATATGTTAAAAACAGACATCTAGTCTTTCTAAAACTGTCCATTTGATGTTGGTGGGTGCTATAAATTGTTTGGTATAACATGGTAAAGATGGCACCAAATTTATTTTTTTTCCATTTTTAACAATTAATATCTTCTAGAGCGTTCATCACAGAGGCTCAGTTTTAAAATACAAAGTACACAGCATGTGTGGGAAGGTGTATGTTCAATATCAAACCTCTGTCTTTGAAATTGCACTTTCTACAGTCCTTCAAAGATGCCCTCAAATTTGAAGAGTAAAATTTTCTATTATATATTCTACAAGTACATCTGACAGATTTTAACCCTTGAAAATTTGAAGGACCTACATTACATAGTTTTTTAGATACAGCAATCTGAAAGTGGCTCCTTGAACAACTCTTCTTAAAGCAGGTCAGGGCAGAGTTGACAAAATATCTTTTAATGACAAAACTATAAGGAGTTGGGAGCTAAAATTTGGGAGTTTTCCTGTTGGAAAGTGTGTGAACCTCCTAGAATTTTTTCAGTCAAATCTGAGATGGTCAGGCAGGGGCATTCGGAGATTTGGTGTGGAATGACCCATGTACCTGCTGGAGTTTTGGTAATTTGGGCCAAGATCCACTGCAAACCCTCCACCTCTGTAGACTACCACACTTCCCCAGATGGGATAGGCTCGAAGCTTCCCCTTAGACTGATATTTCCATGGGTTTTCCAGATGTTGTGTATCATTATCAGGCACATTGTACGTCCAGCCTGGACCATAGGAGCCCATGTCCTCCAACTCCCATGAGTAGGGAGCGTGACAATCTGATACAGACTTCTTCATGGACAGAGCAACATGACAAGATTTCTGCTGGACTCTGACTTGGCGAAGACGGGCATTGCCCACCAGCTTTGAGTTACCATCTGTTATAAAACCTGTACAAAATAGATCAGACATAACATTGTCATGTCAGCAGTGGGATATAGGCAGCAAATGAATACCTGTCTTTAAATGCAATGAAGAAGCAATAAAGTTTACTTCTGCAAAAAATTAAGGTGTTCAGAAACTAACCAAACCTGATATGCCTTAAGGTAGACTCTGCATGTACTTTCCATTTTCAATGTGCCTCAACATGACAAGACAGTGACTTATAACTCACAGGTATGTCATTTCATAACATGCGTACCTGGATAGTCTCCAAAAAGGTTGCTCAATAGCGTTGTGTTTGCCCAACCAAACACGTCCTGAATACTCATAGTGTCTGAGATGCCTTTGCTGAAGCTTTGCCGGATGTGTTGAGTCAGGAAGTAAGCATTGGGGTCCCTCTGGCCATAAGCCACTAGGAGGAGCATCCACATAAATCCTGTGTATGCTAAAAATAAAAACAATAGCAATATATGTTTTAACAGTATTGTGGCTTGTTTTCTCTTATCAGTGCATTTTCATACCTGCAATCTCCCTTATAAGGATGAATACTTTTTGCTCTTTTATCATATTGTTCCTCATCTTCTCAATGTCCGTTGGAGGTGGTGGTTGGTAAAAACTACAGGTGCTGTCTCTTCTTGCAGCACGCACAGTATTTGGGTCATCTAAAAACAATAATTACTTTTTAAAATACAAATGTTCACACTTTTTTTTTTTCAAAAATGGAAAGCTACACAAAATAGAGTGTAAATCATATATTCATTTTTATTCTTATGTAATAGTCCATGTCACTGTGTGGAATTTGAATTTTTATTGAGTTTTTATTTTTTCTTACTTGTATATAGTGTGCCTTTAATACAAATGATCAAAACACAAATTCCACAAACAGATACTTTAAGTAAAGAACAATGTCTTTATTGTGACATTAATTGTAAAATAAACCCAGTAAACAATCCAGTAAATTCTGAATATGTGGTGTTAAGTTGTATTGCACCATTGGGTGTCATACCTGAATTTATAACAAGTCCGTCCACCTGAGGTTCTCCATATTCTTCTTGATCAACCTTTTTTAGAACAAGAGCAAAGAAAGCAGCAAACCCCAGAACCTATAAAAGGATTTGGCATAAATTTTTGTGCATTTTTGATATTTCAATCTTTTTCAAAGAGACTTACTTTTAATGGTTGGGTAATAAATAGGCTCTCAAAAAAGGAGACGACCATTGAGATGAGCCAGCTTACTGAGCGATCTTTCCCATACGTCAGCCCATACATCATTGTGAAGTATCCAGACACACCACTGGTCGCAATCACCAATATCCACCCTATGAAGACAAACCACCAGGGAAGCCCGCCTTTCTTCTTGGGATCTCCGCTGATGCTTTCTTCAGGAGTGGAGCTGAGGTCTAGCTGCTCCCCTTCCAGACACGACATTGGGAGATGATACTCCAGCAGAGACTTCATACCATGGACCTGCTGCAGTGCACGGTTGTAATTGTTGGAACTGGGGAAACGAGATGGTCCCAACAAACCCAGCTCTTTTTCTACATGGCGCAGTTGCCTGTACAGATATCGGTTGTAGCTTGTGGTGTTCTTTTGGGCAGTATTAGATGATTTATCTGAGTCTTCCCACATACTGGATCCTATTACAGAAATATTTATTATTTATTGGTATTTAAAAATGTGTCCAGTCAGAAAAGTACATGTGTTATATTCCTCTTGTAAATATGGCTTTATGAGAAAACTGTTTTATATACCTGCTGATACTATTTTGTATTACAACAATTTACCTTGCAAGCTGACTGAGCCTAAAGATAGGATCATAGAGCGCTCCTTTTTTGCTGTGTCATTGTAGAAATCTTCAGAGGGTCTATTATGTTGTTTGATTATGTCCTCCACCAGAGATAATAGTGTGTTGATATCACACTGTTGCCCAGATTTGAGGTCTAAATGGGGAAGTGGGCTTTTCATGGCCTTTGACAGGGATTGCGCAATTCGTTTTATGTCCTACAAAAAATTAAGTATATAAAAAAAAAAAAAGATTAACACTGGCTTTGTTTTTCCTTAGAATCATTTTGCATCTTCTTACCTTGATCACAGTCTCTGGTGTGATGTCCTTTAGCTCTTTCTGAGGAGAACTCTGAGAAGGGGACACTTTACCAATTTTCCCCTGTTTGGACATTTCCGTTTTGTTTTTTTCTCGAGGACGAGTGTTTCTGAAAATACTCACAATGAGCAGATTTATGGGAAACATGATGATTGAACTTTGAAAGCCAATCATCACTTGCTGCCATGTGAACTCAATGTGTCCTGCCAAAAACATTATTAAACATAATTAAATTACCAATTTATGAATTCACTGAAATGCACACACCTGATTATAATTATTGATTACTAAGTAGTGTTGTATAAGTAAATATAATTTGTGGATTAAGTAGTCCAAATGTAGGCAGTAAAATTGTTTCAACGTAAAATAAGTAATAAAAAAATAGTATTATTTTACCTAGATCCATTGTCTGTTCAGAGGGGTCTGTTGGAATGCCCCAGAACATGATACTTGTGAGCATGGTGCACAATAGCAGGGAGAAGCAGCAGGAGACACGCTGTACTCGAGTGAATGTGCTACAGGGAGGACGACTGATGACCGAAAACCAAATGTGTCCATCACGGAAATCCTTAGCAGTTTTCATGAAAAACAGGTTACTAGAGAGAAAAACAAATAAGAAATACAAAACAGAATGTAATGGTGTCTTTTTGGGGTATAATAAAAATAACTATTACCTAAATCTCTTCAGGTCCATTTCCGTTGCCACAGGGAAAACCTTATCAAGTGTGCACTCTCCCACATCTATAGCCAACCAGGAGTTACACAGGAAGTGCCACTTTTGACCAGTCTCCACGTCTTGCACCATAACTTTATTGACATACCTGAAAAAACACCACCATTAAGTGTACAAATTGTACTTCCTTCATTCATCAACCGGATCAAAATAAAAACAGGTACCATGCAGGGTGGGCTCCTGAGTTGTCATGCCAGAGTCGTATACTCTGCAGGTCTCCTAGTGAAAAATGAGTGGTAAGCAGAAACATGTCCACTCCACCTCTCTCAAATACAGGTTTCTCTGCATCAGTCAGGTGGTGGGGCTCGCTCTCTCCCTCTGTCCCCTGTAATGTTATTGTCACCTACGGCATGTGAACACTTGATTAGAAAACGTAAACATAAAAAAATATCATAGATTTCACTAAGCCTACACATATGCAACTTACTTGAGAGGAAGTAGATGCACCATGCCGATGTCCGGTGCTGACATTGATCATATAGCGATATTCTGCCAAAGGATCATTGTCTTCTAGTAAGGTTATCTTGACCTTAAAACAAGAAAAAGGGTTAAATTCAACTGAAAACTAAAAAAGAAAATAAGCTAGATTTTAATAGAATTTCCATTTTATCCAGAAGCTTACTTTAGTTGAATCCTGGATATCTTTCCTCCGTGCCCATACCACAACCATAAGATAAGCAACAAAGATGGCTCCAACAAAACAAACCACTACAGGGTTGGTAGTAAAAGTAGCAAAAAGTTCTGCAGTGCGTGATACATCAACCAAGTTTGGCATGACAAAAAAGGAGCTTCCAAAAAATGTCAAATGATTACAGAGGCACTGAGTTACTGCATGTGTGGTGAGTGGGCCAACCTGCAAAAGGGAAATTAAATACTTCAGTTCTACTAAAAAAACTGATTGGACAAAAGCTTTTCAGTACTTACCCTGCAGCCATCTTCACTCCAAAATGACTCAGTTTCATTCCAGTACTTACACTGAGCAGCAATAGTGACAACATTAACTGTGGCATTGACTGATTTGATTCCAGGTTCTACAATGGGCTTTATAACAAGATAGTAAATGCCAACATCATCAGCTCGATCCTTTGGCCCCACCACCCAGGTATACCTTTCCTCTATAAGATTAATACAATTTGTGATAAAAAATTAAAATAAATACATAATAAGGATTTATCAAAACTGTACTAGATTTACGTCAGTAGAGATACCTTCTTTTGCTTCCTGTATAGGGAGTTGTGCCTTGGCTACATATTTCTCATAAGTTGGGTAAGCTTTGTATTCCAGAAATGCTACAAAAGAAATGTCTTCAGATGGCTGCATTCTCAGCACTAATGTTACATCAGGTGAGGGAACGTCTATTATCAAAGTACTGAAATTGGCTAAGTCTAGCTCAGTGCTGTTCTCCTGTCCAACATCAAGTCTAGGAAGGAAAATCTAGAAAAGACAAATAAAAATAAATCAGGAATTTATTTAAAAAAGACAAAAAATACCAAAAGTACTATTATCTGATGTGTTACAAATTACCTCTATCTCCTCTAGTAAGTCGTGGACAGCAATTACACTGCCATCCATTCTGGTTAGAGAGACTGATCCTACTGTCCCAGTGATGTTTTCATCTTTCCAAGCATATGGATTCTTTGTGAAACTCATCATCTGTTAATCATAAATTTGTTATTGTAAAGATTTTTCTTGTGTTTTTTTTGTGTCTCTTAAACTGCACATATACACATACTACATACATACCCTTACATCCACTGGTTCTTCTGGTGAGACAATAGCCGCAGGGAGGGCAGGAAAATTAAATCTAGAGGATGTATTCTTCTGTACATTGATATTCTTCATCTGCATAGTCTGTGGGGTTATCCTTCATACAAACATAGCATATTCCAGTTACATACTTGGCATTTCCATAACTCATGTTGTCAGGGGGGAAATCTTTACCTGTTGACATACACACTGATCTGACCAGAATCAATAATGGCAGGCTCTCCATTCAGTTTTTTATTCATAAGTAAAGCACTTTGTACATTGTTGATTCCAGTTAGGAGAAACTCTGACACTTTTTTCTAAAGTTAATAAATAAATAATTAACCACTTATTTCAATTAAAATATTCCTCAGCATGAGCATTTGAGTGTGTATGAACCTTACATCGGCTGAAACATTTAAAATATTGCTGGCTGCTTCTACAATTGGGGCAGCGGCTTGCACCACTTCTTTATCTTCTTCTGCAGTGTATTGAGAGACACTAATAGTGTTCAGAGAGGCACTGAGGTCCACCAACAATGAACTAGCTTGTTCCTGCAAAAACAACATGGTGTATTTTCTTTGTTATAGCCTTATGTAGATGTACACACTTTCATTTTACAGTAAATGTCTGTGGATCAATATAAACTCCAACTATAAGTAGATTACCTGAGCAATGGGTGTGAGTTCATCTGACAGTTGAGTGAGACCAGCCACAGCTCTTGCTGTCACCTGGACCCCCTGTGTGGTATTACTAGGGGACCCATGCAGGACTTTGGTCATTTTGGTCAGCATTTGTTCTCTTAACTGTAAGAACCACACACAGGGTTGAAAGGCACACTTGGCTCTGTTTAAACAAATCATGACATGTAATTACTACCTTCTTTTTTGAATCCTTGTGCTCCTCTTTGGACACTGTGTTGAGCATATCTGAGACTGATGTGAATATCTGTCCCAGAGTTTCACCGGAGAGGAGGCCCTGCTGCTCTAACTGATTCACTGTGTCATCCACTGCAGTGTGAAGGGCGTCCACTGAGCTCTCTGTGTTACTTACTACAACCTTAGGAAAGATTGACATTAAAACATGTTCTCGCCTGAAACAGAGGATCTAATTGCAGAATACAGACCTGTGTGGATATGTTGGTGGATGCGTTTTGGTTTGCATTTTTTACAGTCACCATTAACGATAAACTGAAGTTGTTGTTCATATCTCCAAGTGGCAGGAAGATTGACTTTATTTCATGTGCATCACTGCATTTAAGGTGTTTGCCTGGAAGAATAACATGCCAAAGACAAGGGCCATTATTTGTTGTATCTTTATAATGTCTATGTATTAACCCATCTAGTGCAAACCACATTTGTCAGCATGCATGCTATAAACTCAAAATATGTTGTTTGTTTTTTTATTAAAAATGTATCTCTCAGAAATTAAATCAAAAGTTAAATAGTGCAACTTCTTACCCATGTCTGTTTTGATGCAGTAGATGCAGCCTGAGGAGCATGACAAACTTGTTTTGCAAATAATGTTAAAAGCATCCAGCACTGTCCCAGCAGATGGAGAGATGCTACATGAAACAGTGTCTACAGCAGGGCTGGATGTCGGCGGTGGTTGAGATTCTGGTACTGGGAGAGTATACTTGGCAAATCCAACCTCAGATTTTCCTGCATAAAATATGTTATAAACATGTGTATAAAATACATTTAGACACGGACTAAAACAGTATATCTATATATTTATTTCTGCATTAAGATCCTACCATAAGCAACCACAACAATGGGTTGCTTAGTATCTCTAGATTTTTCCAAATGTCGACTGTTAACAGTATATTCAGTGTTTCCTTCCTGCTTTTCAGTGGGAGGCCTTCTGCTCACTTTGGAGTAACATTTTTCAAGGTTGTTCTAGAAATTAAAGTCCATAAAATTAAAAAGATGTTAACTTTTGTTGTATGTACTTTGTATACTTAAAAGAGAAAAACTTACAGCCAATAGTGTTAGATCCTCCAAATACCATACTACAACCGGACAGTTCTTTTCACAGTGCAGTTTCATAGTGACAGGACTATTTACATTTAATGAAGTGCAATTATCACATCTACAGAACAGAAAAAGAGAAAGTTACTTACTTTGAATGATTTTTTTTTATGTTTTAAAAGTGGCATTTTTTTTTTTTTTTACCTTATTGTTACAGTTGTGAATTCCCTTGGAGAAACAGTGATACACTTGGTAGCTGCTGCAACTTTAACTGGACTTCTAAACCAACGTGTCTTCTTTGCAATAAAAGTGTACTGAGCAAATTCAAAAGGATCTGGAAGACAGTCTTTTTCAATTGTGTAAGATTCATGGTCTGTATCATTCACACACTTGCAGGAGCCCTCTGTAAACAAAAACAAAACATCAGTTTTGAAAATGAAAACAGTTGTTGGATGATTTAAACACAAGCCATACTGCATCTCCAACTGAATTGAATTCCTTCGCTGGGTAAGGATGAGGATTCAGCTTTTAGGAGAACACTTTGACTGTAGTCAATCAGAGCAGAAGGAGAAGCGCTAATTTTAAAATCACCAAAATCATCGTCCACCTACAAAAGACAGTAATTCAATCTCTCATGTTAAAATTGATAAGAACAACAATATGTTGGTAATTATCTCCAGAACACACTGGATCTTCTTGTTGGCCTGTGTCATTATGACATGCAAGAAATATCTTGTCAAGATCCACATCAGCATCCATGGCTGAGAAGGCATTCATGGCTCGCACTTTAACTTGTAAAGATCCTTCAACCCAAACAAATAGAATATAAAAGTATTGTATTCACTAATGCTGTTTTAGAACAGCTTAGAACAGCATACCTTCAAGTGGAGAGGAGAAGACAAATGCTTGTGTGCTACCATTGAGCATGTCTCTAGTTTCAGAGATACTGTCCTGAGCTCCTGTCAGAGTGAATAGGAGTTGCACTGGGGCTCCATGCTCAAGAGAAACATTGATAACAAGTTCAGAGGAGTTGGGACACTGTCCGTCCTCTGCCTCCACCGAAGCCTGCAGACCCTCAATTGGCTGAAGCAGACACAACTGCAGGTTTGTGGATACTGTCGTAGTTGTAATCTTATTAGAAGCTGATATAGTCAGGTTGTGGCAGCCTTGTCCAAGTCGCTCAACAGAAGCGGTGTCTAGGGTTATATTGTATGGTGTGACGCCACTGTCCACAGAAGAGTTAGTGATCACATGAATATTGTGCGCAGTTGTATAGGTAACATTTGTACCTTATCGAAAACACAAAGCAGACAATTACTATAATGTTCACTAATACAGACTATTAAAAATATGTAAATGACATACCTGCTTCAAGGAAAACTTGAATTTGTACTGGCCTGCCATATGCTGCATTGCATTTGCTTTCATTAAATGAAATGTTTTGGCCAAAGCACTTGACAGCACCAAACTCTCCCAGCCGCTCCTGAATGGTTATTGCTCTCTGTGCTGTAACATGCCAGTCACTTGTGGTGCATTCAACACTGACCATAAAAAATCCAGGTCTAGTAAATTTGTGAATGACAGTGCTCTCCATCCTGAAAAGAATAAATGCAAATAAGATAAAGTAAGAAAAGAGTATTAATGTTCTAACATTATGTGCATTGTATGCCTGTGATTCTCACTCTTCTGGGCTGTATGGATCAATTGTATGACCGTCTCCAGCGTTGACTGTACACGTGAGATTTCCCTCAAATGGATGCAAAAGCCACTTGACAGTAATAGTGACATTATCAAACACAGCTGCCAGCTTACTAATTAATAGGGAGAGACCTGAGCAGAAGAAATACATCTTATGTAATTTATGTTTTCTAATATTTCATTTGTCTTTACTGCAAAACTGACCATGTTTGCAGTGATATTCCACAGAGAGGTAACTTCCAAATGCTGGACACGGCTCTCCAAATGTGCTCACATCTACAGGAGCCTGGCAGGCCTGCAGTCCATGACAAAGGGCTAAAAGAAAAGGTGCACACCTATTATGTTTGAGTGTTTAGATATACTAAACCAATAACTCTAATGTTAATAAAACTCACACAAAGCTTAACTTTTGCGTGAGTGAAAGCAGATTAGCGATACACCCATTATGGTAGCATTGTTCCCTTATACATTGCCAGAGGCGCATGTTTTGTGTTTCAGTGACTTATAGGTTGTGCTTACATAACAGCTGTTAAATATATAGAATGTGCAATCCAAATATCACACATAAAAAAGTGACTTATTTTTTAAATGACATCCTACCAGTTACAGAATCCACGACGTCGATCCAGCTGCATTCTTCCTGGGAAGCTGTAGGTGAGGCTGTGAGATGAGCTCTGCAGTAATGTATGGTTTTTCTGCCAAAGAAACTGTCATCTATTTCTATTACTTGACCAGAGCCACACTGCAATGTAGCATTTTGGCCTTCACAAGCAAGAGATCTTCCTGAATCTATAAAGAAATTTTTTTTTATTTCACATATAAACACATATTATTGTCTTTTGAATATAAGGCGACATACCAAACTGGCAGATAAAATTATATTCTTGGGTACAATTGTCTGTAGCTTCCCACTGAAAACCTGAATGTCTCTGTATATATACGCAAGCTGACGCTGGCTCTGGTGTGTTCACCCAATTACTGTAGCTGACATCTGAGCCATCCAGCCAAGAAAGGGAGCCTGTAATAATGAAAGTTTGATTTCATTACTAAAGAGAATTAGAATCAATTATGAACTTGTAACGTGTGTAATTTATCATGTTCATTGCAAGCAAAACCAAATATAAACTACAAAAACTATCAAGGCAATAACAGATAAGGTAAATGAATGAGAAAGAGAATTCCCTGTAGTCAAATAAAATAACAATTTTAAGTGAGACAGACATCTATGTGCCTTTTTACAGTCCATGTGAATGGAGGTTCTTGTGCAACTGAGCCTGCTGTTTCAGGGAGATATCAGATAGAGGCAGGAGTGAAGACGTGTGTAAACAAATGATTGAATGTTCTTTACAATAGACATGCAAAGTGCAAAGAGAGCAATTAGAGGCAACACTAGGAACAACTGTGGTTAGGTAGATAGTACTAAAGTAGTACATACAGCACAATCAATTTTGGAGTGTAAATTTTATGTAAAGTTACTTAAGCTACAAATAATTATCTTATTTCTTAATAAGTAACGTTATTTTAAAAAATGTCTAACTTCAGACTATTTTAATATCAGACATTTTTTTTATATTGAAAGACAATACCATTTTCTTCAAAAACACCAATACAATCAATTACAACTGAACCTACTATAGTTATCGATAAAGAGCCCTTTTGGGTCAATTGCAAACTTGTTTTAGTTATAGGATCAAAGTGAAGAGGTCATTTTTTTGCTTTCTGATTGCATAATCAGCTTGAGACACATTTAAAACACAAACCTGAAACATATTTTAAAGAAATCAACATTTAATTTTGTATCTGTGAACATTTTTATATAAAACAATATATAATAATCTAGAAAATGTTTTGGCAGATGTTTATGGAAAGAAAACTCCTATCAAGACTATGACTATATTTATGTACGTTTTAACATATAGAAAAAGTTTTAAATACTCTCACCATCACCAGTAGTGTCTATAGTAAAGTTTGGAGCGGCTGGTGCCAATCCGAGCCACCAGTCCTTCCCAGGGTGCAGATGCTTCTGGAGAAACTGCTGCGTTTCATCATTGAGAATAAAAGCGAGGTGTCCACCACCACGCTCACACCAGGACTGGGCTCTGAAGAAGGGACGCTGTAGACTGACAAATTCAAAGCACGAGCCATCAAAGCTCTCCTGGTGATCTGGACAGGAAAGCACATCAGGTAGCTCCTCAGCATAACAGGTATAGCTGAGAAAGAGGACCACTACAAGGGCAATCATGGGGATGTGGTGTCTGCCCATGTCTGTACACTGACCACACTGAGGAGGATCTTGGTCTTAAAAAGCAGTGACATCAGCAATTGCACCAATTAACTATTTACAATTACGATATTTGGACAGAACAGTCTTGATTAATGCTTGCCTTTGTGCTGGAGACATCACTCTTATGAACAAACAAAGCTAAGATGTGCAGTGAAAAGAGGAACAAACCCCATTGTAAACAGCAATTGCCCGACTACAGTAAATCCTCACAACCTGCACAAAGAGATAAGCCCCTCTTTCAAGCTTAATTTCATACAAATGCCACCTTCTCCCACACGACATTATTTTGCAGCAGTATCATTCTTTTAATGGTTATAATCGAAATATGTAATCAAATAAAATAATAGAAAGTACGCATTCAAGCAGTTTGATTTGGGTTAGTGATGGTCTATGCACTTTAGAATGACTGAATGAATGAATAAATAAATATTTAAATAAATCAATACATACCTAAGTAAATAGATGCATAAATGAATGAATACGTAGATACATACATACATAAATAAATGAATGAATGAATTCAAAAAAGCTCCTAAAAGAATAAAAAAAATAACATTTGTGTATTATTGCCATACCCGGATGTTTGACGTCATAACAGCGAGCCCCAAGCTACCTTGAGGATATGACATGCTAACACTTGCTAAAAACAATCAAGAGGGCATTTTTTACTTGACTTGTTGAAACTGAATTGTCGTAACGATGCTTGCGTGTAAACGGACCTTCGGGAACACAATGATTTCGGCACAGCGTATTTTGTGTAGAAAAGTAAACGAACTTTGCAAACGTTAACTAACCTAGCACTAATGACAGCTGCCACTGACCTGTTTTGTCGTTCTCTTTTTCCCAGGTTGTATTTTCTGATCACACACACAGATGTCTGTCCACACAAACGGAGGGAGAAGATCGTCTCGTTAAAATATTAAAAGAGAAGTTTCCTTTAGCCTCTTCGCTCAAAGTTGTGGATATATCAGGTAAAATATCAACTACATGTAAGAGGTCATAGGTACGATCTAACTCTTCTCCCGCCTAATAACCTTTCAATCTTGTTTTATCACTTATGGTTCAGTAGATACATTTCTAACGTAAAATTCTTTTTTCTTTTTTTCACATTTCGTTTAATATTATTATTTGTAATTATTTTAATAAAGCAATTTTTGTAAATGCATGCTATTTTAATATGTGATGTGAAATATTTTCTTATTTTTAGGTGGATGTGGGGCAATGTATGAGATTTATATTGAGTCCAGTGAGTTCAAAGGAAAAAGAACAGTTCAACAACACCAACTGGTTAACCAGGTAATATTTTCACTAACAATCTAAAGCAGGCATGTCAAACACAGGCCCGGGGGCCAAATTTGGCCCGCAATATAATTATATTTGGCCCACGAGATCATATCACATTATGTATTAGAGCTGGTCTGCCGGCTACAGATAGTCTATAGCGACATTAGTTATTTAAAATTTTGTTGTTATTTTATATTATACTTGTTCTGGATTCAATGTATAAGCAAAACTATTATTAAGCATTTATTTTAATTAGAAAAGGTTTAACATTGTAATCTTGAAAGAAGAGAAAACATGCAGATGAAGATGAAATTTTGCAATAAATATTTAGTTTGGCCCACGATTTAGTCGCAGTTTTTTTATTTTGGCCCTCTGTGAATTTGAGTTTGACACCCCTGATCTAAAGACTTAAGTCACATGTATTAATAATTATGTCCATAGAGACACATAAGCACAATTAAAAAGACGCACAAGCACAATTAAAAATTAAACAAAAAAGCTTTGTCACAATCCGTTAAAATTAATGGGTCACACAACAGAGTCAGAATACTTTTGCATCAAAGGTACATTTAGTAATTGGCATCTTTTTTTTTTTTTAAGGGTACACTTAGTAATTTGCAAAAGGGTATTTTTAGTAATTTGCATCTTTTTAAAAAAGGGTAGTTTAGTAATTGGCATATTTTAAAAAGACAACACCAACGGCACAAGCTACTGTATATCAGTCACTGTTTTGTGTTTTTCCATGAAAAGTAAGTATAGCAGAGTAACAGAAATCCATTACTTTTATACATTAGGTAGATATGGAACAGCATTATATAGCTACAGCCAGTTCATAGTCTGTAACTTTCCTGGTGTGGGGTCTGCCAACTGCTGAGATGTTATGCTTTACCTGAAATGTTTCACAGTATGCAATCCTTAAAGAAGGGGTATTATGCAAAATTCCTTTTTGAGCTTTTGTTATAATGTTCCCTTATCAAAAACATGCCTGGAGAGGTTTTAGATGTCATCCAAGAATGTGGGCCATACTCGAAGGCCTGGGTGAACTAAATGTGTTATGTGTTGGCAATTAATATCCCAGAGAAGTAAAATACCTGCTCTTATATCTTAACAGCAAATGTAACCTGTAACTGGTGGCATTACCTGCTTTCCTCTGTATCATTCCAGGGAACATTCCAGGCAAAGCAATAACACATAAATGGAGACAAACAGGTGGTAGTGCCACTTCACCAGAAATGTTATATAGTGCCTTTGTGCTCCAATATATCCTGATACCAATATCTGATTTATTATTATTGTTCTGAAGACCAGTTATTGCAATTGTTATACAGTCCCTGACAAAAGTCTTGTCGCTTATCCATTTTGTTGAAACAAAAGCTTATAACCTGACTTTAAATTAATCGATTGGTTTTAGAAATGTCTCATATGAAAGCTAAAACCCTCCCAAATTATGCTCAATATACTAAAATAAATTTGCTTCACTGAAGAAAGATTGATCATTTAATGAACACAGAAAGGTCAGATTTTGGCAAGACAAAAGTCTTGTCGCCTTGTCATATGATGCACCCAATCCTAGATTACAGCCTCACCTGTGATCAGTTACTGATCAATCAATTAGTGGGTGTGTATAAAAAGAACCCCAGCACACCAGACCTTCACATCAACTGCAACTTGACCTCTGACAACATGCCTAAGATCCACCCTGAGACCAAAGCGTTAATTATCAAGAGGCTGAAGACCAGATCCACTGCTGAGGTGGCTGACACCTTCAATGTGTCTCAGCGTCAAGTACAAAGAATAAGAAAAAGATCTGAAATGACTGGAGATGTTTTTGACAAGCCCAGGTCCGGCAGACCCAGCAAGACAACTGCTCGGGAGGACCGTTTGTTGATTCGAAAATCCAAGGACAGCCCCTTTTCCACTGCAGCAGAGCTCCACCAGGCCTGGTCACCTCAAGTCCCTGTGTCAACCACAACAGTGTGTAGAATTCTGTCTCGAAATGGCCTCCATGGTCGAATCAGTGCACAGAAACCAGCACTAAACAAAAGGCAATTAAAAAAACGTGTGGCATTTGCCAAGGCCCACAGCCTGCTAACAGGATGGACACTGGAAAAGTGGCAGAAGGTGGATTTCTCAGATGAATCCTCAGTTGAATTACATCACAGAAGCCGCAAATATTGCAGGAGACCTACTGGAGCCCGCATGTATCCAAGATTCACCCAGAAAACAGTTAAGTTTGGTGGCGGAAAAATCATGGTCTGGGGTTCCATCCAGTATGGGGGTGTGCGAGACATTTGCAGGGTGGAAGGCAATATCAATAGCCTAAAATATCAAGAAGTATTAGCTACCTCTTACATTCCCAACCATAAAAGTGGTCAAATTTTGCAGCAGGATGGTGCTCCATCGCATACTTCTATCTCTACATCAAAGTTTCTCAAGGCGAAGAAGATCAAGGTGCTCCAGGACTGGCCAGCCCAGTCACCAGACATGAACATCATTGAGCATGTCTGGGGTAGAATGAAAGAGGAAGCATGGAAGGCAAAACCAAAGAATCTTGATGAACTCTGGGAGGCATGTAAGACTGCTTTCTTTGCTATTCCTGATGACTTCATCAACAAATTGTATGAATCATTGTCGAACCGCATGGATGCAGTCCTTCAAGCTCATGGAAGTCATACAAGATATTAAATCTGGATCTCACAGCATCACTACTCAATTCACTGACGTTATGCAACATATTTTTGTATTTGAAGTAAATTATTTGTTCAATTTTCTGTAGGCGACAAAACTTTTGTCTTGCCAAAATCTCACCTTTCTGTGTTCATTAAATGATCAATCTTTCTTCAGTGAAGCAAATTTATTTTAGTATATTGAGCATAATTTGGGAGGGTTTTAGCTTTCATATGAGACATTTCTAAAACCAATCGATTAATTTAAAGTCAGGTTATAAGCTTTTGTTTCAACAAAATGGATAAGCGACAAGACTTTTGTCAGGGACTGTACTGTTGTCACTTTTATACATTTTTTTTCTGCATAATTATGTGATATTTTATATACTTTTTACTTTTCTTTCTTTGTAGGCACTCAAAGATGAAATACAAGGAATGCACGGTCTTAGAATATTCACTGAAGTGCCAAAGAATTAAAGAAATACCTATGTTAATGGTAGACTAACTTTATTTACAGAATGTACAAGAGTAAATATGTTTATGAACTTGTCTTTGTGTATGTACAATAATAATCATCATTGCCAAAAATACTTTTGCATTCACCTCTGAGGATTTTACCCTAAAATTATGAGCCAGTGAAGCTATGAAACGCACAAAATTTAAAGCTGCTTTTTTTGTCTGTTTAGGCTGTGATGTTGTATAGCTAGCAGTCATGTCTTCATAACTACCTACATAACAACTCTGAATAAGATAACATTATAGTAATGTGTCACCTTTTAAATACAGCTTTACCCTGAACACCTCTTCTCCTTTATATGGATTTTGAAAATTTGGTCACTGTGCATTTTAACGTATGATAAATGTTAAATTTTTGACAACCTTGAAAATAATTTTGTAGGCAGGAGTTACTGCTATGTCTACAGGTTTTTTCATTGCTTATACATGCTTTGTCCAGAAGGTGGCAGTATGCTTAGCCACCATATAACTTGAAACTTTAAATAAAATGCCGACATATTTTGCGCAAACTATAATTAATAATAGTTAATAATAAAATACACTTGATCTTTTGCTTCTCTGAAACTTTGAAATGAGAAGATTGTATTTATTATTTGGTCAGAATGTGACAAAGTTTTGTCCGCACTTACCAGCAGGTGGTGCAGTTTTTGTTGATACATTTTAATTCACATAAAATTGTAAACTGTAAATAAATTTAAATCGTAATGATAATTTTGAAATCGGTATGTTTATGTAATATTCCATTCAAAGGAACAGGTGCGCTTTGTCGTGCGTAAATCACATTGGTCAGTGGTCTCTCAGTGGACTTGCTGCATTTGAGGAGGCGCAGAGACACGGGTTTACTAGTCTCCAACATGGCTAAAGAAGGATGTGAGATGACTGAGGAAACCCAGCATATGATAGAGAAACAGTTAAGTAAAGAAAATGAACACGTGGAGTCGTCCTGTGATGGCAAAGAGATGCGAGTGGTGATGTTGTCAGGCTTTGGTGGTCTCAACAAACTCCGGGTAACCAAGAAAGCGATGCCAGAGCCTGCAGATGGAGAAGTGAAGATACGCGTCAAAGCTTGGTGAATATAATGACATGTATTTGTTTTGTGTGGTAGATGGACGTCTTCATCTTGTATGTTTGTGATGAGCGCTTTATTATCCCGCGGAATCAACATATTGCACCCTTGAAGCCACAGGTCTTTGCTAGTGATTAGTAGCTTACATCACGTAACTACAATGTTTACTTGGCATTCAGAGACTTTTATCTGGATGACGAGACGACCTAAGATAGCAATACAAAGAGAGGATTACCAGAGAAAATATTAGACAAATGTTCTGGAGAGGATCACTGTTTATTTGTAAAGCTTTAGGCTACTGAGCCATTCTTTCAAAGGCTACTATAAACCAAACAGTGCTTACAGTTTAAACTGAAAAAGATAAATGTAAATTTTAATATATATATATATATATATATATATATATATATTTTTTTTTTTTTTTTAAAGTGGTTTAAATTTCTTGGATCTAATGGTGCGTCAAGGAATAATTGACAGTCCGCCAAAGCTACCTGTGGTACCTGGTTTTGAGTGCTGTGGAATAGTAGAGTCCATTGGTGAAAACACAGAAGGATTTGAGGTAAGTGACATGATCAAATATTATGCTATGATATAATTGAGGTTACTTTGTATCACTTTATATCTTCCAGATTGGTGACAGAGTAATGGCATTTGTAAACTACAATGCCTGGGCAGAGGTGGTATGCACATCAGTGGATTTTGTTTATAAAATGCCAGATGAAATGAGTTTTGCTGAAGCTGCAGCATTCTCTCTCAACTATGTTGCTGCATACATGATGCTTTTTGAAGTTGCAAATTTGCGAGAGGGGATGTCAGTGCTGGTACACTCAGCTGGAGGGAGTGTAGTAAGTATACCTATTATAATTTTCACTACGTGAAACATATTTTTGCTTCGTTTTTATGTCCCAACATATTTATTGTAACATATAAGGTTATCAAAACACAGTACATGTTTTTGTGATAATGTATTTACTCACACATTTTTGATTCAGTGCAGTAATATGCTGATAATGTGTCATCAATGTTGCGTTTTCCCAGGGTCAAGCTGTGGCTCAGCTGTGCTCCACTGTGCCTAACGTGACAGTATTCGGGATTGCATCGTGTTTCAAACATCCATCCATCAAAAACTCTGTGACTCACCTTTTTGACAGAAACATCGATTATGTACACGAGGTTAAAGTGTAAGCATTGTATATGATAATTTGTAGATCTCATCTGAACATTTGTAATTGTTATCCATGACGTGTGCCTTGTCGACGTGGCCCTCTTTGAGCATTGGGATAGCAGGATGCAGATGTTACCTTTGCCTTATTTGGACCTGTGTGGTCACAGTCCCCATGGCAACTCACAGCTCATCTCAGGGAGCACCAGCTTTATGTTGGACAGAGGTCTGGACTGACTTTGTGGACCAGCCGAGCCAGTTAGGGTGCTGCTTTAATCTCCTACATAATCATTCATAACAAAACCTACAATATTTGTATAGGCTTATCATTTACTATTTTTATATCTATTTATGTTTTGTATGTAATATATAAGCCCAATCATTGTGCTGTGCATCGTATACACTATCAGTCATGAGGCTCATTGAAGTGTATATTCTTCGTAGGATCAACCTCAGTGCAGACTGTCCTTTTAGAAAAAGCATGCCCATTCAAATCACAAGACTGCCACACGACTGGAGGAGGCAGGTGTCCAAAAAGCAAAGATTTAATAATAAATGCAATCATGTTTCAAATACCTTTTACACAACGAACCTTGTAATAGTCGATGTTTTATAAAATTAACATTTCACATTTTTTCCAGTTGCTTTGCCTTTACTTTGATGCATGTGTTTTAGGATTTCTCCTGAGGGAGTGGACATTGTGTTGGACTGCCTGTCTGGAGAAAACACAGGAAAAAGTCTAAGTTTATTGAAGCCATTGGGTACATATATCCTTTATGGTAAGAAAAAATCTTTTCTTGTAATCTTTTTGGTATACCTCATGTGTGAGTGCAATTTTCAAATGGTGTAATTAGTTATGAATTAAGGAAATTAGTAGGAAGCAGGAAGGTCATAGCCAGGATGTGTTATTGTCATGACTGCCATAATTTTCCAATTTTACACTAATTACTTTGGATCCCCTTATGAATAAATTTGTAGCTGAAGGTGTATGAATAAATGCTATGCAGATTAAAGGTCAAGAGCCGCTGTTCCTCTGCCAGCACACTGGCTATTAATGGTCGGTTACATTTGCCCACCTAATAGCACAACACCAATCCTATTATATTTGCTTTTTCAGGCGCATCAAACATGGTAACTGGGGAGACAAAGAGTTTCTTCAGCTTTGCAAAATCGGTGAGTTAGACATACAGTGGGTCATTGTGCAATACACTAGCAATACATGTTGAAAAAAATCTAAATGCTAAAAACAAAGTTTGTGCTTGAATTTATTCCCCATGGGTACCTGGGACTAAGTACAGAATCATTACACCTGATCAAATTTGGGTTTGTGACAAAAAACTTGTGCTTCTATAAACTCACACCCTCTTTAACTTAATTATTATTATTACTATAGTGTAGCCAGAAACTGAAATATTACAATTCTACATGCACTATTCTACATTAAAATATTATAAATGTATTTATAAACTTTTAAAATAATTTAAAAATAAATGTTACAATTTAATACTGAGAAAAGAATGCACCATAAAAAGTGATTAATTCTCGGTATAAAACACAGCAAATTAAAAACAAAATGCCCAAACTTGTTTGGGACGCTCACTTAAACTTAAATCTGAAAGTCAAAGCAAATGTTGTCAATAATGGCACTGGACTTATCATTGTGGGCCCACATTAGTTGGAGAAGCAGCTCTTGGTTGTTTAGGCTTGATCCTATAGAAATCAAAGACTTCATCAAGAGGTTGTCCGCTGTACATTTATGAATCAGGACCAATCAATTTCACAATGAAGTTACCTGTAGTAAAGTGTGTATTGGATTTATTTTGTTAATTTTTTCAAAACATACTTAAGTTATGTCCTTCATTTTCTATTGTAGAGTTGTCATTGTATACAATATTTAACAACAACAATAATAACAACAATAATAATAATAATAATAATAATAATGCATCAGTTTTCAATAGGCCTTTTCTGGGCACTCAACGACACTTTATTCATTCACTCCATACCCGGTGGTAGTAAGCTACTACTGTAGCCACAGCTGCCCTGGGGCAGACTGACGGAAGCAAGGCACACACCGCGGTCATATTAGGTAATGTGGGTGAAGTGCCTTGCCTAAGGACACAATGTTTTTGTGATTGCCACCCAACTGTGGCACCTGATTTTCCCAGCGGTCTCCCATCCAAGTACTAACCAGGCCCGACCCTGCTTAGCTTCTGAGATTTGACGGGATCAGAAGTATCAGATGAGTAAACGTAACATCTGGCTACACCATAAGAAAAAATTAAGGCATTTAAAATAAAAACTTAAACTGAAACCACTTTATTTATGCAATGGTTTAGTTTTTTACTTCTACTGCTGAACAAGTGTGTTGAAGTAAGAAGATTGACTTCATATACTATACATTTGTTTTACTTTGTTCTAGTGGTGGCAAGTGGAAAAAGTGAACCCTATTAAACTTTATGAAGAGAACAAAGTCATAGCAGGATTCTCACTGCTTAATCTACTCTTCAAACAAAAGAAATGTGATTTGGTGAAGTCAGTGATGGAAAAACTGTTGGGTCTTTATAATGAGCAGAAGATAAAGCCAGTGGTGGACTCCCTTTGGGCTGTAGAAGAGGTAAGACAAGATCTCACTTTGTGACCATGTTATGCAACATGTAAAATAGATTTGCCATTTATCTTTCTAATCCAACCACCTTGTGATCTGTTCACAAGCAAAATGTATTCCTTGGGCCAGTCATCACTGGTTAAATATCAATTGCATTCTGAGGTTTATCTGGGCTTAAAATATTATGGTTAGGATCAATGTACCCACTTGGTCAAAATATTCAGTGGCTGAATACAGTTTGCATGGGAAACTACAGACATAATATGCCAAATATTGGCACGCTGCTCTGGCCATTCAGAAGAAGCATTCACCATGAACAAAACTGTTACCAAGGAGAAAGATGCTATTATGTAGTGTCAAAGGCAGTGCTCCCTCATTTTACTATAGGTCTGAATGAAACTCTTTATGTGAAAAAAATGGCATACTTCACTAAATACTAAAATTATTCATGAAAAGTTATCTATCGCATGTCTAATGTTCTGAAATTAATTGTCCCGTTACATCATACATCATTAAACAACTTCATGGACATATGGTTATAAGTACAATAGTAGAGGAATCTGCTTTATTGTCACAGGTGAAAGAGGCTATGCAGAGAATCCATGATAGGGGAAATATAGGAAAGCTTATTCTGGATGTCGATAAGCCTCCTACACCTTTGGTATGTATTTTTGCATGTATTTTATATATAGTTACTGCATGTAGTTACATTATTTGTAGTTATTAAGTTACATTATTGTCTTCTGATGACTTTTGTTTGTAATGTTGTTACAAGATGGCCAGTGACAGTACAGAGACGAGTGAAGCAGGAGAGGAAGAAGAGGAGACAGAAGGAGACAACGACATTAAGGAGCGGATGCCTTTTATCCATTAGAAAGCGAAATAAAGAAAAGGCATCAAGATACTGAGGTCTTCAAGCAGTGTTTGCTAGTGTGTGCATGCATGAGTGTACTATGTACATTTATCTGTATCTTGTCCTTTTGTTGATGTTAATGTGGTTTTAGTTACTTGAGGAAATTGCACTTGTTCAGTATAGCAACTCGTGAAGTGCCAATTAATTGCCTGTTTTAGTTGCAAATTAGAGATAGTAGAGATTGATTGCAGGCATCTGTGTGCATTATGCAATCGATATTCATTCAGTAGGCCAAATGTCTGTGCTGTTTACATGTGCATCAGTGTTTTAAATAACAAAATCATATTATAGCTCATCTAAAGGACAGGATGGGAACAGAGATGGCGTGAAGTGGCATAGCAAGTCTAGCCAAACATATCTAAAAGGAATTCTCAGTGCCTTTAAGCTGCAACACATGTGAATACTTGAATTATGTCAAAAAGTAGTATACTAATATGAGAAAGATGAATATGCATTCTGTTTTTACTGTGATGAGATACATTTTGAACATTCAGTTAAAATTAATGAATGACCTACCTGGGATTGTATATTTGAGAAAGTCCAGCAATTTACATTTTTTGTATTTTGACCAGAAATAAGAAAAATTAAGTTAAAATATCTGGGACATAAAATTGATTGATATATATTGATTAAAACACAACCTTCTTCCTTACATGGAATCAATATTTGTGTGTGAGTGAGATTTCTCATGTTGCCTTACGAAAAGAAAAAAAAAGCTCTAGTGTTATATTGTTCTTTATTGTACTGTGTTTTGTGCATTTGTTTACTTCAATAAATGTCACTGCAATTTTACAGCAATAAGGTTCAATGTGTATGCACAAGCTCACATGTAGTAAAGCCTATCTGAGGATTGTGTGTAGTAATCAACATTTAGAATCATAAGGAACTGAACAAAGGGGCAATAATATGTAGTTAGAATGCCATTATTACAATTAGAAGAAAAAACAAATGAGTCACTTTCTGCTATTTGTTTTTTCCTCCATGGGATATTTTAGAAAATCATGCTCGTTCTGAGTGCTCTTTTATCCTACAGCTCAAATACCCCTCCTTCCTTCAATATACAGCAGTCCACTCCAAAAATAACTAGAGCTGCTAAAAGTGGACTTCGTGGCATTAATATTTTTGTAGCACAGGGATTTCTGTGTAAAAATAGGATATATTTCACATTTGGAAAATTTAAAAAAGATATCCACAGGTTTTCAGAATAATAAAAAACTGGGATTGTTGCCAAAGCAATGAACCATTTAAAACAAAATATATCTTGAATGAGTAAAGTCTTCCAATTATTACATATAACAGCAAGCTGAAACCCACATATGTTTTGCTATTCTGGCTTTGCAATTACAGCTTCTATTATTATTATTATTGCCTCACACAAAGAAAGATTTCAATCATTATGTAGGCCTTCGTTATGTTCTCTGTATTTGTTTAAATTTTATACAAATGAGGGGAAATTATTATTTGCCTCTCGTACTTTTTCCTGATTAAAAAAAATAAATTAATAAATAAACAAGGGTTTGAGCCAGAGCAGCAGAGTAAAGGAAGCGTTATGAAAGGCATACACAGTGCTAGTATATAACTCCCTTCAGTGCAGTACAAGGTGTGCTACTGTGTGTCTATACCTCTGGACATGGCACGTCTCACCCTCTCAGTCTTTCTTGTCCTTTACTTCTCTTTGCTGCATATGAACTTTGGGCATCCAACTCGGACCAGAAAAGTGTCCGCTCGCCAAGCTGGTAATTATACTTCTTACTTTTTGTAGGCAGTATTTGTTAAATCATCAATTATCTGTTTTGTGCTTTTATGTGCTTTCCATGAGGTGCAGTTGCAGATGAAGACGATGTCAAGACTCAGCTTGAGAAATTGTGGCTGGAGGTGAATTCACTGAAAGAGATGCAAGCATTACAGACAGGTATTTTAAAAGATTTAGGTTAAATTATGACCGTCTTTAAGTTTTGCACTGTGATTCATCAGTACCAGTAGAGGGCAGAAATACTTGTAAAGAATAAGTCCTTGGTTGGATACGATAGTAAGTTAAACTCTCAGCATGCATTTAGGAAGCTGGAAATACAGTATGTAGTATACATTGTTCAATTACAGAAATAAAAGAGATTCATATTATTTTCAGTTTGTCTTCGTGGAATCAAAGCTCACAGAAAATGCTATCTCACTGTTGAGGTGCCCAAACATTACCATGAAGCAAATGAGGACTGTATTGCACAAGGAGGAACTCTTGCAACACCAAGGGACATGATGGAAAACAATGAGCTAAGAGACTATGCAAAGAGGAGTGCTCCGGGAACCAAGGATTTTTGGATTGGAGTTGCAGACATAGTGAAAGAAGGCCAGTACATTGATGTCAACAGCCAACCCATCAGCTACTTTAATTGGGATCGTACCAAAAAACAGCCCACAGGAAACAAGAGGGAGAGCTGTGTGGCCCTGTCAGTGGCTGCCCAAGGAAAGTGGTATGATGAAGTGTGTCGCAGTTTGAAAAAGTACATTTGTGAATATATTATTCCCTAGAGTACCATGCAAAGTTGTTACATGTAGTGTCCACATTGGGTCATTTATTTAGGCTACATCATATAGGTCCTATAACAGTTGTGTTTGTTTAGTTGACAGAATAGCATGGGCCTTTTTTAAATCCAAAATCAGCAATAGCTTAATATAGACTATAAACCATTTAATTTAATTACATTTGGACATTTGATCTCAATTATTCAAGACCATTCCTGTTATATGAGAAAGGTTTCTATAACCCTGTATTTCCAAAAATAAATAAATAAATAAATACTGGGGGGTTGGATGACATTTAAAACTGGCATAAAGTAAAATAAAAACCGCTATAAGAGTAAAACGTTCACCGCAGAAGGGTGCGTCCTTTACGTCAACTGCCTGTTTTAAGATTGTACATGTTGCAATATTTTCTGTCACTTGTCATCAACAGTCTGTTGCAGAAATCAAAGAATTTTTGTAGCTCTAGAAAAATAAATTTCTTAATAAAGTACTTTGGTAATGCGACATGTTGTGTTAGAGAGTTTATTTATATTTCCTGGCTATTTTAATAATGGTTGGTCCTTTGATTGTTACGCACGCATCACGCACGCTCGTCAGGATGGATGTGACGCCAAAGTCTCGCGGAGTAAACGCCGGCCATTTTTCACCGTTTATAACAAGACACTTTGTGCTTCTAGTAACTCTGTTGCGACCACTTTGACTATACCTCAAAGTAGCGCATTGTTTTACCTTGCTATTAAACCGACCACAACCACTCGCCATGTCTGCGCCACTCGCTGTAAAGTTAATTCGCTGACATCCGCACAGGGACAGATGCTTGTCTAAACTGTCGCACAAATGGAAATGGTGCCTAGCGAGGACAACCAGTTTGTTCCAAAAGAGGTGAGATGTTTACAGAGCCAGTGCAGGTCGGGAGACCAGCTCCATCTCAGTTTGTATGCACATACGGTTAGATAAGTGTTTGTTAGTTTATGCACTTAATGCACAATTAAAAGCTAACAGCTAGGCCAAATAATGTTAGGCTATCATGACATGGCTAAGAGCTAGCGAAAGTTAGCTGCTAGTTTCATTACATCAAACGATTTAATATTGTTGTGATCATTTAGCGTTAAGATGTTTTGTATAATGTTGTCAATTGAATCAAACGTTTAATTATGCTGGGCGTAGATGATAGATTGTATTTTCTTTAACAAATATGACGTTTGTCAACATCATTGCTAAGCTAGTAAACCAACTTATCTAGCCAGTCGGATGAAGCTAACTAGCAACCACGGTTGGCATTGAATACAGCAATTAATCTTTATGTTTTAAAGTTATAAACCGATAATGGTGGCATTATGAGGACGTGTCATTTTCATTTGCTGTCAACGTTACACTTCTTGCACGTTTTCTTTGACACCACGTGCTGGTATTATATGTCTTTTCAGATTGTTTTGAGTGTAGTTGTGAGAACTGTTAAATTAATTTAGCGTTAGCCTTAGCATTAGCGCATCGTCGGTCAAACAGGGTAACTGTTAGCATGCGTTTATCGCCTTTACCTGGAAGTCATAACCAGACCTGTGTTTCATTTTTAACTCGTTGCGCAATGTAGATTCCACATATCGAGACACACCAAATTATGAATGTTGTTTTACTTAAGTATGTAATTCAATCAATTTTGCCCTCAAATTTGTTATGGTGCTCATTTAATAAAAAAGTATGATGTGTCATATTTTGCTCATACCATTTCAACCTCCATGCATGATAAAAGTATTCTATATCTACTATTATTAGGGGATGTTTTGGAGTTGCAGGCAGGTGATTTTTGATGAAATGAAGAGGCGCTGCCAGGTACCACTGATGCTTGTCTCAGATGTAGCACCAGCAAAGTTTGATATTATCTGAGTCATCTTGTAGAGACGCAATTGCCATACCTTGTTTAATGAAGCATGGGCAATAACAAAGCTTCTTCAACTGTAGTTATTCTTGTTTTTTTTGGATGTTTGTGCTTGAGTTTGTTGCAAATGTTTTATGGGCAACAGGGAAGATAATACCTTTGCTGCATCCTACAATTTACTTGTCCCAGTGTATAAATTTAACTTGACTGATTCAGATTTTTTTGAGTATGTCTAACTATCTAACTATCCTTTATGTTTACAGTTATTGCCACAAGTTTGAGAGAAACAAACAAACAAAAAGATTAATTGTTTAAATTTCAAGATTTTTTTGTATATTCTGTGCCTGACTTCCTAATTTTGTTTCGCTGATTTTGTTTTGCCATCCTTGCGTAGCAGATACAGAATGCAGCAGACGAGTTGAGAGTACTGTGTATAATTCAGGACACCACCAGTGCAAAGACCGTAAATGAAAAGCTCACTCTTAATCTTCCGGCCTCCACCACTTTGTCCAAACTTCATGAAGATGTGGCCCATAAAGCGGGATATGTCCCTGGCACCTTTGAACTTGTGTGGGGAAATATACCAGACACGGTGAGCAAACAATTGTATAGAATAATAAGATGCCAGCTATTTTATCATTATGCTAATGTTAACACTCCAGAAGGAAAATGTTATTTTCTGTGTTCCATTATAGTTCTGCATTGGGAGAAATAAGAATATTGCCCTTAATTGTTTAGCCCAATCCCTTTCTTAAATGAACCCAGACTAATCCTGCTGCTGACCCAAGCCAGGTGCTGTGCCTGTAGTTATCTCACTGAGTAGGTCATTGGATTAAGCTTCTGTATGTTTCCACAGCAGCAGTTTGCTCACTTGCAGTCTACTTGCTCAACAGTCCTATGTTTTTGTTTGTGTGTTTATATCTGATGTTAAGTTTCTAACATACTTGTGGGATCCTGTCTCAAAATGATTTTAATGTGTGTTTAATACCTTTTTGGGAGTGAGTTTTAGAGGTTGTTATGTCTGAATGCAAGATACTCATGTAAGTACCTTTTTAATAAAGATTAACTTATGTAACACGTTTGGGGTTTTTTAGCCGTCACTGGAGCACACCAGTGATATGTCTCTCATAAACTCTGGGTTTGAACCTGGAGGAAAGAGGAATTATCTTCACCTTACTGACAAAGATGGAGAGCAGCCACACATTGCATCAGTGGGTCCAAGTATCAGTTGTTGATATTTTGTTATGGACAACATACTTATTTTTTAATTATATTTTTAGGAGGAAACTGGAGCAACCGAAAGCAGTGGATTGGAGGACAGTTCTCAGGAGCGCTTTATTGGGCCTTTACCTAGAGATGGCACTGTGGGGTGCAGTGGTGACTATAGCAGCCCATCGTATTCCTACTCTTCTATCCTCAACAAATCTGAAACAGGTTTGATTTTCCACATGTCTTTGTCTGTGTGAACTGTGTTTACAGACATCATAAATACCATGTGTTATGCATTTTGTGAAACATAATGTCATGTAAAGTGAATTTATAAATGATCTATTGTTCTATCTGTAGGTTATGTGGGATTAGTCAACCAGGCTATGACCTGCTATTTGAACAGCCTTCTCCAGACACTGTTTATGACTCCAGAGTTCAGAAATGCTCTGTACAAGTAAGAATACTTCAGTCAAAGTGTAATAAGGACAAAACACTTGGCTTCAATACGCCTTTTTACTTTGGCATTTAGCTGGGAGTTTGAAGAATCAGAAGAAGATCCAGTCACCAGCATTCCATATCAGTTGCAGAGGTTATTTGTTCTGCTTCAAACCAGTAAGAAACGTGCAATTGAGACCACTGATGTGACCCGAAGCTTTGGCTGGGACAGCAGCGAAGGTGGGAAGCAGTATGACTATTTTGGTTATTCAGCAGGTGCATATCTGACAAACCTTCTTTAACACTTTATATCCTCAGCTTGGCAGCAACACGATGTGCAAGAGTTATGCAGGGTTATGTTTGACGCTCTTGAGCAAAAGTGGAAGCAGACAGAGCAGGTCAGTGTTTTCATGAGACAGATTGTCCCCAAGCAGATAATTGTGATAAAATTTGTTAGAAAGTTTCAAGTATTTTCTCTTCATATATCAGACAAAGCTACATTGTTAATATGAAACTACTGATGTTCATGCTTTCATCCCTCAGGCTGACCTGATCAACCAGCTGTACCAAGGGAAACTAAAGGATTATGTTCGTTGTTTGGAGTGTGGTTATGAGAGCTGGAGGAATGATACTTACCTGGACATCCCACTTGTGATCAGACCCTTTGGAGCCAGCCAGGCCTATGGCAGTGTGGTGCGTTCTGATTCTCATAAAATGTCAATGTCACAGTATTATTATTTTGTTACAGCACTCGTTTTCAAGCTGATAAAACAATTGTGTGTGTTTTTGGATAGGAGGAAGCTTTACAGGCATTTATCCAGCCTGAAACTCTGGATGGACCCAATCAATACTTTTGTGAGCGTTGCAAGAAAAAATGTGATGCCCGGAAGGTGAGAAAGGCGAAAATGTCATACACACTGTTGAAAAATAGCACTGTTATATTATTTATTCCTCTCACTTCAGGGTCTGAGATTTCTGCACTTTCCATACCTGCTGACACTCCAGCTGAAACGCTTTGACTTTGACTACACCACTATGCATCGCATTAAACTCAATGACCGCATGACTTTTCCAGAGGAACTTGATATGAGTCCATTCATTGATGTAGAGGATGAGGTACCCTTTTATTTCAACTAAAACAATTTTGAAATATGGGAATTTTGAGAATGAGTGGCATACAAATGATAAAATTACTATGTCACAAAATGTTGATAATGGTATATTTTGATTATCTCTTTCAGAAGTCCCCACAGACAGAGAGCTGTACTGACAGTGGAGCAGAGAATGAAGGCAGTTGCCACAGTGACCAGATGAGCAATGATTTTTCCACTGATGACTGTGTGGATGAAGGCATCTGCCTGGACAATAGCAGCAGCACAGAAAGGGTGTTGAAACCAAAGGTAATTCACAAAAGCAACACAGCACACAGGTCCTATTGTTTTTCATTCTGTAAGGTTAGAGCTGATTATTTTCTTGCACAGAGCCTGCTGACCTATGAGCTGTTTTCTGTCATGGTTCATTCGGGTAGTGCTGCAGGGGGGCACTACTATGCTTGCATCAAGTCCTTCAGTGATGGCCAATGGTACAGCTTTAATGATCAGCATGTCAGTAAGGTCAGGCAGGGCGGTTTTGTATTGAATAAATACAAAATGTGGTGTTGCTGTCTTTCCACTTTATAAATATTGTTTTTCAGATCACTCAAGATGACATTAGAAAAACGTACGGGGGTTCCTCAGGAAGCAGAGGCTACTACTCAAGTGCTTTTGCCAGGTTAGCTGCATCTTTTGCTGCATTTTGCCTTTTTTGTTTCAGCATACTAATAAATGAAACATTTCTTTCTACAGTTCAACAAATGCATACATGCTGATTTACAGATTAAAAGATCCCACAAGGAATGCAAGTATGACAAACTATTTTATATTTTATTAATGTTGTTAATTGGCTTCTATTAATGTTATCCAATGTAACTCAGAGTATTTAGCTGTGGAAGACTTCCCAGAGCACATAACACGCCTAGTACAAAAAGAGAAGGAGTCAGAGGAGCAAGAGAAGAGACAAAGAGAGATTGAGCGCAACACTTGTAAGGTATAAACCTGATCAGTTGAGCAGCAAGATGCATCCATTTTTAGTTTGGGAGAAAGCTTTAATGTTTTATTTACAACTAGATCAAGCTTTTCTGCATGCATCCAGTGAAGATGATGATGGAGAGCAAGCTTGAAGTGCACAAAGACAAAACTCTCAGTGAAGCAACAGAAATGGCCTACAAGGTTTGTTTTATTTATATTTTCCCTTTATAATAACTAACATATTTCTGATGAATATGTGTTCTGTTACTCAGCTGATGGAGCTCCAAGGGGTGGTTCCTTTGGACTGCTGTCGACTAGTGAAGTATGATGAATTTCACGAGTACCTGGAGCGCTCTTATGAAGGAGAAGAGGAGACGCCCATGGGACTGCTGCTTGGAGGGGTCAAGTCCTCTTACATGTTTGACTTGCTTCTAGAAACCCGAAGACCAGAGCAAGTCTTTCAGCCCTACAAACCTGGAGGCAAGTCGCATGTTGGACACTTGAACTGTTATCTAACAGTACAACATTCAGGGGTTGTTTACTCAATAACCTATTGTATTCCTTGATATACAACAGAAGTGATGGTGAAAGTTCATGTTGTGGATCTGAAAAATGAGACCATAGCTTCTCCAGTCAGTGTTCGAGCATATCTGAACCAGACCATCACTGAATTTAAGCAGCTCATTGCACAGGTACATTGCTCTTTCATTGTTGAGTGTGTTAGACTTTCTGAAGGTCAGTTTAAGTAAGAACTGTGATAAGACCTGGCTTCATTTTGGTAGACATGTGAAGAATGTGTGCACCTTTTCAGGCTACAGGGCTGTGTGCGGAAACCATGCGCGTGGTCCTGGAGCGCTGCTACAATGACCTGCGATTACTCTATGTACCCAACAAGACACTGAAAGCTGAGGGCTTCTTCAGAAGTAACAAGGTGATTGTTTTTGTTCATTATGCCTGTGTCATCATAATTTGACAGCTTTTATCTGTAATGATAATTACTTAATGTCTATTTTTAGGTTTTTGTGGAGAGCTCTGAGACAGCAGATCATCAGGTTGCATTTACTGACTCACTCCTGTGGAAACTTTTGGACCGTCATGGAAATACGATCCGGCTCTTAGTTTTACTGCCCCAACAGTCTCCTGGCACTTTGGCTAATAGGACTCTTTGCCAAAAGACCGGAAGTGACTCTGATATGCCCTTTGACGACTCAAAGGGTAACAGTAAGTCTGTGGAGGCTATCCTGGAGGAGAGCACAGAAAAGTTAAAGAACTTGTCTCTGCAGCAACAACAGGGATCCAGCAACAGTGATAGCCAAAAGAGTTCTGACACCAGTGACTTTGAACATATTGAATCTCCCATCCAAGAGGCCGACTCAAACTCATCCCTGTGTGTTACCGCGGACAACCGAGAGCTGGAGAACCGGATCAGGGTCACGGCAGGCAGCACCGTGTGTGACCCGGAGACCCCGTTTGCCTCTGAGGAGCGCTCGGATTCAGAAGTCATTAATGACCGCAGCACCAGCTCTGTTGACAGCGACATCTTGAGCTCCAGCCACAGCAGTGACACTCTGTGTAACGCTGACAGTGGAACCATCCAACTGGCCAATGGCTTAGACTCCCACAGCATCACAAGTAGCCGGCGCTCTAAAGCTCATGAGGGCAAAAAGGAAACCTGGGACACAGCCGAAGAAGACTCTGGAACAGACAGCGAGTATGATGACAATGGAAAGAGCAAAGCAGAGGCCCAGTACCTTTACTTCAAAGCAGAGCCTTGCTCGCAAGATGACTCCACATGGGACTCACAGAAATGTACATTACATTACATTAATCTACTAATTGTTTACGTTAATCTACTAATTACATTTTTCCATTATGTGTATTGTAATGTCATTATTTTATTTTAGGTTTGGTTGTTCATGTGGACAAAAGGATAACGTTAGCAGCCTTTAAACTCAACCTGGAGCCTTACGTGGGAGTCCCCTCCACACAATTCAAAGTTTTCCGAGTCTATGCCAACAACCAGGAGTTTGAGAGTGTGCGACTGAATGAAACACTTTCCTCATTCTCTGATGACAACAAGGTCAGAGATCTCAAGCATTTGCTTTGTCTCTACTTTAGTTTATTGTGTGTTAGTGCTTACATTGAAATTTTCTCTCTAGATCACTATACGACTTGGAAGAGCACTGAAAAAAGGCGAATACAGAGTGAAAGTGTATCAACTACTTGTGAATGAACCAGAGGTAAGAAAATCAAGATTGACTATTTATAAGCACTGAATTAAAAACGCTGTTGTTGATCGCAGCCTTGCAAGTTCCTGTTGGACACGGTGTTTGCCAAGGGCATGACTGTCAGACAGTCCAAACAAGAGCTTCTTCCTCAGTTGAAAGAGCAGTGCAAGCTCGACCTCAGTATTGACAGGTAATGTACTCCATATAATCAGGATTTGTTTTATTTATAATTTATAATAAATATAATTTTAAACCAGGTATCACAGTCAACAACTTTTATGAGATTTTAGCTATGCAAAAGGTACAACATGGATAAATTTGGTGTTTTAAGATGATCAAAGCATAAAATAAGCTATGCTATAGGTTCATACTAAGCATAAGGGGGAAAAAAGCTTAATATGTCATATCTTCTCAGAGTTCGTCTCAGGAAAAAGACATGGAAGAACCCAGGCACTGTGTTTCTGGACTACCATGTATATGAGGAGGACATTAGCATCTCTTCCAACTGGGAGGTTTTCCTGGAAGTCCTCAGTGGTAGGATTTATATTGTTTGGGAATTTATGAAAATTATGAAGACAAAATTGTCAACTTTATCCCAATTTTTTCCCTGTATTAAGTACATGCATGTTTTTTTTTTTTTAGAACCAGAGAAAATGAAGTCTATGTCGCAGTTGGCTGTTCTGACTCGGAGATGGAGCCCTGCCACAATGAGACTTGGTTCTTTCCAGGAAGTGATTCTGGAAAGTAGTAGTGTAGAGGAACTGAAAGAAAAGGCAAGACATTTTATTATTATACCCTTATATTGTACTGTATTTGTATTCAAATTATTCTGTGTACTTTCTGCAGCTAAGCCAACTCAGTCAAATCCCTCTTGAAAATATGGAATTTGCAAAGGTTTGAATTTTCTGTTGCATTGAAGACAAAGTACCTGGTCTATAATTATTTGCTGGAGGGTTCAACACTTATGTGTCTATGTGCCATTTCCTAGGGAAGAGGGACATTTCCTTGTGACATCTCTGTGCTGGAAATCCACCAGGATTTGGACTGGAATCCCAAAGTGTCTACTCTGAACGTGTGGCCTCTCTACATCTGTGATGACGGAGCTGTGGTTTTCTACAGGTAATAGTCAAAGTTTGATTTTCAGAAATTCAGAAATTTCAGAAGGTTTGAAAGCACTATCTGAACTGCTTTGAATCTGCTCATGCATATCTGTTCATAATATTATTTGCAGAATTTATTGTTCAGAATTGTTCAAAGAAACATTTGCTTATCCACACACACTGACACAACCAGCCTTCAATCTAGGTTGTGCTTATCAAAGGGAAAAGATTAAAGATGAGCTTTCTGTGATCACCACTCTAAGCTTGTTAAGTTACTGGGGCGACTCAAATGCGTGTCATGAAACCTTTTATTGAAAGTTTATTTGTGTATTCTGCAGGGACAGCACAGAGGAACTCCTGGAGCTGTCTGAAGATGAGCGCAGTGAGTTGATGAAGAAGGAAAGCAGCCGTTTGCTGAAGACAGGGCAACGCGTCAGTTACTCTCCACGCAAAGAGAAGGCCCTCAAGATCTACTTGGATGGAGGCCCTGCCAAAGACACAGGGCAGGACTGAAGCACAAACACTACTCCTGGACTCTTGGGCTGCTACAGTGGAGCAGGACTTGGTGAGAGCATTGGACCCACAATAGTGTCGCACACATCAAATGCCGTTGTGAAGCTGGTCTCTCTTTCTCCCCTTTTTCTGACTAGAGGATTGACTCTGTTGTACACTATAGTGTATTTTACTGTAAAGTGTAAAGGGAAGAATCATTACAGAAAGCATCAATGCTGTACAGAGAAATAATTGAAATGCAGGTTTTTGAGGTGGATGCTGGTGTTGGGACTGTGATATTGAGCCACAGGGTATCCATCTTTAAGGGTGTCATATTACTCATTTCACCTTCTTTACTTTTCCTTTTTATTTATGGGAGACATTGATTTAGTATTGTCTGATTTTTCATGCAGTTTTTTTTGTTTGTACTTAAATTATTCTGAAGACAAATGACCAGATCAGTATAACTGAACTATATGCACAGTAAAATTTCTTCTAAAAATAATTTATTTGAATCAAAAGCAACAATACCATTTGACATTTTCTGAATCTGAACTGCTCCAGGTGCCAGTGAAATCATTCTGCATATATCTGTATCTTTTTAATTTAGAAGCTGAATATCTTTGTTTCTATTCCATGTGATCTGGTTTTCTCTCCACACTTTTGTGTATTTCTGCTGCACAACACAACACACAACATGTCATCTGCCTGTGTACCTGCTCTGAGGACTCAAGCTCAGCGTCGCAGTCCTTTGGGTTTCTGATGCTGCCACCAGCTATTCACTGTAGAAAAGCCAATATATAAATATGTTTGTTGTTTATTTCTTTGAAATTAAAACCATGTGTGAAATAGTTTATGATGATTTTAGAAATTAATTAAAAATGATTTTTTTCATACAAGCTTTCCTGTCAATTGTAATGGTTTATATAAGTTTCAAGAAAAGCAGGAATTGCAGATTGAAAATAATATAAACTAGTTTCTTACTTGCAGTGAAAACAAAGTGCCAATGTTATAAGCTCGGTATATTACTTCATACTGAACTGTGCTAAACAGTTTTTTTAAAAACAGAAGGAAAGATTTATATACCGTACATAAAATCAAAACAACCATACTCACGGGTCATAGGATAAGCCTAGCAAAGCTTTAGAAAAATGCCACTGACTGCAGGAAATTGGAAACTTTCATATCATATTCCAGTCAGCTACAACAAAAAAAAGCACACAACGGATAACAGTAGCAGCTTTATATGGCATTGTCACCGCATTGTAAATCAGACTTGGATAAGTTAAGATAAATACTCATCTATGCATTCATTATGTTGAAACCCATTGCAAATTGTAAATTGTAAAATCGAAGGTAAGTGATCAATGTAACAATGTAATTGAAGTGCATACCTTCAGTAAGAATAATAACTACCCTTGTTTTAGTTGACCTGGTTAGTGAATATGCTGAAGAGAGAGTCCAAGTTCAAACTTAGTGCTTTCAGGCATTCCTTTATAGTGAATTCCCCTTTTGCTTACATTTACAAATGCTGTTTAGATAATATAATCTATTTCTGAGTAGAGATTGTCTGTCATGTCTTCTTCACTTGAGTCCTCTCCTTTAAGGCACATGGAACCTCGTCTGTCCAGTGGTAGAAGAAACTCATTTTCAGACAATTTACAGAAAATACAAATTTTCAGAGGAATTCAAAGCATAATTGATTGCTCACCCTAAATGCTGACAGTGGAGATCCCCAACACATGGGCAGTGTTTCCTTGGGCCTTCATCCTGAGGGTCATGGGATAGCATCTCCATGAGGTGGTTAGAGGCACTAAAGCACTGCTCACGCTCTATGGGCTTTGTCAAGCAGATTGGGAAAAGCAGTGCTATAAAGTGATACAAAGTTATTACAAAGACTTTTTCAGTTACAGATGCTGGTGATGGGAAACAGTTGGGTAACTAAGGTACAATACCTTTATGGAAAGCACAGCAGAGATCAGTTTTGCAGTCACTCTGTGTTTGACATGTGCTGCCAGCATCTCCTTTAGAGGCACTTTCAGTGCACTGACCCCACACACACATGTGTTCATCACAGCACTCCACATCCCTGGTGCATGGCTGAAAACAATGATGGATGAAAACAATAACTATTATTTATATATATATATAAATATATATGTGTATATATATGTATATATATATATGTATATATATATATATATATATATATATATATATATATATATATATATATATATATATATATATAAAAACGTGTATAAGAATATAAGGATGATGGAACAGGGGCTGAATTAGTGTGGACCTTTAAACCTCCACTGTAACCTTTTAAAGCCCTTTTCACTGCAGCTGTGAATCAGCAGTAACTGTAGAGTATATCTGAACAGTGTAAAATCAGTGTAGCCATGGATTTCAGAGTGATGAAAATGTAGCACCATTGCATAGCAATTACCAATTCAACTAATGGGCTTCAAAATATGAATAGGCTTCAAAATATCACCTATAAAGAGGAAGTTGAAACGAGTGAATACTGTTTGCTGCTTTTGACAGTGAAGGGACCTAGACCTGAACACAACACAGTATTGTGAATACCACACTCCAATTACACTTGCGGACACACTGCAATGCAGTCAAGGATGACCCACCTGCACTGTCAGGATGCTGTGCAATGTGCATGTAAAGTGTAGCTTTAAAACAAATGTTCTGAAGTCATATTTTACCTACCACATCAAGAGCTTTGCAGGACATGCATTTAGAGCGGTCTACTTGAGAGAAGCAATACTCTCCCTTTTCACAATCAACATCAGTGATGCAGCCCTAAAGAATACAGTAAGAGGGACCAATAAGAAGCACTGACTAGACCTTTATGACCAATACGCCTACTGTTTATAGGGTCATTTCTAGGCATATAATTGACATATATTTTTGTTAGTTAAACACAAACTTACATGATAAATGTTGTTGTCCAAGTCACTGGGCTGGTGATCAGTTGAGCTAATGTTTGTATCCTGTTCAAGAGTAAAATTATAGGTTATAGCCTAATAGTTGTGGATGTATTTTTTCATTATCCAGTTTGCAAACTTGCCTGGTGAGCTGAATGGTGGATTGGCTCAATAAGATTATTAGAAGGCTCAGTGATGTTACCAGAAGTTGACTCATTTGGAGGGATTGAAGGAATGCTGGGAGGAGGTGGGGGGACACTGTCATTGAACTAGGAAAAATAACATACTATTAAAATGGTGACCTTTTGCAGTTCAGTAGGCCTATATCGCAGTCAAGCAAGCATAAGCAACCTAATGGTACATGCATGCTGATTAGAGGTTCAACCAGCAGTCTACCTGGGGAAACTCGCGTCTCTGATGCAGTTGATCCTCTTTAGTCTGGCGGTCGAGATCCGTATGTTCCCGAGAGAAAACATCTCCCAGGACGTGATTGAGGCCCGAGTCCACGATATCAGGGAGAATCCCACGGACGGGCACAGTGAGTAGGAAAATGAAAAGAGTGAACGACCACATGATGCCGCCGGTGCTGATGCTGCGGCTGCACTGAGCGGAGGGTGTGGTGGGCCAGAGGCTGCTGGGAAACAACCATGTGATCACTGATCACTATTACCCAATTACCCCTCCACATCAGATAGAATCCATGGATAGGATATACTTTAGGTAGACCTTTTTGTGCTCAAAGACATGTTTTATAGGTTATGAGACAATTTTGATTTAGAGTTTAGATTTAGTTCACCATTGCCCTCAAAATTTACATTTTAGGCCATCTGACCAACTTTCTTGAAATGTGTTGAAGTGAAGTTCAAAACGTTTGGAAAAGGAACATGTTATTGGCGTTAATTATTTTAAAGTATGATTATTTTAAAGTATAACTAACGTTATTTATAACCTTAGATATATTTTTTAAGGTTGTAATTTTGCGATGTGCCCACGAGATGGCCATACAACACGCATGATCATAGTGTATAACTAAAGCGTGCGCTGAGCAGGCTTGCTGTGGCTTGACTTTTCCTGTCGATCTAATCCTGCTCTGAGTTTCTGCTGACACCTTGAAAAGGCTGAAATTTTGACCAAAGTGTTTCACACCAGGGCCATCAACTTTAGGGATATAGGTGCAACTGTGATTAAATGAAAAGTTGCCCGATAAGTTTTCTTTGTTAGTTGTTGCGTGGGCATCTCTCCATGAGTTCAGTCAGAGCTTGCTTCCTTTTGAAAGCGTGAGTAACAGAAGGCGTGGAGCAGTCACAGCCTGTGTGTCAGGCTGAGCACCGCCCATTGACTCTTGACTACTGCATTTCTCTTACAAACGCCGCTGCGGGTTAGATTGACTTGGGGCTGACCTTATTCACCCATTAAAACCAGAAAAAAACGACATGATGTTTCTAGGAAATAAATGAAACCGCTGAAGCTGTAGCAAGGTAAGTTTCTTTTCAATTTTCAGTGTCTGGAAACATTAAAATTAAAGCATATTCACAGTAAGTCATGGACTGATAAAAGACTAGTGTAGAAAGATAGAAGACTGGCTATCCAAAGCAGCAAAGCAAGATAAGTTACAATCATTAACTAATCACTAATGTAGCCTAATGTAAAATTCTCATTGGCAAAAGCAGCTGTATCTACACACAGTAACATCTGTTTTTTTTTTTTTTTTTTTAATAACTTATTGCTGATGACAAACTGGCCTTGGTGTCACCTGCAGACCCCTGTGCCCTCATAAAACACTTTTTCTTCACAAATCACTTTTGAGAGAAGGCTTTTTAAACATTTCTGCAAAGAAAAACAGGCACTGCCTTTGAATGGGTTCATAGTTGAGTTGTTGTGTATTTAGTCCTATCACAAACATAGTCTAACCCTTCTGGCACATGTTAATGAACTTGACCCACTTATCTTTTCAGTTATTGTAGTTTACCTCACCTGTAAAGAGCCTGACCTGTCTCTGGACTGGTAATGGCCCAAATGGCATTGTAAAGAAAGGTGTGGTGTTGACAGTTTATACAGAGCTTCAGTGTATATATGTGTGACAGGAAGCTAATGGTTTTATAAGAAGGGTCATTGTCTACACTAAAACTAATAACATCCATGCACTTCTATGTTTGATGGAAAGGCTGCTTGATTAACACAGGAGAAGAAGAAAGTATAAAACAGTAAGTGAAAGATGCAATTTGTAACTTTACTGGTGGAGGGTCTGCCACAGCCTTGTCTCTAAATGTTATTTTTTTTCTATGTATCTTACTGATACGCTAGTATTCAGCTGGTACTACATTACACCTTGAGTCAGTGTTGGCACCACTTACACCTGCCTCAGTCAATGAATGTGTAGAAATCACAGGCCAAGAGACTTAACCTCATGTATTTGACTGGAGATTAAAAGATTGTTTTAATATTCTACATTTATATAGCCTACTGCATGTCTCTTGACCTCATTAACATTTACATCAGTGCATGTTTGTGTGTTGTTTAGTTAATGCCTAATAACTATCTCTATGTCTTACTAACATCAATATACAAAAATAAAAGTTTAGCTCTTTGTAAGGCCAGCATTTACATAACAGCTTCCACAGCTTCAGTTGTGGCACCTATCTTTGTATGTATGGTGTGATATCTACATGAATAATGAAATGTGTTTTGTTAACTTTTCATTTAAGCAAACATAATTACAAAAATGTTTAATAAATCACTTTGCTGCAATGAATATGTGAATATACAACAAACATTTTAGCTTAATTGCACTTTCATTTGAACTAACTAAGTCTGCATTACAAAACACCAAATATATCTCTGGAAGGTTTGGCTGAATTACATTGACTACCATCAAGTTGACCTTTTGTACTCTTGCAATCATTTGAGTACAGTTTTTTTCTACTCAGTCCACTTGCTGATACATGCAAGGGTCATGTGATGTTTTGGTAACATAATGCTCCTCTATTTTGATTCTGTTTTTAGCAATGTTGACTTCTATTCCTGCCAGGCTATAATCCTGACTCCCAATCCCTCAGCCTGCCCCTGTTTGAATGAATGATATTTGGAAGGGTCAGGCAGTTTTGCTCCACTGTGTTCTCATGATCAAATGCAAAATATCTGATCTGAAATGGAGAATCTAGGTCAGAATAACTGGTAAGAAGTAATTGCTTTGGAGAGATTTTGGCTCAGTACAGCTTTTTACTCTGCATGTCTTGATAAATCATTGTCCAGTGAAGTCATGTAGCGCTCACACCTCCAGACAGTCCAGACAAGCCCCTAGTGCTTACTCCCTTTCTCTAAATGAGCAGTTTTCACCTATGAAGATGATGGACGTTTTTACAACCATCTGACATTGTATTTATCTCACCCATAAAACATTTTTCAACTGGTTTTTAGATGGCAGGAGTGGCTGATGGAGGGCAGAGTTGAAGTCCTCTTGAAGTTTATACTGTTTTGGAGACACACTGGCTGCTTATCAAGCCAACAGAGGGTTCCTTCCTGGTTTTCTTCAGTCTGCTCTGTAATTACTGTTCCTCGTTGGCTTCGCTACGCATTTTCCAGCACTTCCAATGTTGCCCTGTGCCGTCCGGCTTCCTATTGTGCTCCCAAAGCCTGGAGCTATGTGTGCTGCAAAAACATTGTCACTGGTGGTGGGACACTTTGCTGTTGTTTCAGACTTTGGCTTCAGGTTATTACACGCTATTAGCATCTATCCTTTAGTCCACTAATTTACTCTCAATTCAAACACTTCACATAAACATAATAGCACTATTATTTAAGTAGCTTACTAGTGGTTATTTTTTAAATTAGTCAAATGATTATTTCTGTTGTTTTCTATTGTAAAGATCTTTATTTAACTAGTCAGAACCAAAATATGCAAAATTGAGACTCTAGTTAAAAGACATATTTGGCTTGTCTCATTTACTTTACTCTGTTGTGTTAAGTGACCATTATTCCAATTAATTGTTGCAGCCCAAATAGGTACAAATTTTGCTTTAAAAATGAAATTTACTTTATAGTTCATTTATAATTTCCCAATTAAATTATCACCACAAACTGGATAACTATGTGTATTACCTGTTACTTTCTTTGGAATAAATCTAATATAGATTTGCTTGGAAACTAGGGCTATATTATAATGTTATAATTTATTTTCCACTGTCATTTTTTTCTAGTTTTTGGTTTATTAACATGCTACTTTTTCCCCCCAAAAAAATTCCTAAAAAGAGTGAAACCTCAAATATGTAACACACTATTACTGTAGATGACACACTATAATTTGAGTAAATCCCCCACAAGCCCATGCATATTATTTTAATGTTGTGGGTCTATGTATGCGTGCATGTGCGTGCTTCTTCACTCTCTGAGCTGTCCAGGTGAGACAGGTACATTTTTCAGATTCCTCACATTCTTCACATTTAATATATGACACTGATCCCTCTCTGAAATACACAGTAGTTTTACCTGCACATCTTTAAACCTTTGCGTTAAGGCAGCACAATTAATAGTTATTTTATATATGTGTATGCTAATTTTAAAACATACATTTCAAATCCCCCTCAGACAGCCTTAGTCAGTGTGGCTATTCTTCAGGCTGACCATAGATCCAAAAGTGACAGTAAACTCCCTGATCCTCTTAATCATGATATGCTGGGACAGTGATGTGTGGTGGGAGGGTTTGTCCTGTATTCTTTCCACTTTGTCTGTCATTATTGTATTTTTACAGCCGTTCTGTGGGTGAGCTCTGTCTGCCCACAAGTGACTTTCCATGCAGTCAGGCCTGAGATGGTGAAGTCATAGGACTTGTCTCAGACAGTGTTGTGTGAGCAGCAGTGACTTGCTCTGGATCAATCCATGGTACCTTTTCATCTGACATATCTAACAGATGGTCCCAATCATTATAATGGCCTCTTCCCAATCTTGAAAGCAAAATGAAGTCATTTTAAATCAAGGCAAAAGTTTTTGAAGCAGCAGTAGTCATTATTATATATAAAACCAGCTTTTAATTGGAATAAACTGAAATGAGTACTTATCTCTACTTAATAATTGAATTGGTTAATTTATCTGAACTATGAACTCAATCCATGTTTTGGGAAAACCTAAAAAGGCTTGTTAAGATTGTTAAATCAAAAAAGAAAATAAGGTGAATGCTAAAGGTACAGGAAAAGTGCAGCACTCAACCACTCATTTCCAGAGCTTGGCCAGCCTTGTTCAGTACTACCTTAGCTGGAGGATATACATTATGTAATTTAACAAAAGCATAAACTCTTAATCTCTATTCTCTAGAAGGTTTTAAGATAGGCCTACAAATCTATTATTATTCCCAGGTCTAATATTTACAAATACAATTCAACTTCTATAATGTATTATTTCATCAAAGTTGCCTTCAGGATGAAACCACTGCACTGTATTTTCTGTGTACCTGAAAAGGAGATTGTGTTAACATGTAGATCAAAATGTAAGCAGACTTTGGGCTTACTCATAATGAGTAAACTGGCCTAGTCTTGAATCATTATTGCGCCCAGGATCCTCACATGCCACATGCTAAAATTCAATTCTCTTTTCAGTCTCATACAATGCCTGAAGAATGAACTTTCCTCCCTCTTATACTATGTCTCTTTCTCTGTCATCGTGGGCACTCATTGATAGTTTGAGAGGAAAAGAGCATGGTGAATGTGGTTTTTGTGAATAGCAGAGTGCTGAGGCCAGTGGCTGGGCTGGTGAAGAGATGGGCTTCTGCTGATGCGGCTACTCTGTGATCCACGTGGCACCGCATTTTTTTTCACTGTAGGGAGCAGCCTCAGGGGACAAGGACCTGGAAGTATGTGTGACTTTATAGAGAAGTGTCCTTGTTTAGTTTATAACTAGTTCTGCAAACATGAGCAATAAACAGTGGAGTGAACTTTGAGATAGGTTTGGGTAAGTGCAATAAATCAAACAGAGATTAAATGAGATTCAGCTATTTCTAATCATTAATTATCAGCTTGCGTCTTTTTTACTGAGAGGCCTACAGTCAATCCTCGGTCAGTAAAAGCATGTGCTTTAGAGCTTAGAGTTAGTTCAGACTATAGCAGAACAAAGTTTACAGTTTTTTTGTTTTGTTTTAAATGGCACTGATTAAATGTAAAATTGTAATGGCACCTTGGTCTATAGCATAGACTGTATATACAGTCAGTGGTCTACATTTGGAGGTTTTAAAGGCTTTGGAAAAGTTAAATCCAAATATGTAATATTTCCAATGCATAATCATTATACAGCACTCAAAACTTGGTTCTTATTAATGAAATAAAATTATGACTTAAAGAGTTTATTTTAGAATTATAATTGAAAAGTCATGAAAAACTTTGGGGAAAAACGTGTACTATAAAACATTAAGATACAAAGTCAAATGACATGATGATGTCTATGTTTTGCTATTGTGTAACTTTGATTGCTGGGAGGAATTCTTGTCCCTGTTTTTGTGCTATTTAACAGATAAGGAGAGTACAGAGGCAGTGTGAAAGAGTGAGATCACTGGTCTGTGGACCTACGGGCTTTTGTTCTGTGCTATCTTTGACCATACGGAGAGCTTAGGCACATTTAGAACAACAGTCACATTTTGCCACCTGAGGCCCTGTGTGCTGGTGATGACAGTGGGGGTATTACTGTTGGGGTCCCTGAAAATCCAGCACGACCTGCCCATCCTGCTCCACAGGACATTAAAGAATCAAAAAAGGTTTCTCTGGAAACTGGGGGAAGCTGTGGCCTCCACCCATGAGAGCTCACACGCTAAATGCAGAAAATATACTTTGATGTTTTAGACATGGATATTTTGGCCTCATTTGAAAAACTTTTGATGGTTGATTGGAGAAAATATAAATTTTAGCTTTGCCTTTTCTCAAATGTCACACTATCTTACACACTGATAAATATTCAGAAAAATAATCTGAAAAATTCTTTACATCATGCAGACAAGTCACATACAATAACTCCAAACACTGTTCAGGAATGAACAGCTTTTCTCTGGGTGGGAAACATTATGTTTCCTGTTCATTTGTGTAAACTCCTATTGGCCAACCCAAGAAATGTACTGCAAAACAAGTGTGGGGTAGGTACCACTGTCTGTCATACTCTTTGCTTAGCCTGTTAAATTATCCGATTTGGAATCTATAATTGTGTTGATACTTGTTTGAGAAAGGTAAATTGTATTTCTAAAATTACCGTTTTGCCAGTTGGTAATTCAATAAGTATTATTGTTCTGTACTTTTTCACAGGACCAAGCCTTGCCTGAGTTGAGACCTACTTACATAAGTTGCTTATCTACAGCAGTAGAGTGACTCCTTAATATTATATCACTGCCGTGCCTGTAGATGGAATGTTTTTGTCAATAGATAAGACGAGAGTTTGTTCACCAGTCTGAAGCTATTTATTTGGTAAACTGGAGCCACAGGGTAAATAAAACACATCTGCCTTGTCTACTGTAGTGATGCAACAAACAAAGAAAAATGTTGGAGCAATGAAGTGAATCAGAGCTAATCATAGAGCATGAGGAGACAAGTGTTGCCTCCAGCGCTTGTGCAGAAGTCTTACCCCATGACATCAGACCTTATGTGTTTCTTCTGCAGACAGGGGCAGCATTAAGTAGCAGAGGGAGTAACCACATCTGGAGGAGGACTGAACTCTGCAGCAGCACCTTGGACTCTCCACATGCCCCACTACATGACCACGACCATGGAGGACACGGATGAGGACAGTGTGGCCAAGCTGTTTGAGAACTTTGTGCAGGAGTCTACATGTAAGGGCACGCTGCAGGCCTTTAATGTGATGTGCCGAAAACTGGACCTAGACCCGTCAGACAGCAGCACGTTTTATGCTGAGCTGAAGGCCAAAGTCACCTGCTGGAAAGCCAAAGCACTATGGGCCAAACTGGACAAGAGAATGTCCCATAAGGAGTATAGGAAAGGACAAGCTGCTGTGGGCACCAGGGTAGGTTCATTATATTTTATCTATTTTATCTGTTTCTATCCATCGTTATATATACATTTAACAGAAATTACTAACTGCCAACCAACAACTAATTAGACGTTTTTATGTTTTTCCTGTGTTAGGAGAGTTGTTGCATTTGTTAAGGTTTTTTTTAATGCTTTCTTTTAGCGTTTAAAAATAGATTTTTAAAAAAGTATTTAAAGTATGTTCTTAGTGTGCTCCAATCCTGTTTCCCCATTCTTGGCTTTTGTAGTTGGTAATTTTAAAACTTGTACTTAGCTGAAAAGGTTTCTAATATTTGCAAATACTTTAATGATATATATAATACTAGATGAAAAATGACTATGCTGGTTACAATGTTGGATACAATGGATAACTGAAGATATAAGGCATACATGAGGTCAAAACAGTAGGTGCAGGTGTTTTATTACAAGTTACTCAGTGCTGGGAGTGCTTCTTTCCTTAGTATGCACGGAGTTGTACAGACAGTAAAAACATCAGCCAGGCTTTGTAGCTGTAAATGTGATGAGAGGGCCTTCTGCAGTGTGATTACCTGTCCGCCATGAGCCCACAGCACAGTGAAAGAGTGTTTTTATTGCACAAACACAGACAGCATCACTCAGCAGCTCAAATTATTTGGCTTGCTTTTTACCACAGTTCAAGGTATGCAGTTTGATCGGCTCATCCTTAGCAACAGAGACCAAAATGTCTGGTGTCTGTGGGATTTCATAGTTTTGCCAGTGTTTACACAAAATGAGAGACAATTGTGTTATAGATAGAAAATATGCAGTAAGCAGTATGCATTATATATTTCATGTACTATTTTTCTGCAAAGTAAAAATTGGACTCAAAGGTGCACAAACACACAGTATTAATGCAGATTCTGCTCTGATGCAGATTTGGATACATTTTATTAATATGATAATTGTTTAGTTACCTTTCTTATATGCTCTGTTCCACTTTGTGGTAATACAGAAAGTCCTCCATTGTATTTTTAAACTTCTTATACTGTCACCAGAATCATCTGTCTAATTTCAGCCCTGGAATTGCCCATTTTCTACTGAAGAAAAGGTAAAAGTAGCTGTTAACTTAAAAACTGTTGCTTCATGACATCACAAGGTGGAACAGAATATTTTGAGCTTTAGAGATGTAGAAAGCCTAATAATAAAGGATTACTCAAACTTGTGTGAATGAAACAAAACACAACCCCCAGTATGTTTTTGATGTGGTACCATTACTTTATTACATAGCTAAAAGCTCACAAGAGGGAGTTTTGTGTAATATCGGATTTTTTAAGAAATGTACTATTCTCCCTTTCACCCAGTGCTGTGTTGATCACTCACTCTTTTCTGCAAGAGGGGTTTTAAAGGATGTGATGTCACCTTTGTTTTACGGCCTGACACATCTGGACTTGGTGACATGTAACTATAAAGAGTTAACAAGTCTAACAGAACCTGTCAAATGAATGCAGTGGCTTTAAGATGTTTCATATGTTGCATTGCTGGTGATATTCAGATTAACACATAAACTCTATAAAGATTATGGATGCCAAGATAATTAGTTTTATCTGTTATTAATTATTCAGGGCGGACTTTTGCAAGAACTAAAAAATAATAACGACAATTTCAGAATCCAAATTAAGCATTCTAAATTCAGTTGTATACACTCAAAAAGTAAACCTAAATGCAAGGTGCTTTTGTAACTGGCTTTTTGTGTCACATGAAAGCATGATTTCACTGGACACATTACAGATGGACAGATTTTCTTCAATGACAGAACACCATAGTCAATAATTGTTAAACCAAGCTTAAATTTGATAATTGAGATTCATAGGAGCCTGTTTTTCTAGGAAGTTTTGACCACCTGTAATGGAATAAGTGTAAGGTAGAGCTGCTTAATGTCATATGGCGTAACATTCTAAGCAGAGTAATGGCATATCCATAGAAACAAGCTGGTGATGGACCAACCCATCAAAAATGTACACAGTGTACCTTTTTTGTTGTACCCAATACCCATTATTAACCAGTGTCAATATTTTAATCACTGCATAATAGGAGACAGACGTTTTTGAGATAAGGGAAGTAAAAGGGAGTTCTTGTTTGTATCTGGTGTTTATAACACCAAGCCACTTATGGTGAAACTTTGTCTTACTCATCCCCCACCTCCAAGCAGAAACTTAACAACACACTCAGCAAGCATCCCTATGGAGCCAAACATCTCCCTTTTGAAGTGCACTGTGCAGGAGTTTGAACAGCTGGCAGAAGGCACGGTGCACAAAGCTGATATTGTGTCCTCAGTGATAGAGGACATCAAGGAAAGCAGGATGACTCAAGTCTGAATATCTGATCTGTTTTGGACACCATGGACAAAAGAGATCAGTTTAGCATTTGTCTGTGCTACTCTAATAATGATACAGTTTTTTTTAAAGGTGCTGTGTACTGTGTCATTTTTCTGGTGAAGACTCTTCAACCTGCTTATCTCCATTTAAATGTACTTCACCTAGAATGTTTCAAAGTATGATGTTAAACTTGTCTATTGATATAAAGTTAAGCAGGTAGTGCCTCTAGGCCAAGTTAGAGGTTAACTCTGGTAACAGCACCCTATGTACAGTAAGACATGGCATGATTTTTCAACAAATATTTTAACAAAAAAACAAAACAAAACAAAACTGAATACATTGTAGATAGATTGATAGAATGTGAAATGCCATAATGTCAATGATTACATTGAAAAGAAAAACATCTCCATGGAGCAGCATCCCACCATCACCAGAAAAGTTATATAGGGTAATGGAACTTTATCTTTTGTACATTTTTACTCAAAATCACATTAATCCAGTACATGCCCTGACACGCACTGTAGTGGCCTCATGCATTTGTTCATCATCAGGCAGATACAGTAAGATGAGTAAGAGGCTAGAAATGCAAAACATAAAAAGGTTTAGTGATAGGTACCCAGAGCAGACATTCCTTTGGGCAATTATTTTTGCAGTGTTTTGTTTGTAATGCTTAGAAACACTTCCTCATCTTTCATCTATGCATGTGCTCAAACCTCCCAGGCGCTTGAAGATCACCACTTAAGTATTAGAGCATTTAAGTCAACTGTGCTTATGTGAGATTTAACATAGGAAGTGGAACGAAACTGTGATTTCCCCTAAGAAGAAATTTGCTAACTACAGTATATAGTATGATATTTGTAATCATGTTCATGTGCCATTTGCTTTTTAGTGCCTGATCATTGGAGGAGGGCCTTGTGGTTTACGGACTGCCATTGAGCTTGCACTGATGGGTGCCAAAGCTGTGGTAATAGAAAAAAGAGACTCTTTCTCCAGACACAATGTACTGCACCTTTGGCCTTTCACCATTCATGACCTACGAGGGCTTGGGGCCAAAAAATTTTACGGAAAATTTTGTGCTGGAGCCATAGACCATATAAGTGAGTAATCATTTTAAACACAGTATTCTCTCCATATGTTAAGATAGATTTGGGTGTGTACTTTTGATTAATGTAACACTTGCAGTGAGAGTGAGAGTGTCCTGATTCAATGCTTGTGTAATGTTTTCGTGACATCACATATTTTCAAAGAGAATGTTCCTGCAATAAAATGTGGAAAAGAGCACAAGAATATGATATTGGAGACAATGGTTAGCAACTGCCAGTGAATTATATTCAGTGTTATACTCACGTACATCTTTATTTTTTTTTAATATATATTTATTTAAAATGAAATCAAAAACGTGTCAGAATTGTTTTGGGTTCAACAGGTATTCAACAGCTGCAGCTCATCCTGCTGAAGGTGGCCCTGCTTGTTGCCGTAGAGTTTCATATCAACACAGAGTTTGTCAAACTGCTGGAGCCTCCAGAGGACCAGGAAAATAAAGGTATTTGGATGTCAGGCTCATGGGACTTGTCTGCAAGCAGTGTTGGATTTCATCAACAGCAACAAACAGATGAATAGTCCGTTATAAATAGCATTAGTGTTCATTTACATTTTGGGAAGTTCCATGTACACTTCCTAAATTACAAGCCTGTTTCTTTGTTCCCTAAAACATTTTAACCTATTTAGTTTTACTTAGATAAGTCTAGATTTACTGACCATTTCACACATCATAACTGTACTGTAGTACGGTACATAAATTCAAATACTAGACTTTTTCTTTACATTTCTGTAGACCTTGGTTTATAGCATAATATATTGTGTAACAGTAGCTCAGTTGGTAGAGTGTTTGTCCACTGATTCAAAGGTCAGTGGCTTGAATCTCACTTTCAACATAAACATCACTGGTTGAGTGTTCAGGTCCACATGCACACAGGTTGGTGATGCGATTCCAGCTCCCACGGATGAATACTGTCATATCCTTGGGCAAGACACTTAACAACCCTTACCCCCAAGTGCCTGTGTACACCTGTGTATGAATGTAATGAATGTGTGTGTGTGTGTGTGTGAATGAATGGGTGAGTGGTTCCTTATTGTAAAGCACTTTGAGTGCCTTGAAGGTGGAAAAGTGCTATATAAAAATGTGTCCATTTACCATTTGAGATATGGTTGTTTTGAAAAATGTATGACCATAGTTCACTTGAACAGCTGCTGCTCACTGGATATGTTTTGGACAATTTTATGTAACCCTAGAAACGGTGTAAAAGCTGAAAGTTCAGACCAGCCCATATCACATTAACGGTGTAGCCTACATACAACGATAAGAGCCTTTTCAGTATGACTCTTTGGCCATTGTCACACACAGACCTAAAGAGAAATAACTTGCCTAGGGCTGTCAGGTGTAGTCTTCAGCTATAATGGCTATACAATGATAACAAGGGCTGTGCCTAATTTTAAACCTACACTTATCCCTCCTGTTCTTGTGTGACAGACTTAGAGGTGGCCTTGACGTCATGGAATGCATTTTTAACATGGTGCTATTACTTAACACACTGCCAGGAGCTGCTGTGCCTGTCTAAAACCATCATCCCAAAGTCAACATAGAAACTGATGGTGAAATCATACTGAAGCCAAGATTCATATTTTCTTTTAGATAATATATTGTTTCAAAATTGTGCATTACATCATATGATTTATTGTCTCCAAATTTCAAGCAACGAAACAGGTTTGAACCTCACCCCAGAGCATATTGTTGTTGTTTCTTTGGGCAAGACATATTGGCCAATCCAATCAGTGTGTTTTGCAGGTTTAGAAAATAAAATACTTCTCCATTACAGAGATTGGCTGGCGTGCAGCAATCCGTCCTGCTGATCATCCTGTGGCCAACTTTGATTTTGATGTGATAGTAGGAGCTGATGGACGTCGCAATACTCTTGATGGTCAGTGGTAACGTAATCATAATAGGTCACTTTCTTAGTTTAAATCCCTTTTACATCTAGCTAAAGTTGTTTGGTCAATCCACAGTTCATTTGGTACAACTTGCTTCATAAGAATGATTTTGATGTATGTTAATGACTTCTTGACTCTCTTCTAACCTTTCTCTGATCCTGGCGCAGATCTTTTAATCTGCTGACTAATGCAATGTTTTATTGCTCAGTCTTGCAATTTATACAGATAGTCTAGGTTGTACGCTGTTTATTATACAGCTTGTCTCCACGCGATGATAGTGACAAATAAGGTCTTATAATGTTTATAAGTTGGTCACTCAATAGGTAGACCAAAATAGCATTCAGAGTGCAGCAGGTTGAACTCAAATTCCAAAGAACTGTAAGCTCCCCTGGATGTCTTCTGAAACTGGAGGGGGGGGCTGAGTAATTTTATTAAATAAGCTCAATTAAATCAAGAAAATTGGTGTGTACTGTAGTTGAAAGTAGACATACCTCACATTAAGCAGACCTCGCTGTTAGAGCTAGTGCTAACTTATTGGATAGATGCCATGTTATGTCTCATTGTTGTGGTTTCTCTCTTTAAAATGTTGTCATCGAACAACCATTTTACACCAGATACTTATTCCTAAAAAGGGCATTTCTGGGCTAGTGCTGAATGTGTGGCTCATTTTCCAAATTGTGAATATGCCTTGGGGAGATGCTTTTCCCTTGCTGTCAGCCCAATTTGAACCAGAGCTCTTTGCGCTGGTGGTATACGCTATTGTGGACTGTCCTCTGATAATAAGTACTTTAGTAATTGGGTGTTTGGAAAATGGCTACATTGTTTCATGGCTAAAGCAGATATTACCTCTGAATAAAGGGAACTTAAAACAACAAATATTTCTCAGCATGTGACTATGGTTCATTGTCAGTCTTCTAAATATTTGCTAATGTTAGAAAACCAGTAAAAACATTAATCAAATCTACTACTATCATATTTAAAATATTTAATTAGCAATGATTACATAAGTTGTAATTTGTAAATAGGCTTTTTGTTACAGTTCCATACCTTCTATTTATTGTGTGTGGTTATTATTAGGTGTTGCTAAGTTGACAGTTGCTTTAACTTGATTCTTTTATGTACAAACACGTCTTTTATTATAAATCTGTCACACTGTAATTAAGATTTAGGTGTGGATTTACAGAAGCCAAGATTACTGCCGAATCTTTCATGCATTCATTCCATATAAGCTCTTATATCCCTGTATGTATCCTTTTCATAGGTTTCAAAAGGAAAGAGTTTAGAGGGAAGCTAGCCATTGCCATCACTGCAAACTTCATCAACAGAAACACAACAGCTGAGGCCAAGGTGGAGGAGATCAGTGGAGTGGCTTTCATTTTTAACCAGAAGTTCTTTATGGACCTCAAAGAAGAAACAGGTATGTGTGAAAGACTAAAAAATAAAAAGTAAAACATTTATCAAAGAGTAGAGTCACAGTAAACGGTGACAACAACTGATAATCTAGAAAAGAAAAGAAATGCATGCCTTAGTCCCTGATGGGAGATCGTTTCCTGTGAATTCACATGGCTGACTGTTCACTGTCACACATGAACATGACGAAAACAAATATAAACATATAATGCAATACTCTAAAACAAACATGAATCAAATGTTAAAAACTGTGGAGTGGACACAGTGCAGTTACTGAGTGAATTTACAGAAGTATGGCTTTTTTTTTTTTTTTTGCAGCTGTATTATATATATATTATTTATTTATTCAGATATTTGACAAATTGCAATAGAAGCATGTCATTCGTTGCAGGTGTAGATTTGGAGAACATTGTGTACTACAAAGACAACACACATTATTTTGTCATGACTGCCAAGAAACAGAGTTTGCTAGACAAAGGAGTCGTCATAAACGTAAGTTTTCTAGTTATCTCTTCTCATAGTTCACTTGACATAACTTTTCAGTAAGTAAATAATACAATTTTTTTTTTTACACAATAGGATTACATAGACACAGACATGTTGCTGAGCAGTGAAAACGTCAACCAGGAAGCTCTTCTCTGCTACGCCCGGGAGGCAGCTGACTTTGGCACCAACTACCAACTTCCTACACTGGATTTTGCCTTGAACCACTGTAACCAGCCAGATGTAGCAATGTTTGACTTTACGAGCATGTACGCCTCTGAGAATGCCGCTCTGGTCCGGGAGAGGTTTGGACACCAGCTGCTGGTGGCACTGGTTGGTGATAGCCTGCTTGAGGTAAAGAGTGAATCATGTTTAATCTATTGATTGTAGGGCTGCACAAAAAACACTGACATGACTAAATTGACAGAAAAGCAGTTCATTTATTGTATATATATTTGATGCTATAAAATCTCACATTCTGGAGGAAACGTAGGCATATAAACAGTAATGCTATTCTTTATTTATGTGTTTATTTTATTTTATTTTTTTTGTCTTTCTCTATTTCAGCCCTTCTGGCCCATGGGAACAGGTTGTGCTCGAGGTTTTCTGGCTGCGTTTGATCTTGCCTGGATGGTCAAGAGCTGGGCTGAGGGCCGGCCTGTCCTGGAGGTGCTGGCAGAGAGGTACAAGCAAACAAATATGTCATATAAAACTTGGAGACATGGAAAATTTGGGCATTAAAACATTAAGTTTCGATATGCTGTCTCTTTTACAGAGAAAGTGTTTACAGATTACTTCATCAGACGACACCTGAAAATATTGCTAAAAACTTTGATCAGTACACGATCGACCCTGGGACCCGTTACCCCAACCTAAACGTGTCCTCTGTCAGACCACACCAGGTTTTTATTCATCTTCACTTGAACCTTCTTTTTTTCCGTAGCAAATGACAAATTCATTCAAACTTGCCTTTCCATTTTGTCAGGTGCGTCAGTTGTACATTAGTGGAGAACTGAAGAACTGTTCTCTAGAGCGGGCTGCTACCATTCGTCGACCAGTCAATCTCTGCAGACGAGGTTAGTGTAACTGAGGTGATTTGTGTAATCCTGGTTTCACCTGGTTGAACTTCTTTATGCCAGGTGCATATTTAGTAATATGAATTCTTTAAAATTAGATTAAGTCTTTCCTTTTTTAGAGCGTACACATCTCAATCAACCCACTAAACCTATCTCCATTGCGTGGGCACCAGTAACATCAGATGTTTATTTTTACATGTGATCTCTGTGGGAGGATTATTTAAAAGAGAAGCTACGGGATGTGGCAAGAAAGTTAAAGGCATGACCTAGCATAAGACGTGAAGGAACTATATATAACATAAACATGAAGAATACAATATTCCACGCAAAATAAACCTTCCTCTTTATGTCCATTTGGAATTTACATTTAATTTTAAAATATTTTTGTCATATGTTCTAGTGCATGTGGACTAATGGTGTCATGATGTTTAGTCTCAGATCAGGTTGAACTAATAATCAAAAGTGTCTACAGATATAGGGTACAACTAATAATCATTTCAGATGTTATGTCCTTTTATGTAGTTTTTCTGATGGAAAGGGTTGGAATGTTCCACTGTCTGGCATTAAACTTATCTATCTCCATGGCCACAAAACATTTGGTACCACTTCTGCAATTTGTTTAATGCCAAACTGTGGAACATTCCATGGTAAAACAGTAACATCTCATGTTTTTATTTTGGTATCTGTTTTTTATAGAGTCAGAGATTCGACCAGCAAGACTCCTCACCTGGTGCCAGAGACAGACAGAGGGCTACAGAGGCGTGCACATCACTGACCTGAGCTCATCTTGGCTCAGCGGCATGGCCTTTTGTGCCCTCATTCACCGTGTCAAACCTCAGCTCATGTACGTATACTGTGTCTGCACTGGCCTGAAGCGTGGAATAACTGTAGTATTAATACTGTAATTTTATATGAGTCCAGTGTTCACTATATTCTGATTAACTCGGAACAAGATGTGTTTGGTAACAACATGCTGTAAAGTCTCCCATGGGTGTGCTAAATATGATAGGTATGATACTATTTCAACAAGGGCAAGGTTGGTACATACACAGGGGTGTGTGAAAATGCTTTTAATCAAATAACTGACCGATACTACAGTAATACCTTCAATGCAAGATATAACAAGTTTTGCCTTTTTTGTTGTTTTATAGCTGATGCTAGCATTAACATACACGCAGGTTCCTACATGGTCAAATAAACCAAAACACAGTTTGCGTCATCATGCCTTTGTATTATAGTGAATATTGTTTGCAGACGAGTATGTAGGTTTTTTAGAATAAAAGCCAGGATTTTCCTAAACCCTTACAAAATGGCACCATTGTTTGTGTGCAGCTGCTAGGTTACTGCTATTTATACCGTGGTCTGGGATTTATCAGTAAACTCTTTCCATCTCTAATTTACCATTATTTCTTTTAGGTGTTACAACCATTTAAAGATATTTAATTTAAAAAATCCTGATTTGTTAATTTACCATTTAAAGCTTATATTTTACATTTTTGGTTTTTGACACTGACACAGATTTTTTTTGCATGTGTTTTAATACTGTACCTGTATTTAGTAACTTGATGCCTGATGAATAACAAATTTCATAATTAACATTGACGGTATAATAAAGACAATGACAATAAAGTTCTATTTTTCAGAGATTTTAATGCCCTAAATGAGGAAGAGCCTGCAACAAATCTTCAGCTTGCATTTGACATAAGCGAACATGAATTTGGGATACAGCCATTTGCCACTGGGAAGGAGCTGTGTGCAGAGCACGAGCTGGATAAGACCAAGATGATCACCTACCTGTCCAAATTTTATGAACTCTTCCGTGGCACACCATTACCTGCATCAGGTAAAAACCACATACAACATACAAGCCATAACACTGTGACCGCTGACTTGTGAAAGGAAAACACTGATTTCCTCTATTGTTTGCCTGTGGCATTGCTTTTCTAGTTAGATTTGTTTAGAAGTAAAAAATTGTATGAACAATGACTGACACATGCAACATTAAATAAATGCTGATTTCTACTAAAAATAGAAAGGTGGACTATGTCATGTTTTTGGTGGGATGCCTGCCACTTGTTCCTTCAAAATATTAAAGATGCACCATGTAACTTCAAAGGTGGAGGGTCTGCTTCTTGCTTGTCTTCAGTCAGATGTCATTTTTTTATTTGGAATGTTCCACAGTATGGGATTAAACATATCTGCCTTCCTTGTATGCAATTACAGATGCAGGCTATGTGCAGACCTGCTTCTCCATAGATCTAACCATCAACTTGTCTCTGTTGTGATCGCCAACTTTATTTTCATATTGTGAAATAATGAAGACAAAGCAGTAACATCTCCAAGGAGACAAGCAGGTGGCAGACCCTGCACCAGAAAAGTTACACAGTGCACCTTTAAACTTCATTAGTAAAACTATCATTACGGTGCAGTTTCTGAGTGCTGTCTAATACATAACATTAATTTTTGTTTCTGTTGTTTTAAGCTTAATAAAAAATACATAAAGGAAATTCCAGGAAAGAAATTGTATCAAATTTCCTTTTGACTTCCTGAGGTGAACCACGTATAGTGTATCATTCTGTTAGCAAAGTCTTGAGGCATGACAGGAATGCACGTCAGCCAAAAGTATGGTTTGATGCAAAAACTTTTACTGAACTGGAAACACATATGCTTGTTCTTAGAGATTTATATTATATACTTAATATTATATATTTTAACCTCAGTTGTCATGTACCAGTATTAAGTAATTCAGGCTTCTGGAGCATTTAAAGGGACATCAAATGGAGTTGGAGACAGCTTACATCATGTGTGTTAAAATTACCTTTTATGTAATTTTATGGTGTGATATTTATGAATTGTGATGTTGAAAAGATATACAGTATATAAATTATATTTTCAGGTCCTAAAGGAGTGGATGAAAATGGTGGAAAATATCCATCTAAAGAAGTCAGGAGTAATAATAATGTCCTTAATCTCACATTGACAAGAAAGAGGATTCCAAAGGTTAGTAAATTTCGTTAATGCTATTTTTCTATTAAATGAAAATATCAGATTTACAAGATGCTTAAATAAATATGTTGTTCTTCCAGGATGAAAAGAAAACTGACAGTGCAGACAATATTTACAAAAGGAGACGGAAATTTGGTTATTTAGAAGAGGTTTGTTCATGTTTTTTTTTTTTTTTTATACAAAATAAGTAAGAAACAGTTCTATATAAACTAACAGTTTGTCTTTATTTAGGCCACCAATCTTTCCAGTAATAGATCTGCTGTGCCAGATGATTCTGGGCCCAAAGAGAACAAAGTGCGCTCAATGGCTTCGCAGCTACTGGCCAAGTTTGAAAACAAGCCTTCCACCGTTCGAAGACAGGTACTAAAGAAACTCTTTTATTTTGTTACAGTTTCCTCTACTTTTCAGTCAGTATCTTCATTATTTCTGTAATTTCTGCCATATCATTTCAGCCTTATCTATTCTTTGCCTTTATGTTTTTCTCTTTTCCTCAAGTTTGTGCCAAACTATATTGACTTGACAGAGATTCTGAGCATCAGACTCAGACCTACCCCAGCCCCGAAACCTCCTCCTCCAGTTATAGAGGTAGTCTATAGGAGCAATACACAAAACCTTTGACCTTAATGGACTATATAACAACTCTTTGGCCAGTTTGTGCATTGCAAGAATTATATACACATATAGTATATTATATATACTATTTGTTTTTTTTGGTGCCTTGACTTTATTGTCTGGCAGAAAGCAAACCATAGAAACATAAAACTTTTTTGTATGTTTTTGGTGGTTAGATGTTCGTTTGTAGAACTCTAGAAGGCAGTGCTTGTTAAGAAGTGGTCTCACATTTTGTTTGATCACTTTCAGTCAGCTATTACATCACCACATGTGTTCCTGAGACCAACTGGCTCTGTGGACAGGCCCTTCCAGCCTGCATCGGAGCAGCTGTTTTGTGTAGTGAAGCTTAGACATGTCGATCATACACACACCCAGACCATGCCCCCTGCTCAACCTGAGACTCCCCCTGCTCCCTCCTGCCCCTCCGCTGTCCAGGTCATGTCCAGAGTTCTGCAGCGCCTCAGAGAAGTGGATCAACACATCTCTGAGGTGAATCTCTCTTCGTTCTAAATGCTCTGCTCCTATTTTCTCTGTCTGTGCTGTCACTGTTGTCTCTCTTATCCCTCAAAAGACCACAGACATGCCTGTAATAATAGATCCTACTTGATTATATATGTGTAACCATATATGTGTGCAGTCTGAGGGTGAAGTCAGATTCTAAGTATGGTAAAAATGGCAAGAGCAAGTTTGAGCTCTTGGCAAGGCCTTGAAAACTGGCACATTGATGGATTATTGGACAAAACCAGGGTGTGTGGAACAGATCTGCAAGGGCAGAGCTCCCAGACAGCCGCTGAGGGTTACTCTTCATAAGTACTTTTGTTTTAAATTAAGTAATTGCTTAGAAGAATTTTCTTGTAAAATAGGCAGTTTATGTAATTTCTTAATTTTAAAATGGCATTAGCATTGCCTTTTCTTTTTTCTCCACAACTGAATCATTCTAGCTTGTAGTAATAGAATCCAGTTGGTGCAGAATATCACTTATATGATTATAAATTCTACTTTGTGCATATATGGAGAGGGGTGGGTCATTTGCTTGCTAAAATAAGATTTCAGATAATTAGCTTCAGCAAGAAAATAAGATTCAAATATTTTGAAATAAAAATACAACCACAATCATGTTTCAAAGTCCTGTTCATAGTGCTAACAGTATGCTACTTTACCATACTCTATGATCACTGCTTGAATATCTAAAGTTATGCAAAATTAAAATATGAAGATGTTGCCAGATGTCCAGATCACTTTCATCCTGTTTGTGAGACTACATCAAGTGTGGTGTGAAACTGAAGCTCTGCTCTCTGCTCTCACAGCACACACAACTAGGTCATTGTTCTCCTTCCAATTATAAATATTTAGTAACCGTCAAATTCAGCTTCTTAAAGGAGAGAGAACCGAAGAAGGCGTTCATTGTCTAACTCACTAAGAGGTTATCAGACTGCATAATATTTTAGCCACTCACAGCAGGATTGGTGGTGCAATGTAACTTACTGTAATTACGCTGCCTTGTCTTCAACTCTTTTGTGTCCTGTTGCAGATAAAGGCACAGGCACAACAAACAAGAGAGTTTCAGACAAAGTCAATTAAAGAAAAGGCAGTTCACCTCACTGGGCTGTTTTCAAGTGAAAGTCCAGCCGCCCCAAAGGTGACTTATGTTCCAGGATCACATCTTTAACATGTCCCCTGTGCTTACACTAACTGCTTGTGATGCATTCTGTTTGTAGGACAGTTATGCATAAATGATTCAAGAAATTAATTTCCCTTTTGTGCACACAATAAAATCTATACACATTGCAAATCCTGTACAAGGCTCTCAAGTACTGGGTTAGGTTAAGTTGATTTATATGTAACCATAGGTAAATTTGTTTTGCAGTTTGAGAGGCTGGTCCCACAAATGTTGATGTTGTACTTTAACTTGATTCATAGTTCATAGTATTGAAATATTACAGCTACTATGATGAACAAATATCAACTACAGTACATTTTTACCATAGCTGTATGTTTTGAAGTCCAAGAACCCTTTTTCATACATATTAAAATAGTCTACATGGAAGTTCATAAGACTTCACCACCATTTACATTGTATTGTTTCCGATATATGGGTTAACTATATGGTAATTAATCTAATATGGACCATAAATGCACTGTGTGTGAGTTTGCCGTACCCCTGTTTGAGCCTTGTGTTTTTAATCAGTACCCACTACGACAGAACAGAAGTGGGTGTTTTGTGGTGGCACTTTGTGGGTTCCTCTATACTCCACCCGTCCCAAACAGTTCGTTTTACTGTTGCAATATATGAGTGTATTCTTGTCCACAATTATTCCTTATGGAACAATTGTACAATGTAATTGTTTATAAATTTTTTTTTTTTTTTTTAAAGGGATATATCTGAAAGCCGACTCTAATGTCCTATTGTTCAGCTACAATCATACTGCAAGTGCCATCAGCAGAACACCCACATAGATCTAAACTCATGAATGTTTATGTTTGTTTTGTCGCCCACACCATGTCTTTTTATGCATGTAATAGGTTCTGAGTCATGACCGGTGTGGTATTGCTCTAGTCTGGCTAACCTTACGTTCCAGAAGCTAGAACTGGATAATAGAACAACATAATATTAATCATGTAACTCTAACCAAATTTTTTAATTATTATTATTTTAAGCTAATGATTAATCTTTTTTAATGATGTGTTGCAAACCATGTAACCTACTTTAATTTGATTGATTTTTACAGGGTGGTATTCGAAGGACAATCCCCCAGTCTGCAGACAGGTGTCGCTCTTGTGACAGACGTGTGTATCTGGTGGAGAGAGTGAGTGCTGAGGGACTGTTCTTTCACAGAGAGTGTTTCCGATGCTGCTCCTGCAACTCCACTCTGAGGGTTGGGGCACATGCCTTTGACACTGAGCAAGGTACTAATTTGTTTTGATTTGACTTTAATATTTATCATAAAATTAATAACTTATTATTGACCACACAACATTTGTGACTGTGATCCTACAGGAAAACTTTACTGTCAGCTTCATTTTGATCAGAGAAACAATGGGACATATTTGAGGAGGACATTCTCGCAGAGACTGGTAAGACCATCACCTGTCTTCTTCTACTATATCTACTATAAACTGTATAGTAGCTGTATGATGAAATGTTGTGGCTGCAATTAGATTTGATATTTTGAAATGTAATAATTTTACCAAATCAAATTGTAATTTAGATTGTGATATATTGTGCAACCATTCCACTAACTCAAACTGTCTAACCTGCTCCTATGCAAAGCAAACTTACTATATTACAAGCCTACTGTGCTATACCACCACTAACTCTGTATTTAATACTTTTCCTTGCGTGTTCTTTCAGATTCACAATGGAGGTGAAGTTGTGGAGAACTGTGCTTTTGTGGAGCAGGCCAGGACTGCAGTGGTCTTACAAAGTCCCTCTTCAGGTACTTGGTGCTCTTGGGCCCAAAAACTGTTGCAGTGGCCTTTGAGTGTGACGCGTGCTGTGTGCAACGCCCCGCAGTACTTATTAAACTGTGTGCGCAGTACTACGCATGCCCTGGCTACTCACCTCACAGAATACGCCCAGGAATACGCCTTCCTCTTTGAGCTTATGACCATCAGCGTGCCATTGCTGCTAGTTTTACCAGAGGTACTTCACCAAATGTACACAGAAGCAGTACCTGAAGGACCCAACACAATACAGACAGTTGTGCAATGGCTGCAGCAGCAGCTTTGACTTATGCAGCTTCATTAGTGATATTTCAGTGTACATTCACTGGGGAACATTTAGCACCTTTTAAATGTTTACTTGCCTTTTAAACTTACCACAGACACTGTATGTTTTACATGCACAAGATGACCAGTCATACATTTTGTTTTTTACTATATAAATACATTTTAAATATTTCACTGTAAGTCCTAACTATATAATGCAGGCCATGTCTTTTACTATCGTGCTGTAAACTGTCCTGCAGTTAAATGGTTTATACTGACTCAGGTTAACGTGACAGTTTGGTGCACTTTATCTTCAGGAACTGCTTTATTGTATAAATAAGTGCAACCATTGATTGAGATGTAATGGAATGGCATGCATTTGGTTGTGTTTCCTTGATATTAATAATGAAACAGTGTTGTGTTATTTTTTAAGTTGTTTGAAAACTGATGACTGTGTGAGGATTTGCTAAGATATGGAATTTGTTTTACTCTTCTGCCATCTACTGTTCATCCTCTGTAACACAATAAGAAATCCCGTGCCTTTCTTTGATAGACAACTATGCACACATGCTCAATACCACAAGTTATCCAAAGGACACAGACAAAAGAGATAGTTTTGCATTCTCTAACATTTTTGATTGTTGTACCTTCCTTGCCAACCAAATGCCTCTGACGAGCAGATTTTTTTCTGACCAATGACTTTAAAATAATGTCTTACATGCACTTTAAATTTGGATTTTATGGTTTGAATGTGTAAAATATTACTAATTTGACATGGTAATGTCAAATGCCAAAGAATTATTAGCAGACTATGTAAAAGAGAGATTTTTTTTCCCATTTAATTGTGTCTTGTGTTGACTTATTTCTTTTCATATTCCTCACTTTTATGATGAGTGTGCAGATGATCCCAATGAAGACTGACAGGTATTCAAGGTGATTATTGGCAAATGGTCACATGCTTGGTCACTAAGAAACAATGATCTCCTTCACTATGAATCTGTGTTGCTAACTTTTTACTAATTTTTAAATAAGTTTTGATTGTTGTGTGTACCAAGTTGCACTGTTCATTGACTTGTCTTTACCAGTCTTTCAATAACTGAAAAAAGGCTGGCCTCCAATTTTGCCTGTATACTAAAATACATGCTTAAGTGCTTAAGATCAAGGCTGAAATAATATCAAGTCTTTTTTTTCCTGTTTTGCAAGCAATGCTGAGGAACAGGATCAGTTTAGTCCTTTGACTATGAAGTTGTGAAAGTTGTGATGCATTTTGAGCTGTAAAACTCTTTCTTCACAAAAGAACAAGTGTTTTGGTTTATTGTGCCTTTGTCCCACATCAGTGGACTTTCTGACTCCTCTCAAGTCTTCCTGAAGAAGAAGATAGTGCCCTGGTTTTGATTCTCAGGAATGCACTCAGAGCTCACAATAATTCTACCACTCTCCATCCAGTTCATACTGAATCTCTGCAAAGCTAATGAAGCACCTATTGTGAATGTTTTAGCTGTTGCAAGGTGCTGCGGAATAGCCTAACATCACTGAAACTGTAGTAGCCTAACTACTCTCAGAATACACTGTCAAATATGTGAGGAGCTATAAACAAAAATGAAAAGTAGCAGTAAAAAGTCCAAGTAATGTAATGCTTGTAGATGTTTAAAAATGTAATCTATAATTTTGTTAATAGTTTTTCTTCTTTACATTTTAGACCGGCTACTTCTTAGCTGCACAAAATTTCAAAGTGGTTTGGCAACAACCCTGCCTTGAATTTGCAAGGGGACTGGTCAAGATAAATTAGGAAACAGATTTACAGCGTTCATACTTGTCCTGATCTCACCCTGGTTTCTAGGTTTAGTTCTTGGTTTAGTCCTGGCACCATCAGTCTCTTAGACCTGACTTGATAGGATTAACATATTCAGGAAATTTGACTGAGTAGTTGTTCAAAATGTGTGTGTGAAAGACTACTTTTTAATACTAAGGTTTTTATGTTTTTTTGGGTTTTTTTTTTTGGTTTTTTTTAAATAGCCTACATAGCTCAAGTTTTTTTGTTTGTTTGTTTGTTTTTTATGTGACTTTTACTTGAGTGGCCAATACTTTTTTACTCCTCTGTATCATGCTGCCTATACCTCCTCCACTGCTAAAATCCCAGTGTAAACTTATAATTGATTCAATTAATAAAAGTGCACAATGTGCAAATGTGAATGTGTTTGATTCCGTTTTTCTGTAAGTGCCACAAATCATTGGCATATAATCGACAGTTTTAATAAACAGACATTTTCCTTTAACTGCAAAGCACTTCTGTGTTGGAAAGATTAGCACTAAACAGAGCAATCAGGAGATGAAATTGAAGTGAAATTACAGGCGCTGTGAAAGTTGATGAAAAAACACACTTGCATCTAAAAATAAAAGACCATTATTTTAGCAGTTTTCATCAATTTAATGCATGATTAAAATGCAAAAAATTGTGTTTGTGCCACCTCTTCGTTCTGCGTGATCTTTCAATTGCAAATATCCTACAATTTTTCAGGATGCGAAGCACGCAAAAGTAGCCAGTGCGTACGCTAAATATAGTCTATAGGGCAGGCTATAGGCAAGCTTGATAGTACTGCTGCCCATGGTCCACTGAGTAACTATGTTTTGAACACGTGCTTTGTGGTGGCCTTAGTGAATTCCACCTGCAGAAATACCACATTCTCGCAGTTTTCAATCATCTGCGCGGCGCGTTTCATTAACCAAACGCATGAAAGAACGCAAAGAACCTTGAATAAATCATATGTCGACGGGTGCGCGCGTGTCTCTGTATTTTAACACAAACATGTGAAATTACATTTGGAAAAGTCAATCAGGGGAACAAACAAGGCAGCCTTCAGCACAGCCAACATCCTTCACATTTTTCCTTTTATTCGAATTCTCCCCAAAAATTCCATCAAGCACGTGTCTTTGCTTGTCCATGTTAAATATGCCGCTTCTAATTGCATTGCTATGAATTCACTTTGGCATTGGAATGTATTTTCGTAGGCGTATTATTTTGTTAATTTTGAGCATATAACTTACGTTTTAATTACTACGAATGTCTGTAGTCTGTAGGTAGGCTATATCCTATATGTAGGATTTGCCCTTTTTCTCCATACACATTGCTAGAGGGGCGTAGCCTATTCTAGTTATTTTAATGCTTAACATGACAAACAAGAACCATGTTTTTTGTGATATTCACCAGGAAGAAAAAGGAGCAAAAATGCAGTGTTGTAATCTAATGTTGGATTTCAGTTCCTTCCTATGTAGTACAGTCTGTATGATGATGATGATGAGGATGATGATGAGGATGATGATGAGTTGTCCGGCCATCTCAGTCTTGCATATCACATCACCGCACAGCACCCAAATGTTTGTTGCATTCATAACCTGCAAAAGAGATGTCTTAAGACGACCCAACAACAGTCAGCGCCTACTGTATAAGTGACCATCACTGAAACTTGGAAAAAGTCTCTGCCACTGTTGCCCTTTGTTCCATCGTCACATCACTTCAACTCTGCATCAGTGTCCAGACCACTATGTCTTCACTGCCAGTGTTTCTCTGCACCTTCTGGCTTCTATCTAAATTCTTTTTGTTGTCAGAATCTAAATGCCAAAGTCTATTATTCTAATCCATTTATTTGTGTCCAAATTGAATTTCCTGCAATCCCTTCTTTTTTTCCAAATGAACTTGGATTCAAACAACAAAATTACATTGAGATCCAGCAATTTTGCCCAGGGGAAATGACAAATGCATACTGTGTGTTATGTATAATATTGGAAATGGCAAACCACAATAGAGCGACAGAAGCAGAGAGTTCAGGGAGAATACAGGGAGGTTCAGACCAGGAGCATGACCTAAACAGCACTCACTCATTGTTTCTGAAGTATTTTAATGTCCTACACTGAAAAACAAACAAGACATAGATAAGCAGAATAAACAATAGATTTTTCTTTTGATACAACTCTTTTATTCACAAATGGACAACTGAATGCACATTCATTCAGTTACATGTATTACTATTAATTACAATTATTATTACTATTACTATTAATAATAATGGTATTCATTAATATTACTTATTACACAGTATGCATACAAATTCAATTTGTTTTATATAATTCCATCCTTTGGTAATGGTCTTATACCGGATGCCCTCTCTAACACGTTTTTGTCAATTTATCAAGGCTCCAGACCAAAACAAATGTGTTAAACTACTGCATGTAGTGGGTAGGTCAGTAACATATTTCCTTTCAGATTTTTATTTGGACTGAGTCATAAATTTGGACCCATAGGCTTTTTCAGGAGGACTGTGAGCTGTGCTGTGGTACGTCTGATAATGATAAAATATCACGCAAAAAATCAAAATGAAGTCTGATGGAGAATCCATTTCAGATTTGCCCTGTCCACAGCATTGGGTCCTGATTTTTTTATTTATTTTTTCTTCCATGCATCACTGTCTTGTGACATTTGAAGCCTGGACTGTGACAATGCATTTCAATAGGCCATTGTTCTGGACCACTATCATCAGTAAAAGCACAGGACCATGGCCATACACCAAACAGCAGAAATGATCACATATAATCACTCAGCATACACCAAGGTGTCTTCAACGGGAGCATTTCCAGCTATTAGGTGAAATTACACTCTTTATATTCAGCTGTATTCATATCAAATGTGCCTGTCCACACATGCTCTCCCAGAAGCCTCAACTGGCCTTGACAGGGGTTCAGACAAACAACTTTAAGATGCTGTAAAGGAAATCCGAGGCAGAATGCCTAATATTACAAATGTAAAAGTGATAGGGGACAGTTATATTGAACTCATATCACTGTGTCCTTGAGCATGATATACAACATATTTTCACAGTTGTTTGATGTTTTTTGTGATGCATGCAGTCAGCTAGCCCTCAGGACAATTCAACCCAACTGGGAGAGTCAAAGGAGCTATGCTTTCACCTAATATCACTGGCTAAAGACAAATAAGTAAGTGAAGACTGGTTGACTGTGGCAGACTTGTAAAGGCAATGGAGCCCGGTTCTAAAATCACAAACAAAGCCATGTACTAAAACAGTAGCAGTGCTATATAAGCAAATCCTTCCAAATAAATATATAATCTACTTGCACATACTTTGCACCCTACAAATGATTTCAAAGCCTCAATGATATCTATACATCATTCACTGCATTAGTTTTATAAATATCATATGATTTTTCTTATCTCCAAAGAAGCAGTAACTGGCCTTCACTTTTCATCACGTTTAAGCTTGAATTAAATTAAAATATGTTTTCATTCACTTTGAATACATGGAATACTTTGAATAGGTAAAGTGGACTGTTCATACACCAGTGAATGTGAGCATGGCTTTTCAAGGTGCTGGTATGCACTTGTTACACTTTGAATACTCCCTATGTCAAGACCTTGCAAGAATATGGCTCTGGAGCTAGCTGGGTAGTAGGCAATTATTTATGATTTTAATGGGTCCAGTACAATAGAATACTTAAAAACAAAACAAACAAAATGTTTTTGTTAATATAATGTCATTCCATGATATTAACTAAATAAAAACAAATATTTCACCTTTATTGCAGGTTGGCAAGATCACTTAATGTCACAAAGAGTATAGAAGAAATGTACAGAAATATTTGTTTGTTTTCCTCGGAATATGTACAACTAATACTATGACCATAAGTGTGGGAATAGTCAACTACTGTGTCTGTATCAGTTTGTTTCGGGTTAAACATTCAAAGCTGCAGCAGAACATCTGGCACATGTCTCAGTCTTATTAGAGAAACTTAGTCCAGTCCACTCAGGCCATGTAGATCTGAACCTGAATGCACAATACAGGTCTAACTGTAATGTTTCAGGCAGTATGCCTCAGTTGGCAGTGGCACAAATGTTATCAGATACAAATTTGTCCTGTAGAAATTAAGCTCTACTTTGGACCTGTGTTTAATACACTGCTGTCAAACTGTATTAATGCCCCTGTAGACATAAGCCCTTTAAAAGTGACAACGTCCTGAATTTGCAACTGTGGCAACACCTTACGTTACATAATAGGACGTGTGCTGTGCCACTTATTCTCTCATTCACTGAGGTATGGAAAAAGATCAAGTTATAACTGTACTTCAAAATAAAATTAGGCTACTTGAGGACTCAAGTTAAAATGCACAATAAAAATTGTACTTGAATAATAATAATAATGATGCATAATTTTTATATAGAACTTTTCTGGACACTCAAAGACACTTTACAGAGCATTATTCATTCACTCCACACTCAGTGGTGGTAAGCCACTTTAGTAACCACAACTGCCCTGGGGCAGACTGACAGAATCAAGGCTGCCAATCTGCGCCATCGGCCCCACTCAGTCACACACCACTTTCACACTAGGCAATGTGGGTGAAGTGCCTAGATATCGGCTATTAGTCAGCCTCCCTGTATGTATTGCAATCACCACATAACTTTATTTAATGTTAGGACTACTGATTGGGCTACTGCAACCTATTTTTGCCTCAAAGGTTAAACATCTTTATCATCAATAATTCTTTAATCACACTAGGCCTATAGTTATCTTTCTGGCCATTTTCATTATTATTGTACATTTTGTCTGAAATTCAACATCTAATGTCTGGGTTAAACATGCACAGACAAGCATTAGTGGTGCTGTCGATGGATGTGCTCGGTCTGTCACAAATCGTTTCTGCTGAAGGAACAGTGTCAAAACACCCTGCCTCTAATGACTGGCTTGTTCAGACAGGTCCATCACCTGGTGTCTGTCTACAGCACACGGAAATGTTCCTCACTTTCATTTATCAAAAGTACATTTATACATACGACTAAAAGCACCAGCCAGACCAGTGTGCACTTGAACTGAACCCAGTGTTTGGTTAGTTTAAACGATCATGGCAGTAAGGACCAGAAAACCTTTGGTCCAGAAAAAAAAAAGAAAAAAAAAAGTAATAAAATCCAATAAACACCTGTTGCACACAAACTTTTAACAACTTACTTCCAAATACAAGCATTTAAACCAGGCTAAAACCATTATCTGAAACAATTATATAGCCTAAATTACATGCATCATGCGATTGCATGTATATCAGTGCTGCTTCAAATTAGCAGACAAACTATCTTGAGGTGTAGGTGCCACAATGACCAGAAGAACAACGACTGGAAGAAGTCAGATTTTCGCAGTGTCCATGAAGGCTACAGTCCTCTGGCTTTTGCCCCGACCTCGGCCCCAGTCCCTACCCGCTCCCTGTTGCTGTTGCCCGGGCTCTCTCCGCTCTCGGCTCGCTGTTGGACCCTGTGCTCCGGAGCTCGGGATGACGCCACCTCTGGCCCCGCCCCCGACGCAAACTCGCTCTTCGCGTTCATTTCATTCCTCTTCTCATTCCGAGCATTCTTCGCATCTCTGACAGTGCGCGAAGCCATTCACCTACACCTTCCTGGCTGGCCCAGAAACTCCCGAAAAACTTAAATTTATAAAAAATATTTTGTAAAATCCCATCACCAAAAAAGGGACAATTTTATGAGAAAAATCAGTGACCAGGTAAGTTTAGTTGCAGACTTGTACTCGTAGCGTTGTCCTATAAAACAAGCTTTCGTTCAATTGTGCGCTTACTACTATCACATGGCGTAGTACAGTGGTTATACGCCTGTGTCCAATGTCCATCGCTGAGATAAATGGCCGATTTGTGATCGCTGTTGAAACACTCCTGCTTTTGACATAGCGATAATCTTTGGCATTTTTGACATTTTTTAAAAAAAGGAAGTCTGTCTATTATCGCCTCTAAAAGCCCCGGGGCCGGTTTTTCAGTCCTAAAGCTTGACATCCACAACATTTACCGCTTTAAACTAAGAACTGCGTTAACATTTTGTAAAAGATGACTCCTCAAAATGCTGCTGTGTTTGCTCTCCGTAGTTGGACTCATCCTGGAGTTGTCCGGGATTTCCTCGGAGGATTTTCGGATCACCACCTTGAAAACACCGCGGAAAGAACAGACTTGTTGCTTCGGCGACTTTCCTCCCTTTCGTTTTCCACAAAGTTTTGTGTAAGTACAATGTCTTTGTTATAGCGGCAGTGGACACCTGATGTTGTGACTCTAACTCTGTAGGAGTGGATGTGTGCTCAAAAATAACGCTTTGTCCAAAATATTGTAAATGTGTTCGGGCTATAGGACCTAGTAAAAGTATGAGTATTTAGTCAGTACTAGTCTAGGTTATAACAATATTAATTCTGTCTTGATGCAACATATTAGCTAACTAGGTATAGTTCTGGTTGGTGCTTTTTCATGATTTGATTTGATGCAGTGTTTCCATCATTGTTTTCTTTTCCTTCCTTGCGTTTGGGAAGTGCGTGCTCAGCTAAAACACCAGTCTATAATCACAGAGCAGCCCTGGAGCCAATCCCAGTGTGTCACAACTTTTACTCCTTGCAGTGATTTAAAGACCAGAACTCCTGGAAATGTGCAGCAGATGAGAATATATATAAGACCGAAAGTTTTAATTTGACATACAATTAGCTCCAAAAGTGGTTGTAAAGTATGTAACACCACACTCTAAAAGTTCTCCCCTCTGTGCTAAACTGGCTCCATTGTTTTCACTTGTACAGTGCTGTACAAATAAATCACTTGCTTTAGTATTGGCACTGAGGCTCAAGTGTAAAAAATATGATAACAAGTAATGCGTTATGAGTTTTAAATGTACATTTATTGCAATTCATCAGCCATCGGCATCAGTACCTAGCTCTGCAAACAAGGTGAAGTCTTATCTTAACTTAACTTTTGGCTCTAGGCTAATTGTCCTGTAAATTTGATGATGCTGTGTGTCTATAAAATGATAGTTACAATCAACAAATCTGCGTGTGTTGGCTGGCAGTTTTTAAAAATGTATCTTTTTCGATGTACCTTTTTTCTTGTGAACAGTATGACATTCCATTCGTTGCTGTTGGCAGGTGAAATATATAAGATACAATTTGTTTATTCTGAATTTGTTTGCGTACATACCTGCTGATAATCTGTTATATTTCTGTTAATCTTTAGTTTTTAATAGTGCTGTTTAGTTATGTTAATACTGCGTCACAGAAACAGTTAAAGTTTTATTTGACTGAACAGACTTGCCCAAAGCATATACAGCTCAAACCTGTTCCTAACCAATGCCGTGCTACATGTCTTGCCTTATCTTGCTCAGTTCACGTATACTCCAAAAGGTCAGCAGAAACACAATTATTTTCTTGATATTATAATGAAATATCTGTATAAAGTTTAGACAATTGCAGTGTGTTGCAGTGTTAGTCTGAATAAACTACCTAATCCTTGTATGGTGGTGGTTAGACCTGGGCATTGTTATAGCAGATCCTGTTTGGTCACGTTGAGGTTTGAGGGCAGGACCACTGTGCGATGAGTGAGCATAAGCACATAAGTGTTTTTGTCTCATAAACGTTGACCTCCCTTCTTCCTGAACTTGTTTCAGGGGTTGTGGAACAATATCTTGTTTTTGTCTATAATTTGTTAGACATATACACAGAGCAGATAGCCAACTTCATTTGTTGTTGTTTCCAGGGAGGATGATATCAACAGGTTCAAGGTTGTGCACTGTGTTATGAGGCACTGTTGCTCATTGCTTTAGTTAGATTATTATATTATAGGTCCTCTATTAAAAATATTGTTTTGGAAGCTTCTAATAGCTTAGTAATTAGGCAACACAATCTGAATTTGTGATATGAATTTAAAATTTAACCCACATTTATATTTTAATTGAAACACTAATATGCCGTTTCACTGTTTATAAAATTCATGTGGGCAAATATCTGTGAGCAGTAATTAAATTAGTGTCATTAATGTTGTAATTAAATGAAATCTGCATTGGGCTTGAGTCACTAAACATTAGCTGCTTCAGAAAAGGCTGTGGTGCTGGCTGCAGGCTGTGTGCCCTGAGGTAAACCCTGGGAGGCTGAAAGGGAATTTTAGAGTGAGCACCTCTGCAGCAGCAGTGCGAGCAGGGCCCGCTGAGGCCGGCCCAGTGTGCCACCAAAAAGGAAACTCTGGCACATAGCCACTGACGTCACCTGCGTAAATCTGCCCCAGAGCTGTGGCAATAAAACCACGGCCAGATCCTGGATGCGCTTTGGCCCTGCTGCGCACCTTAACTCTGTGCCGCTTTGTCTACTTGCATTTATAGCTCTTGGTGAAAGACAACTTAGGTTTAGGGATATTGTATTCTTAAGAAATGTGTTTATCATGCTATTGCCAAAACTATATTCTGATTTCATTATTTGAATTAAATATATCACTGATGTACTGATTTTTTTAGTTGTGGATGTTACAGAATGCTCTACATTTAGCATCACATAAAAAGACTCCTTAAGCTTTTTGAAGTCCAACCACTTTATTATTGCAGCCTTCTTTACCACATGGAAAATGCGCATCAACCAGCATAATCTCCCCACCCATGTGATTTTGACGTTATTAGTTTAAATGAGAGGAAATAGGGCTTTATTTTATACTATACAATATAGCTTTATTTGCAAAAAAAGGAATCCAACATTTGTTTATGGCCAAAGGCCAAAGCTGCTAAATAATTTATAGTGAAGGAATTATGAGTCAGAATATTGAAATAACCAAACCACACAAGTTTGTAACCACAGTAAAAGTAATCTGGCATAGTACTTCTGCTCTTTCTGCATCCGAGTAGTTGTGTCCCAGCTTGCAGAACTTGGGAACAAAGCCACAGTCAGTTCATTTACTGAACGGGTGCATAATTTGTGGCCTGTATTCAAATGTGGGTTATTCAGTCATGTTGGCACTGTACAGTCCCGTCAATGTCATAAATTCCCAAAGGAGCTTTCATAAATGCGTGTGATTTTGTTATCATGGTTGGCACAAATCTGCCTGAAGATACCCAAAATCAGCCAAAGCACACAACAACTCAGGGCTAAGGTACTGGCATTGTATGGAGTCTGGAAATGACTTCCGTAATAGACAAAATGATCTATACAACATCTTTGTAGTTCCGGTAATAGAAATACTAAAGTCTGTACTTCAAATCAGTCAATTAATTTATAAATAAATAAATAAATCATAATAAAATCTTAGACCTGGAGTCTTAGACTTGATAAATAATAGACAAATAATAATTGATAATTGATGAATTTATGCAATCTGAGTTTTACAAATGTGTGTCCTTAAATTAAAATAGGATTTAAGTCAGTTTAGTTCAGGTGTCATCCACATCGATACACATAGTTTTACATGCATTTTTTATATTGTGCTGTTCCAATATTTATCGAAAATGTAATTTTATTGAATTTAAATGAATGAATGTAATAGATAGATGATGAAAAAATATATCAAATTGTAAACACAGCTTTCAGAAGATGACATTAAATGAAATGTTTTACAATTATTCAAACCTAAAATGGGTTGTTTTCATTGGCAAAAACTGTCCAGGTTATGAAAAGTAACTGCTAGTTCATATTTACATACAATAGTGCAATGCAATGATACTAATAGAACATCATCATTTGAGCTATGTCTACTAGGACACCAATGGAGAGGAGGTTGTAATGCATCTGCCAAAAGCAAACAAGGGGAAGAGCAGGCGAGGAGAAGTGAACAAGAAGATAAACGAGGAGAGGAGCTCATCAGCGTGATTTGTTTTTTCATGCCCCTCCGCACGCGTCCAGCCTGTGCCTCGGCCTCGCGTGGCTCTCATAACTGTCAGGAGATCCACTATCTGACCAACCTTTCTTTACAGCTTTAATTTCCTGAGCTTTATGCACTTTGCCTGTGCCACACACCGCCTTGACACACTGTGAGGAATGCACGCCACAGTTTGGACTGCAAATATCTCCCTAGCTTGTGTGCTTTTTTCAATGGGAAATTGTTAGATTTTACACTTCTGTACTACTCAGTAAATGTGAAACAAAGCCATATTAGCAATGTCCTGTGTGAGAATCATGAAGGAACCCTTAAGCAAAATCTTTAGCTGGTTTGTCCTGGAGTGCCACATCTGAAGCTGCCCGGGTCATGCTGTTGCTACCTGTTTGTGTCTGCTGCAGGTAGAGAAAGCTGCTTTGACACAACCCACAAATCAATCCCATTCTCCGCTACAAACAAAGATTGATCCTGAAGTGGCCCAATGGTTGCTGGGCGCTCCTGCGATCCAGGGCTGGCGATTTGAGACAGTGTCCATAAGCCTGTCTGATTCAAAGAGGCATGAAATAAACACTGCATCATTGCCAATAACAGAAACAGTATAGCACTTCCACAGACCTTTTAAAATTACTATTGAAAAGCTTTTTTATTCAGACTTCTACCCACCTAAAACAAAATAATGGTGCTATACAGAATCAATAGCAGTGAAATTCTATCCAGTAAGATGAATGGGATTCTGTCTTTATAGCTTCAAATGTAACTTGCCAAATCAAATGCTTGTCTTTAATTAAACCAGTCAATGAAGTGTGCTTCTCTCTAAAGAGCGCCTTTTCACCTTAATTTTTGCCTATTTGATTTTATTTACTGCGTGCCTTAGCCTTACCTTGACTGGGAAAGCTGCGTAAATATATTCAATTCAAGATATTTGGTAATTAGAATTTTTCCAATACATAAAGGTCTTTAACCTGTTAAATAAAAGCAGCGATCTCTTCTGTAAACAAGCTTTGCAAACACTTGACAAATTTGTTTTATTGACAGAAACTAAATGGATTTTGTGTTACTATCAGAGGTTTTGTGTGCCTCCCTGGTCTGATATGCCCTGCTCAAATGACATTGCGGTTGTAATTATGCAAAAGTGAGTATATTTATTTGTAAGATGCTGAAAATGTTGAGTTTTCTGAAATCACATTGTAATTATGATTTTACACAGTGTGGCCTTAACTACAGTGGGCCATTATAGGGAGCACAAAAGTCATTCACAGAATCATTATTGCACCCTCTGAGATAGCGGCACAAAAGAACCCCACATGGAAAATTGCATTTGAGACCTCTCATCTGCTATTTCATTACCTTGCTCTGTCTGATGGTTGAAATGGGTTCTCTTAATTTAAGAAGCTGGATTCCTGCTTGGTGAGTGGTTTATGTAATCTCACGGTAAGTGTAATTTCCCATAATGCCGTGTCACAGCTACTACTCTGCTTAGCTACCGTCCCTCACTTATTCCACCTCGGGCCATCTTCACCTTGCATTTCACAAATAAGGCCATTTCTATGGTGCAGAGTCAGTAAAGACAGAAGTATGCAATTACCGTGTGCCACTAGTGTCTCTAGGGCTGTCATTCATATCGTCCTCTCATAGACTTAATTGGTTTAGATTCTGAAGCTCTAAGTTACTGGCTACTTTGGCAACTCCTGATTATTCGCATTTTGGCTGGGATCTCTATGCTGAAGAATTTGTTTTGATGGCATTGAACAAAATAAGCCGCAGATAGCATTTATCACAAAAAGCACATCATTAGTAAAGAATGCAATCTAAACATACAGAAGATGAAGCAAGGTTTAATCATGATTTCTTTTTTACACTTTGAGGTGCTGTACCTATCTAAAAAATGTGAAATACTGAACTAGTTCATTTTAAATGATTTGTGGTCCAAAGTCATTCCTCACTTACCTTATTCTTCACGATTATTCTGTCAGAGACAGTGCTACATTTTGCCATGACAGAAAAGCTAACAACCATTACCATACCAACAATGTACGAGCTCATTATTGGACAATAAAATGATCTCTTATTAGATTCATAGAGCACAAAGTTGACTTATTTTTACTATAAGAGCTGCTCATATCTGTACTGGGGCAAGACAAATTAGGCTCAAATATATGGGAAAAAAAATCTGGTACATGCCCATAATGGAACGTGATTGTCCTTCATGAATACTTTCTTCTAAACAGTTACTGATTTTCCTCATAATTTATGCACATCTTACAGAAAACCTGTTCTAGCAGCATAACACTTGAGGGTGACTCATCCTGTAAGTGTGCAGTGTTTAACCCCAAAACATAATACACATTGGGTAACAAAGGCTTATGTAATTTAATGTGTTATATTGTAGTGGTGCACTCTTGTGCAATGTCTGGTAATCCTCACATCCGCACATTATATTCAAATCCACTGGCCTTTGTTATCTCAATAATAGCAAAGCAATAACACACAATCACAGAAAAACATACCTCATTATGGTTATATTATGTTCGTCATCTGTCTTCTCATAGGGGACCTCTCCTGGGCTGCTTTGGTGATGAGTCAGGGTACATCCTTGGTAATTGCAGCACTACCGTAAAAGAGCATGAAGGACATAACCAATTGTTACACATTCTAAATACTGAAATTGTAGTATTTTCTTTATATTTACAAAGTATATACAAAGTTTAAACCAAATAAAGTTGGAGTTCATACACTAATCTAAAAGTTGCTGGTTTGAGTCTTTCTTGTGATCAGTTGAGCTGCCACACTTCTGTCATTCTGCCTCTGGGCTGCTGTGGCTACAGAATAATTATACCACCGCAGAATGTGTCAGGAGGAGTATCAATAATTTACCAAAGAGTTTGGCTATTTTCAGTGGCTATAAAAGCACTATATTAGACTGAGGTTTAAAAAATATGCATTTCACTGCATGAGCTTAAAAATCATATCATATCATAATCATCACATAAGAGAAGTTTCTGTGCATTCCAGGCGCAGAATTTCAAGAGCAGTTACTTTGCTACAAAAAGAGTTAAATTTGTTCTATATATTTGTTCTATAATTCTATAACCTACTTTTTACTTAACATCCGCTATTACACTCATTTTGTAAACTATTGCTGGACTGTTTGTAAGTTATTACCATAATAATTCATCTTTATTCGTTTGTATGAGAGGCACATGTTTAGTGGTATTTTCCCCCTCCCTGATTGGTTTGTGAATCCATTCTGCAGCGTCAGCAGTTGCCTCACAAAACACAGATTCAGTAAAAGCTCTGCTCTCTGCTCTGGGAGGTTTTTCCCCAACAGCTTGCTCCCCTCCCCCCTTTTTCCTCACGGTCCAGCCTGCTGGAAGAAACATATGCTAGTATTCCCACTTCCTGACAGCTTGTGCAACTTGAATGGGATTGTGCACCGAGAGGAAGCAGTTGTCTGGAGTAAGAGGAGAGATTGAGAAAAGACAGGAACCTCACACACTACTCAGTGGCGTTTCTGTACAGTAAATTGTAATATGAAAGGAAGCTGAAGAAGATTATGAATGATCATGAGGGAAAAAATTTTGAAAAAAAAAAAAAAAGTCAAAAAGTTTATTTTAATAATTGTGGGCCATGAGCACCATCCTGTGGTACACTATAATATTTCATATGCAAATGGGACCCAGGTTACTTTGTATTGAAAAAGTTGTGCCCCAAATTCAAAAAGGTTAGGAACCCTTGCTCTAAATGTACCATGTAAATGTAAACTGGATTTTTTCTAACCAAATTAGTTAATAAAGAAGACATGATACTGTACTTTGGGTATTTAGTAGGAAACCAGACATAGATTTTGATTTTGATTTCATTAATGGTTAGCCACAATAGCGATCTAAAATACTAGAAAGAGGTCCATTGCTTTCATGTTTCATGTTCAAAACCTCAGAGTTGATATGCTCTGCCTTTTCATAATGGTATTCATACGTAACAACTAGTGGATTATCATTTATGTGTTTTTATGGTTGAAATGTTGTTTTTTTTTCTCAAAGATGGATGCTTTTTAATTGAATTCTAATACATTTTTGTGGTACATTGTTTGTATTGTAGTTTATTGGAATGCATATTTAATTGTTACAAATTTCAATGCATTTTAATACTAAACAAATTAATAGTGGTATTACTTGGTATAGTAAGCAAATGACAAGGGGATTTAGAGACAAGGGAGTTAGAACATGGTTAAGCTTATTTTACACAATATGGCCTCTTTAGTGATTTTGTTATATAGGCTGACTTTGGTTTATTGACAATAACAGCTATTTGAGATACTGTAAAAAATGTCACCCGTTGTGTCTCCATAGTTCAGAGATGTCTTTCAGAATGCCTCAAATTCTTTTATGCACTATACACTACAAGGACAAGTCATGTTCATTTGTTACAGCAAGACTCATTGTGCATCCTTGGTAAGGTTTTAGCCAGAGTGACTGCATGTCAGGATTTTCTTTATTTAGCCTAGTGTTGGTCCTAGATCTGTCTTCATTTTTGACAAACTTATGTGATAAATTCAGAACTTTACATTTTTCTTTTAATTCAGCAGTGTCAAAAAAGAATATTGTAAATATTTTATACAGCACATTTGTTTCTCTCATATTGTGCAGCTTTAGTTTTTTGATACTGTACACTATCCATTTTTGTAACTGTTGCCTGAGATTTGTCCTTTTTTTGTGTGTGTGTTTTCCAGGTCTCCCCCTAGTTTGCTCCAGGCTTCAGCTTGGAGAGCCTCACCGCCACCATTGACCCGAGCAGTTGGAGCGGCAGCGAGAGTCCTGCCGAAGACCTGGAGAGGATGAGCGACTCAACTGACAAGCCAGCGGACAATGATGCGGAGGGAGTGTGGAGCCCGGACATCGAGCAGAGCTTCCAGGAGGCGCTGGCCATTTACCCCCCCTGTGGGCGCAGGAAGATCATACTGTCAGATGAGGGCAAGATGTATGGTGAGTACTGCTGTTATCAACAATGTAACTCAACCAAGTGTGATTATATGAGCCAGTCTCCAATCTCTCAAATGTCTGCAATGGTTTGGTTCCCTCAAGTGCACGTTTTTTGTTGTACGTTTAAGTATAACTGCATAAACTATTAGTCAGGAGCAGATGGTAGTGTGGCTGCCACCAGCTGTGCACCCCCCACCCCCGTCCCTGGTTTTGGCTGATGTCATGTGAACAGGGAACATTTTCTGTCTTTGCTCTTGGACTGTCTTGCAGCCTGTCAGTGTCAAGTGAAATCCGAAGGCTCCTAAGAGCATTAGTTTACAGCTGCCCGTTGACCCCACTGGCCAAAATAAAATGTAAATTTTAAGAGTACGCAAGCAAAGCAGAGCAGCAAAGATACCTAAAATAACTTCAGTGCGACTCAACAACATTCATTCATATAATCTTTATAATCTTGTTTCATGTTATTTTTGCCTGGGATTTAAAATACACACTTCTTTAAACCTTTATGAAGATGTGAGTCTGATCAATGTTGAATCTCCTCATTTTCAAATGGCCGTGATTGCCAGGTGGATTAGCCAATCAGGGACACGCATGGTCTGTTTGTATTGGAAAAAAGGAAAAAGTATCACAGGGGACCAAAAAAAATTGTGGATTTCTGCAATGAGTGAAACACTAAAGTTTGTTCATCTAACATGAGAAAAATAAAATTTTGTTTGTAAATCATAGGCGATTGCCTCGCCAATCCACAATGATATTTCTCTGTTTTTGATATCAATCTGGCCCCACACCCTCTGTTGCTCCTCAAGCCCAGTTAAACGTGATTGTGCAATCGGATTTGTTTTCTTCAGTGACATATGTGAACCGAAGGAGCTCAGTGGTCACTTGTGATTTACAAATAAAAACATATTATTTAACCTCAGATTAACAGTTTAGTGCTGCCCTCATTGAATCTATAGAAATCTGCAGTCTTTTTCAGTCCCCCGTGATATTTTTCATTCCTTTTCCAATGGACCATTTGTGTCCCTGATTGACTAATTTACCTGTCAATCATGCCCATTTGAAAATGGGGAGATTTACTGGTGACCAGACTCATGTCTTTGTAAAGTACTGAAGAAGAGTGTATTCTGGATCCAAGGCAAGACCAAGCTCCTTCATTTCAAATGTGTCACTGAAAAAAACAAACCTGATTGGACGATCATGTTTGGCCAGGCTTGAGAATGATATCAATCTGTATAAATAATACTGAGAGAAATCATTCTAGATTTGCCATTTCTCATTTTATGCAGCTCCAGCTCACCTATTACTCTAGATTAAAAACCATACAAAATGTGTATAGAAAATGTTAATCTCTCCTTGTATTGGTATTCGCTTACCTGAAATAATCCTTATTTACACTGATTTGGTAAAAGACATTTTCAGAGTTCCTATAATAGAATTAAGTTATCATTTGTACATATGGTAGATATAAGTGTCAGTGTGTATATCATGCACTTTCACCCTTGGTATAGTGGGGCAGGCTACAGAATAGGCACAAAAGCTCTCATGGCATCTGAGTTGGAGGTTGGCCACAAGGAGACAGGTATTTTGTGGCGGAGAGACCCTGGGGATGGCATTGTGTTCCATACACAGCTCATCATAAGAGGAGCCGCCCTGAGTGCCCTTAAGCCCTTTGTTATCCCGGGCTAGAGTGCAGTTAATTAGCAACCGTCTCTATAGCAACTGTGTGTGCTACAAAACAATTTCTAATTTCTGCTTCTTAGCTTATTGTGGTGTTTACCTGAAGTGGCTCGCAGGCACCATGCTTATTTCTTGCATCTTATTGTGAAGATACAGGTTATGCATAGTTGACATCACCTGCTACTGCAGTCATGGCAGGAGTATTTGAAAAGTAAAATCAAACTCAATGCTGATCCTCAAGCCAAAGGCCCAGAACTCTGCTATGGCATAATGCACCTGCTGTGCTCGGCTGCATTCATTTATCCCTGAAATAGAGTTGATAAATGAAACAACACGCCTCACACAAATTGTATGTTTATTCATTGCCTCGTGTATTTGCACTAACCTTGCAAGTTAAATGGTATTTGTGATTTTTTGCCATGTGGTTTGTTCCATCTTTGAATAAACGAATGTGTTATAGAGACTACAGAGTTCTTTTATGATACTGCTCATACTTTTAATCAAGGTGATTTGGGTTATTTTTCACTTTTGTGTTTTTATTACATCAATTATATCATTATTCAATATATTTAAACATATCGTCCCAACTCTGACATGAAACACAGAGATTTGGAGATATCAGTGAATATATATTTTGATGTAAAACTGTTAAGTGATGGTTGTATTGTATCTGTGCCATGTCTGCAGTGCTGTAGCACAGACCCCTCCTATTTGGACTAAGTGGTACTTGGTTTGCACAGATGCCACAGATAAGTTAGGTGTAATGAGCAGACCTGGCGTGGCCTGTAGGCCCAGCTCTGTGCTCCTCTGGGGCTTGTCTCTTAGGGCCGACCACGCTCCAAGTCAGAGCGCCTGGACCACATCCACCCTGCTGCGCGGATAATGAGGAATTCTGGGATCAGCTCAGGCTCCTCAGTCACCTGCATTCACTCAGAAGAGTGTGAGGAACTTCATGGCAGGAGAGGCATCACACTCCTCCAGAATAATCCCTCATTTGTTCCCCTGCTATTGTCAGACTAGCACTAGAGCTTTTTCACACACATGGTGGTAAAAAAGTCCAATTATTTTATTTCTTCTGAAAAGCAGCGTCTTACAAAAGTGTAAATAGCATTGATGCAGGTGATGGGAGGATTAATGTCATTGTGAACAAGAATACATTTAACATTTATATATTTCATTCATTAATATTATGTTTTATATGGGTTGTAGAATAATTATGATGATGCCAGTCCCAAGCCTGGATAAATTAAGGCAATAATAGAATAAAAATGATTTAACAGACTAAAAGCTTGAGCAGCTTGATTATTGCAAACTACTAAATAAAAAATGTGATGATTTAAATGATAACTGAAATCTAAAAGAGAAGGTAGGGAATCAGCACACCTAAAATGAAGAGAATGAACAGATTAAATGAAGTAGACTGTTATAAAGGAACTCTACAAGTAAAGGTACAATCCATATATGTCTATATGTATATATATGTATATATATATATATATATATATATATATATATATATATATATATATATATATATATATATATATACATATTTCATAGCTGACCACTTAAGCCTTTTGTCGTGTGTGCCTCTGAGTTGATCAAGCCACACAATAGAATTATGTTTGGATTACAGTGAAGTGCAATTGATTTGAAGTCTGCATATTATTTAATGTGGGCTGTTCAGTGAGCAAACGCATGTTGGATCTTCATGGCTCAGAGCGCTGGTCTCTGGAAGTGTGTTCACTGAAGATTCTCCAGCTCTGATTAGAAACAGAAAGAAGATGTAATGGTGCAAGGCGATGCCTCTGAGATTTCATGTTATTTTTGTATAATAATAATAATAATAAGCGTTTAGAAACTGCATTTTATGCATAAGTGAATTTAATCACATATAATATGTGCATGCATGGTTGTCTCTCAAATGCTCTCAATTTTACTTTAAAGAACAGAACAGCAACATATGCTGTCATTTGCTTGTATCTCTTCACATTAAACTCATTTACATATCAGATTAGCAGCAGTAATTCATTAACCTTGCTCAGCAACATGAATTCACCAGAGATTAGTGAGTTCTTAAATTCACAAAAACTGATTAGTTTGAGTTTATCTAGGATGTTCACACTCAAAACTGGATGGACCAGTAGCAAGACAGTTTGTGAGGGCTTTATAGATGATAGCAACGAGTGCCAGCAAGATGGTGAACAAGTGGGCATACATGTTGCTATGACAGTCCACACTGGCAGTGTTTTATAGACCCATCACTTTAGACTGTATGTGTCATTGACAAAGGCTCATTTTTGATAAATATCCCTCAACGTATATATCCAGCCAAGGTGTTAACCATTGGGGTAGTCCTAAGCCTGGGAAAAAGGGAAAGGGTTGTATCAGGAGAACATCTGACTTAAAGTGTTTGCCAGATCAAAATACAAGTTACTGTTCACTGGTGATTGCTATCCTGATGAGACCCTGAAAAGAGGGTTCTGTGGAGTGTTTGGTCCTGGCGTGTGCGCCTGTGAAGCAGGACTGTGGGTGTGTCTCACTCTGAGGTCTGTATCAGGCCCTGTGAGCCAGGCTGCTGGTTTCAGGTTTCATGTTCCCAACAGGCTGCTTTTGTTTGGCTAAAATACACACTGCTTTGGCTTCTTAAAGAGCCAGTGTCGTCCACTCCAAGGAAATCTTCACCGTGATTACGTCACGTCACGATGATGAAACACTTCTGATGGGACGATCTCATTCTGATAGGACAATTTTATATAATCAACATTTGAATGGAATTTGAATGCTGCCATTATTGTCCCATCCAGAACATTGTGCCCACAATGTAACAAGGAATCAGTCTTTTTTTTGTAGGGTCAGGGAATAGCAAACTATTTTGACACAAAAAGTAATACAGTAGTATGTAATAAAAGGCATCAAGAAATATCTTACAGCTTTAAATATCAATTAAACATGTGAATTTCTTCTACATCCGGAGCAAACAGGGTTAGACTTAGTGGTACACCATTTGACATGGAACACAAAGGTGAGGTTAACAAGTAGCCACCATGATTGTTTTGAATAACTTACCCCTACAAATGAAATTAGCTCTGACTTAGCTGGTGCTAAAATGATTAAAACAAAGAGTAAAGCTGTATAAAAAGTGAGGATACAATGATACAGCGTACACAATTCTATTTGTATCCCAATATATCACTCACTGTCATGTTGGGTATGTGCTCATTTGATGCACTGGTATCACCCATTGGTGTTTTTTAGATTCTGAATGTGATCATGTCATACAGCTAGATGAGGGCAAAAGCCACAAGAAATATCAAAATATCTATCATTATTAATTTTAGCCTTTAAATGTGTAAAATTGCGTATCTATGACCGGTGCTAATGGGATTACTTTTTGAGCATTTACATTGCTTGACTGTCAGTTTTATGTATTAGTCCAGAGTTATTTGTAAATTGATTGTTAACTGCTTGTCAAAATTCTCCTAACAATTTTGTGATCTGGCTTGGTCATGTACAAAAGAAAGTACAAGGAAGCTTATCATGACCACAAAGTTTGACTTTTCATCTCTACATATTGTCCAGCATGGTTTCCTTTTGTGCTCAGACACCGAATTGATCCCAAAAGATTGAAAATATTGATTTGCCTGTGTGTCTGACTTGGTGGCAGAAGGGGGGCCTGCACCTTCCTGTCTGTGTTCACACTTTGCCCGGACGCACAGCGGCTACTCGTGAAACACATAATTACAGCCGTCCGTTCAGATTAGTCCAGATGCCTGTCCAACTGTGCCTTCATTCCCTGACCATTTATTTCCTCCTCTGCTGTCTCCTGAGACGCACACCTCAGCACGATGACCTCCGTTATAATGTATGTGATGATAAACACAGTGGCTCTAATTGATAGAGTGATTCAGTCAAGGACCAGCAGTGCAAATTGGTCCCCTGTGAGCATAATGTGCAGAGCTGGGACGAGCAGCCTGGTGCTTCAGCCACGGCACAGAGCCTCAGAGTGAGGAGGGAGGAAATGGACTGAGCTGGCCCGCTGGGTGATAAAGAGCCTGGGCTTTTGGTCTTTTGGTTCCATCTCTCTGCTTCTCTGGTTCAGAAGAGGGCTGTTGTAATGCGCTCTCGCTGTCTCCAGGAAGGCTCCGGTTAGTGACCTGCTGCTTTGTGATGTCTTGTAAGATTTTGAGAGAACACCTCACCTTTAATCCCCCACTGTTAAACCAACACATTAGCTCAACTGCTCGTGACCCAGGACCCGCAATAAAGCCTTTTATCTGGCTCAATAAGGTCAACACAAGCTAAGTATCGATTTCTTTTGGTGTCCACTAAAAAATGGATTTTTAAAGAGCTGTTAATTACAGTCTCACACTGTCTTTTAAGAACAGTATTGTGTCATAGGTACATTTTCTCTGATGCCTCAAACTTGACCTGAATGTTAGTTTACATGTGAACTCATTTGGGACAATACACATGATTCTACAAAACAACCATATTTTATAGAAGTACTGGAATAGTTGCTTACAAAATACGGAGGTTAAGGTTATTTGACTGACTGACTTGAATAAAATATAATTTAACATAATGGATTTTCCTTTTCTTGAATGGACAGCTCCAGTATTTTGTATACTGGAGCAGAATGCGTACACAGTACTGTCTGGTGTAGAACAGTCCAAAGTCCAGAGATTACAAGGAGACGACTCGCAAAGGAAACACCTGGAGGATCCAATGATTACACTGTATTTTTAGCTCTTATGGTGTCTGTATGACATACTGCATTAGTATGTTTCTAATTCATGGCAGAGTTCTCTGTTCCTGTGAAATTCTTCATCAAACAGAGCCATGTTGTCATTTCACTATTGGTCTTTATGGCATGGGCCACCTTCATGTTAACCCTGTATTGATTGTTCTTAAAGTGTCACTTTTTCTTTGTAACCACATGTTACACATTTCTGTCACTTGGCAAGTGGTGGTTTCTGTTTGATAAAACATGTGAAAAGCCTACAGCTCCTGGGCTGGATGCCTTCATGTTGTTGGTTTACACTATTGTCATGCTAATGTCTCTCGGAGACCTTTGAGCATCTATCACACATGAAAAGAGCTGCCAGTGTGCAGCCAAATACTACACAAAATGTCATCCTGTCAATAAATATGCCTCAGAACATTCAAGTTTTTAATAAAAAATTAAAATGGATAGACATGTAAAAGATCTGTGGTTAAAAATAATAATAAAATAACATTTAACATTTATCAGCCCCCACAAATATAGCTTAGAGTGTTTTTATTCATATAATATAATTAATAAAATTTATAATTAATAATTGTACATCCCTGAAAAGTCTTCAATAACACATGAAAGCATGTATTTTAATGTCTTCAAGTTGTTTGCATCCAAGTATCTGAGCTAGTTTGAAATGAATGGGAATACCACTGAAAAAGAGCTATAACATAAAAGAATATGCATTTTAAATTAGTTTTGGTTAATATAGACAGATTGTAATTATAAATAATAATCAAACATATATAGCATTTTTTGGACTCTCAAAAATGCTTGTATTGTCATTTGGCAGTGTATCAAATGTATCAATGTAAAAATAAATAGGTGTAAAAAGCACATAACATTTTTCAGCTGTTGTGTTTTTGCAAACACAAGTTGAAAAAAAAAAAAAAAAAATGGGACAGCCGGGACCCGTGAGCTTTGTCAGTCTGGTGAAAAGAATGAATAATTCAATAGTAAGCAAGCTTTCAGCTGCCCATTTGTGTGCTTTGATCTAGGAATCAGGAGTTTGCATGAATGCCTGTATTGTCATGTTATGGTTCCACTGTTTGTAATTCATTGATTATTGAAAATAGAGAAACACTGTGCTACGTCTGGGCTAGTTTACACTGTTGCCACAGTGGTCATGCAGACTGTAAGAACATGCCCACAGGTTGTTTATCCCTGGGGCAGCTCCAGAATGTTCATTGTGAAAATGTACATTGTATTTGTACTTGTTCCCTTTTATATCATAATGCGTCTCTCTTCTTACACTCAATAACACCTCCTAATTATTAGCTTCTCTCTCTATACTCTCTCTATCACCTATAGCATGTCTTGTTGATGGTGAAGACCTTTGTCCGGATCATCTCAAAGATATATTATTAACAGACTGATACAGCCCCATTGTGTCATAATTGTGAGACCTAATTGAAAATGAACTGAATGTCGAAAAATGTGTCATTATGTTGTTGCATTTCAGAGAAGACCAGGGCTAGCCTAGAGCTTTGGTTTGTGTACAGCTGGCCCCATAATGAGAGTGGCTCCTTAACTATAATTTGTGTAATAGTTTTGGTTGGCGCCATGTTATTACCATATGAAAAGGCTAAGCAGGGGTCATGTGCATTGCTACATCAATTAGAGTAGGCTGAGGGCAGAAGAATGTTTGGAACCGTTGTTAATTGGAAATCTTTACAAAGCTATGTTTCAATTATAATTTAGTCCATTCTGCACTGTTTTAAACCTGATATATTCACTGCCATTATTTTCTGTAACACTATGAACAGCTAGCCCTGTTTCCTTTCAAAGCCCCCAGCTTTGAAGAAAATTAGATTGAATTAGATTAATTGAAAAGGCTGTACTGCTGCAAGTTTTCATGCTAATGTTACATGGTGTGTTCACAGTGCTAGGGTCTGGCTTGGTCAGACAGCTGGCATTAGTTTTAACTCCAAAATGATCAAATATATATTGAAAATGTATTACTGATACATATGTACCACATGATGTAAATATGTACCATTTAAATAACTGCAAATTATTGAATGATAACTAAACTAAAAGCAATCAAAATATTTGAATCATCAAGTTTATTGTAGTAATGTTTCTAATTTATTGCTCTGTTCTTCTGTGTGCAGGCAGGAATGAGCTGATTGCCAGATACATAAAGCTGCGAACTGGGAAGACGAGAACTCGGAAACAGGTGAGAGGAAAGAGGCGAGGTTAGACAGCGCAACAAAGCAGCAGCTCACTGTCAACTGTGGGCCCATCCTGCTTATTACTAGAAAATACAGATTTCATTATGTGGTATGAAACTGTGTATATCAAAAAGTGAAAATAATTTTAATCCTGACCCTTTTACTGATAAGAGAAAAAAACACCGTCCACCAAATAAAGAACCTTGAAGCACTACTGGAATGACATATAAGGTCATACTAAACAGTGTAAATAAATACAAATGTAATAACAAAGCATTAACACAAGCATGTATGTCTACAGTGTGTATGTGTCATCCACATTCACACTTTTGTGTGGTTTTGGTCATTATGTATTTATGAAGTAGAGTATTTTCAGATGGACCGTGGAAATCTGAAATAAGTGCTATTTTTTTTTTTTTTATCTATTCTTTTATTTATTATTGATGTTTTTTAAAATATATTTATTCATTGTGTTTCACTGTTTTATTTAGCATTACACATGAACAAATTGCACTATGGGCCTCATATATCATGACTGCGAGGGCAAAAGTTTAGTACATCATTGAGGCAGGTGTGAATTTTGCATAGGATATGATACACTGTTGCAGTTTGTTCCACAATGGGGAAAAAAATTGACATTTAACAAAGATGAATAGTGTGTTGGTTTCATGGCAGTGGTAATAACAATGCACACTTAACCTTGGATTTGACTCTCAGGCCTATTTCACTGAACTGGAGTTTCACAGCAGCTTCACTTGTCACTTGTTCCTAAAGACCTAACAGCTGAGAGTTTGGGGTCTAACCGGTGCGTAGAGGGACGTTGGAAGTAACATCACCTGTTGCTGCTCCGCTCCAATGCAACAGCTGTGTGTCTAGTGAACTGTCATCACATTTCAAAGTCTGACTCTGCACCCAGTATGCGTCTCAATTGAAGATAATCACTAGTTGGCTGCTCTAAAGAGTTTTCCTGTGTCCATCTGCTCCTATGTATCTGATTGATGCGCCTTTAGTGAGTGTCACAAATGCTGTGCACACACTCAGACTTGCTTATGGATATATGTCTAGAGAGCGAGTATAATTCTGTGCCTTCATGTGTTCATAATCAGCATTATAAGAATCTTTTAGGATTTTAAATGTGTTTTAAATGATGAATTACCACAGATATAAACATCCCCCTCACTGAGAACATGTTATTTTAAGAAACAAAAATAGGCTACTGTAGTAGGGATTAACCTTAATTTGTGATTTCATTAAACTATAAAAAGGGGGTTGCAATTTCTGAAAAAAATTATATTACACTTCTTTTAGAGGCCAGATAATGATTCATGCACATAAAGGAGCTATATGCTGTCTTTAACAAGGAACTACAACTATATGCTTCTTTTAAGAAAATAACAAACACAGCACAGGAATCAACACTTGTATTACTGATATATGAGGCCCAATGTAGGCTACTTTTTTGATCACCTTTCCAGTGCCTCCATGGTAACAATTTTTGTATTCAAAAATTATTGATCATGATCATTAACTCAAATGGGCTCCATGTCATGGTGTTCAGTTTTCTATTTGAAAATATAGCCTCACATTGGTGACATGATTGGTTCCCACATGAACACCAGAGCACCAGATTCTCATTCAGTACACAGCGGACCACATCTACCCGCTGCTAATATCTCCTAAACAGGCGTTCATTGTTCTTAATCAGTTAACTTAAATGATACAACACCTCATAACAGTCATTCAGCATTGTTAGCCTGCTCTGTAGCTTGGGGCTACACCTGACCTTCATGAAAATAAAACAGAGACATGTGTAATCCACCTTTTGATTTCCCCCTTTTGTCTTTTTGAAATGGAGGTGTCTAGTCACATACAGGTCTTAGCAAGAAAGAAAGTTCGAGAAATCCAAGCTGCCATTAAGGTACGTCTAGCTTTGCCCAGTTGCAGGGGGCTTTTCATTGCCATGGTTACAGGCTCTTCCTTTGTCTCCTCCCCCTCCCTCCCCTTTCGCCCCTCCCTCCCCGACCCCCGCAGGTGTCTAGTCACATTCAGGTTCTTGCCAGAAGGAAATCTCGTGAGTTTCATTCCAAGCTAAAGGTATGCGCTTCCTGCTTCTGGGCTTGTGCTTGCTAACTTTTCTGTGTCTTGTAGTGGCCTAGTAAATAGCACTGTAGAATTTCATGTCAGTTACATTTGTCCCTTATTTGTATAATCTGATGTACATACTATTAGCAGCAGTAATTATTGTTACAAGACAAGTACATATTTAACTACAAATATAAAACAACAATATGAAGCAAATGACAAATGGTTGGTTGGGCCCTAAATTAGTTTTCCATTTTATGGTGAACAGCATGTCTAATAAGTGTAGTTCAACTCAAAAAGTGAAAGGCAAACTGTAATCAGCTTTCACTTAAACTACTGGCTCAGTTATTGTTCAATTTGACAATTCCATTCATTTTTGCAATTTGTTTCATTTAAATTAATCAATTAAATGGTCTCATAATTTTTTGTCATTGCAGTATACATAGAAAGTTGCATTTTATGTTGCTTTCATTGTCAAAAAATTAAATTTCTGAAGCATGCTAGCCGTGACTGTGGCTCAGAGCTGGAGGTCTGACTTCATGTCTGTCGAAGCTGCACATGTTAAATAAAAAAGGGGGCATGGCAAAAGGGTTTGTGTTAAAAAAAATTAGATTACCCCTTAACCTCTTTTGACACAGTAACCCAACTTTTCCCTGCTGTCAAAACCTCTGTAGCAGACACATTCAGAGCTGCGGCTGTTTCTAAAATGCTTTATACTTCTCCCCTGAATCTCTTGTTCATCCTGGCTTTTTACAATGCCATGGCTGTCATTGCCTTTCCTTCCTCCTAATTCAGATGTTGTCATTTCGGGGCGTTCTTGTCAGCTATTTCAGTAAAATTCAGGGGAAAAAAATCACTAAAGAAAAGCTTTTGAGAGTGGCACATTAAGACTTGGGGATGGCTTTGTGAAAGAAGGGGTAATCTTGAATAATATTGACCTGTAATTTGAGGTATTTTATAAAGTATATCAAAGAATACTTACCATAGGCCTTCTTTTTCCTATTTTTTGGGGAAGGCGACTTAAAATTTTGACTTTCACACTTTGCTCTTCTCACACAGTATTCACCAGGAATTAATGACCCCTTATTAATGTGCATGTGCGGGTTAGAGTGTCTGTTTTAGAGGGGGATAGGCAGACAGGCCATGAGCCACATGAATGCCTGGTTCTTTCTGTCTGAGAAAAAACAGGCAGCTTTTGTATGACTCCCTGTCTTGTCTCATTTAAAGCAAATTAGACTTCAGTGGCATAGAGAAATACAAAAGTGCCCTGCGTTTTAGAGGGTCATCAATGGAAGACCCACTGCTTCCAGTAATCTCTGCTGGATTACATTAGACAGTATGGCATCTTGTGTATAAGAAAAATCACTAATAGGCTGAATGGGAGGAGACAAATCTGGAAAAGTGAAATATTTTTAGCAATATTTAGCAACTGTTTATATAGAAAACAATAGCATAAATAGCAAATGTATATACTTGACACGTGAAGTCTAGTCCACTACAAACCACCATAATAGTGGAAAGTGGAATATGTATAAACATGTATAAAAGTATGTTTTGATTGATCTGTTTTATCTATTTTGTACTTATTTTGAAATAAATTAGACTTTCCACATGAGTCTTCTTTTTTATATAAAGCTATGGATAATGTAATACAGTAGAATATATACAATGTTTTTAGAAAATACTTTCTAATTTTACTTTAGATGTTTATATTGATAAACACTGCAACTTTTCAAATGAATCTTGTTTTCCTCATTCAGGTTACAAGTATGGTAAGTTTGTAATTTTGTCACTTTGAATGCATTGACCCTTCCTTGAGAAAAGCCTGCCTTGTCCTGTGTTTTCGTTGCTCTCCTTGGTAGTAGCACAATAGATGTTGCACTGTTTTCTGTTCATTTGCATCTCATTTTTGCAGTTCTTTGTGTGGTGTTTTCATTTGACTCTTCTCCACCAGCTTCAGTTACCAGCATGCTTTACCTTTAGCCAGTGCCACAGTGAATCTGCATGAGTTTCCTTGGTGGCATGTGGGAGTCAACTTCGCAACAGTGTCCATTTGTGAAATCTTGAGTAATTTGTTGTGACTATAATGTATCTGTCAATTTTGTCACCACCAAGGTGGCAAGTTTTGCCAATACATTGGCCTTCCTTCGAACTTAAGAAATTCCTTACCTTTACAATTTGTTTTAGAGTTTTAAAGAAGTATTTATGTGATACATTGGTCAATAAGTTTTTAAAGGCATACCACCTCCATTCTCTGGATATTGGAATTCAATTTTCATTCTTTTTCGTTTACTAAAACCATGCCACACTTAAACACTGGTGCATTTCTTTTAACCTGCTGCTGTTGAATGTGCTGAGAAAGGTCAGTGTGGCTGGTGGCTGCTGCCTCGGCAAATGCTAAGCCTTTTGTGACTGCTGTTAAAGGATCAAGCCGTGAAGGACAAAGCGCTCCAGAGCATGGCCTCCATGTCGTCCGCTCAGATCGTCTCTGCTACGGCCATTCACAACAAACTGGGGCTGCCAGGCATCCCGCGCCCAGCCTTCCCCGGAGCAGGGGTGAGTGTCTCCAGAGCCAGTGCACCCCAACATTCATCCGTCATTCAGCTACACATTGCACCCACCGGCAAACCACTGCATCAACTCAAATTACATTACACAGCATCACCCTATCAGATAAACTCATGATCAAAGACTGCTAGTCAAGATAACTACTGAGACTAAACATGAGCTAAGAGCCTTTTGATCTAGTCCCTAACAAGTGTATGCAATTGGACAATTGGACATAGCTCATCTTTGTTAATTCAGCTGCTATAACAATATTGTAACTCTTCAGTTATGGCAGGGCATGATATCAGCTGGGCAGCCGGGATCCTCACAAGAGTAAGTTAGACTAAAACAATATGTTTCTACACTAAACAGAGATGCATGTTTATAAAAGGATTTCATATAAAGCAATTGACCTATTTTCTTTTACAGCATTAAACCGTTTTCACAACAAGCATATCCAATCCAGCCAACAGTTACAACAGCTATTTCAGGTAAGACCTCATTATTCATTTACACTTCAAAATGTTCAACTTAAACATGGACAGTTGTGTAATTGTTGTCAATCGTAGGATTTTAAATGTTAATTGTTGTGGCTGTTTTAGGTTATGAGCCCTTAACTGCCCAGGCCCCAGCAGCGCCTGCCTGGCAGGGGCGCTCAATTGGGACGTCCAAACTGCGACTGGTAGAGTTCTCTGCTTTTCTAGAACAACAGAGAGACCCAGACTCTGTAAGAAACACAATCATTATTATGCAACATAAGCATTATTTTATTGGCACAACATAAATAGCAATTGTTTTCAGTCTTTTAGTTGTTATACTCAAATGATAGAACTGCAGTAAAGGTAAAAAAGACATGTATGGTATTGATGATATTCATATGACATTTTTCAGAAAACTGTTTGTCAAGAATAAAATAATTAAATAATCTATAACAGTTTTTCCTTTTTTTTTTTGCAGTACAACAAACATCTATTCGTACATATTGGTCAGACAAATCACTCCTACAGCGATGCTCTCTTGGAGTCCGTGGACATCCGGCAAATTTATGACAAATTTCCTGAGAAAAAAGGAGGGCTAAAAGAGCTTTATGGAAAGGGTCCTCAGAATTCCTTTTTTCTTATAAAATTTTGGGTAAGCATTTTTCAACCATGAGGGTCACAAGCCAATCTATTTTTGCATAAATGAATCGAATGAATGTGTAACCTGAAAAACCAATGCACTCTAGAAGGCAGCAGACTAGGCGTTGAACCCAGAACAGAAAAGCTGATTTCTCAATGAATAAGCTCCTAAATTTATGTAGTGGGCCTATAAATTACAATAACTATTATTCTTAGTACCAGACATAAAATTGCATATTCTACCTGGGTTCATGGAAAGTGGATTGCTTGCAATCATTGTACATTGTCCAAAACTCTACTGCCAGGGTTCTCACTCACACCAAGCTCTGCCAACACATCACCCCCACTCTCGCCCACCTGCACTGGCTTTCCATAAAATACCAAATCCAGTACAAGATTCTTCTCCTCCCCTACGAGTCCCTCCAGCTCAGGCCTCTCAGTATCTTTCAGACCTTCTCCAAACCTACACACCCTCCAGGACACTGTGCTCCTCCTCCTCCTTCTCTCAGCTTCCCCACTCCAGGTTGTGGACCATGGGAGACAGAGTCGTCTGTGTCCAGGCTCCTGCACTCTTGTACACGCTCCCTCCACACATACAAACTGCTGAAACCACTGATCAATCCAAATCACTTCTCAAAACATTTCAGTTTAATCTCTTTTAAACCCACCTAACCACACTTGTGTGTGTGTGTCTTATTGTAAAGCGCTCTGGGTGTCTTGAAAAGCACTATATAAATGCTATATTATTATTATTATTATTATTATTATTACACACTGAAGACTACTCCTTGTTTATTGAATACACTAGCTGTATTTGGACTGGCACTTTTGATCAGAGCACTCACTAATTCAGTGTAATATGATGGAACAATAGCATGACCCGGTTGTGGACATTCAATGGAGTCTAAACACTGCTTGTATTTTCCTATCTGGTGCAAAATGCTAACTAGCGGCAAGCAACAAAGTAAGGGGCGCGTGTTCTTGGGCCAAGTCCTCTCAAATTCTTTTTGAAGTGACCGCTAGATCTAAAATTCAAATGAAAGGCCGAATCTCCACAATAATGAATGTATAACTGTGGAGGTTAATGAAGGAGAAGGATGGGGTCTTTTTGTGGTCATAATGAAGCGGATATGCAGGTCAGACAGAGGCCACTCTCTCCAATAGAGCAGCTCAACCTTGTAAATCAGTCTTTTAACACAAGTTCATTTAACACCCTGCACAAGTCTGTTTCCATCTTTAAAAAAGACTTGTTTCTACATGATTTCTTACAATTAAACCCAACATAGTATTATCAACAAGCTTTTTCAAATTAACCAGTGCAAATATAATGTGAAGTTTTAAGATGATTATTTAATTATTTCTTTTGTATGAAATGAAAAGCACAGATTATGGTGTCAATATGTGAGAAGGTTCTGTCAAAAGCAAAACTTTAACTATATCCCAAAAACTGTGAAAAACATTTACCCTACATTTGTCCTATATTTTGGGTGTGTGTAGGCTGGAATAATTGCTCCCTTTAATTAATAAATAATCTTTAAAATATTTCATAATAGTAAATATTGAAGTGTGCTAAATGTGACAACTTTTCTAACTTTTGAAGTGTTTGTATTGGGTGGCACAGTGTCATAAAAATCTTGGTTAAATAAAATACATTTTCTATGATTGACAGGCGGATTTAAATTGCAACATCCAGGATGAAAATGGATCATTTTATGGTGTCACAAGTCAATACGAGAGTTCTGAGAACATGACCATAACATGTTCCACAAAAGTCTGCTCCTTTGGCAAACAGGTGGTGGAGAAAGTCGAGGTATGGCCTTTGATAAATAATGTGCACTGATATGAACATTGATTGGAGGAGTGAATAAATGAATTTTTTTATGATGTATATGTTTTTTTGTCTAATTTGTTTTTGTATGTATTTCTGTTTAGACTGAATATGCCCGGTTTGAAAATGGCCGCTTTGTCTATCGCATCAGCCGATCTCCCATGTGCGAATACATGATCAACTTCATCCATAAGCTCAAGCATCTCCCTGAGAAATACATGATGAACAGTGTGCTGGAGAACTTCACCATCTTAATGGTAATGTCTCAACACTAAAGTCAACCCTGTTTTTTAAATGTGTGGTGGCTTCAGTTAGACTAAAAATGTGAGTGGTGAGGTGAACTCACGGCTGGTCCCACATTCCTGTAATTCCTGACGGGATGAGGCGCAGTGTGAGGAGACTCATTATCAGCAGGAGACAGGAGGGATAAAGGGGCAGGGACCTCTGTTTGAGACATCACATGGGGTCTTCATTTAACATGGACACCCACATGAAAAAAGCAACACCAATAATACCATGCCTTGTATTTTTATACAACATAACAATTGGTATATTAGTTGCCTTTTACAACATCAAACAATTTTTTTTTTCTCGAATATCAATAATTACTTGTGCAGCTGAATATTTTGCTATAAAATTATTTTTCTATACAAACCCAGTATATATGAATGATGAAAAAAATTGTTGAATAAAGAATAGTTGAATAGGCAGTAGCTCAGTTGGTAGAGCATTCGTCCACTGATCTGAAGGTTGGCGGATCGAATCCAGCTCTCAACATAAACATCACAGGTTGAGTGGTCAGATCCACTGACCCACAGGTCGGCTGATGTGATTCCAGCTCCCACAGATGAATGCTGCTGTTGTGTCCTTGGGCAAGACACTTAACCCACCTTGCCCACAGTGTCTGCGTACACTGGTGTGTGTGAATGGGTGAGTGGTTTCTTGTTGTAAAGCGCTTTGAGTGCCTTGAAGGTGGAAAAGCGCTATAGAAAAATGTGACCATTTACCATTTAATACATTTTTCCATTTCTGAGAAAATCTGTGGGAAAAGAGTAAACTATTAGAAATGTAGTGTGTCCTTTAATATACTTGTCAAATCAATAATAATTATCATTTATACTGAGTTGACTGTAAAAGTAAAAGTATCACAATAAGAAATGAGTGAAAATCAATCGTTTTTTTGTAATGAACTCTTAGATAATACACTGAAGGCAGCCATTGTGTTTCAGGTGGTGACAAACAGGGACACACAGGAGACGCTGTTGTGCATGGCGTGTGTGTTTGAGGTATCCAACAGTGAACATGGAGCTCAGCATCACCTTTACAGACTGGTGAGGGAGTGAGTGAGCTCCTCTTCTACAGACTTTACCCTAGTGGCAGTGCCTCGATTAAAGTCCTGCATACATGGCTTTTTTTGCGTCATCATTTGAGTGACATCCATTGTCCTTGATTTTTGTATTTGACTACAGCTGTGAATTAAGGTACAGTTGTTTTATGTTTTAAAAAGGAAATTGCATTTTGTTTGGTATGATTGTTGATAAATGTTTATAAATAGTAAATGTAAATCTATGTGATGTCCTCTGTTTTATGTATAGAAGAGAAAAATACTCACCCTTTTTAAGTGGTCTTAAATGTTTTTGTAGCTTTGTTTAGTTAATAACTATTGCCTATAAAATCGATTTCCACAGCTCCCAGTAGATTTCCCAAAGAAAAAGAGTGCCATTGTAAGTGTATTTAAAACCACACAATAACATAAAAATCAGGCAGCCTTTCAGATTTATTACATTACATGCACTCCAAGTTTTCTACACTAACTGTAAAGCACTGTGAAATACATTAGGTTTGAGTTCACTTACATTTTAGGCACTTGTCATTATAATATAACATCTTTTAAATTAAAAGGGATTACTCATATTGTAAACTGGTTTAGGTTTTAAAATACTCCACTAAATTTACATTATGAACTAGATCTGTTTATTGAATGAAAAAGCAGAAATAAAATGATACATTTCCCTCAAAATACTAGTTTGGCATGTACCAAATTTTAAGTTTTGCAGGTGACTGCTCTAACAGAACACTCAAGTTTGCACAAAAGCAGTCACTTGGGCTTGCCTTAGTCATGCACATATTCTGGACTAGTTCACTGTGCCCCTTGACCACCTTAAACTTTTTAAACATTGAGTGACAACTACGTTCTCAATCATACTGTGCTCATGTTTTTGAGTGGCCTTTGCAGTTATAGCTGTGTAAACACCAAACCATGCCTCTAATGATGAGTAAGTGCATTGAAATAGAAATTCAAATTTGCCAAAGGTAAAAAGTACTGTGCCTTGTACTCAACCCTTTATTTCATGAATAAACCAAGTCCTTGGCTGTTTATTATTGGCACTGAGATAAATTACTGTATGTACAGTGTTTTTAGTCCACATTACAATGTTAGTTTGACATGATACATAATATGAATAGTATTTTATAGACCAACCACTGTACCACTGGTTATTGAGGACATCGGCCTTTACAAGTACTATAGAAACCCTGAGACACTCCAGTATGTCCTGTGTGGTAGCAGGAAGTGCCTTTGGTTTGAGAACCGTAAAACAGATCAGACAAATGAACCAAAATCACAAGCGGCAACAGTCACCAAAATGCCTTTTTATATGCTGGAACGAATATTCAAATATTCGAATGTGTTACACTGAAAACATTTACTGCACTAATTAATCCAGTATGTCTCTGTTGTTTATTCTGCGCTAACCCCCAATAAAGGTGGTTGATGACAATATTCAGATGATATTACGATAATCCCAACGTGCCTGTAAATATCTTGATTGAGGTTCAAGTATCACACAAAACATTTGGACATTTTTTTCTTTTTGTTTTTTTTCCCCTCAAATTGTTTTATTATAGACAATATACATTTCTATCTAAACATAAATAAAAATAAATTGGGATAAAAGGGGAATTGACATATTTTGGCACTTTGTCTTGCATACCTTTAGGCTACATGACCTTAGGCAACATAATCCTTGAATAATTACTCTTGAATGTCCAGTATTTTACTGTGTAAATGTATTTATTAATAGGATATCTTTTGTGATATATCAGCGATGGATTCTTCTTTAACATTTTATGAGAATGTAACAAGTTACTTTTAGAATGGTCCTGAAAGTAGAAATATGTTAAATGACACAACACAGGGAAACTCATTGTGGACACTTGCAGGTTCAAGTGTTTTAGGGTGATTATGGAAGACTGTATTCCCTTTATAAATACCAAATCAATATAGACATTAAGGTTGGGCTAAATAAAGCCTTTAAACATTGAAACTGATCCATTTTTAATGTCTAAATGTGGATGAGGCCATTGCTTGTTTATAACGTGTTTGTGTTTTTATACAAAATAGTATTTTCATCAGAGAATATCCAATTAAGTCAGGAATAGTCTTTGGTGCAGTTAAATTAAAATGTTCTGTGTTTTACAGTGTCTTGTGAACACTGCGGGATTTTTTTTTAATGTATCCTGTGTATTTTTTACTTTGATTTCTCTGTGGGGACAGTTTTTTGCTAATGTGTTAGTGTATGGTTGTATGTGGTTTTGTGTTGTCTTTACTGTTTGTTGCAAGCCCAATAAGATTGCAATGCTTACACTGCTGCACTGCTGGAACACTTAAATCATCATTTCAAACACTACAGGCCTTAAGACAAAGTCCCAGAAGGAAATTTAGAAACTTCTTCACTATCTTAAAGATTGTAGCTAAATGTTTATTAACATAATTATAGTGTGGAGGATTTGAAATAGTTTACATACAGAATTACCCAACACTTTCTGTTTTTTACTTTTTGAATAAAAGTACTTTGTACAAGCTTTTATTGGCACAGAATGCAGTGGTATCTTTTCTTATCACACGGCAAAACATTGAAAAGAAAAAAATTAAAAATCGCAAAGTCAGTGTCCCGCATTTGATCTTGTCTCTGCTTTGTAACATGATACTTTATTGATAATGGTTAATATTTTGTAGCTATAGATCATTTGTATGTATGCAAAATTGAGGTTAAATAAATTGTGAAAACTGGGAGTAAAGCCATTGTGTGTTTGCTGCTTTTGATATACATGGTGATATGCATTAAGCATATATAAAGAGTTGGCCGATTTCAGTCAGAACTGAATCTCAACAGCAGATGGAGCTTGTCTTTTTTTACAACCTGAACACAAGAACAGAACTGGTGTCTGTACGTTTGTGGCCACAAGGGGGAGACACTATAAAAGAAAGGAAAATGTCCTTTTTTAGATAGTATTGTAGTTGTTTTGTTTGTTTATTTTTCTCCTACAAAACACATTTCTCCATTTGACATAACTGCATTTTCTTTTCACAGCAGAGCAATTAAAATAATCGTAGAATCTCCCCATTAGGCCTACATCTAATGTCTGGTAAATGTATACATATCTGGGACACAATTAACAATTTAAGGTGGTTAAAAAATGAGAACTATAACTTTTTCATGTTGATGATTCAAGGTGAAGGACTATCGCTTGAGCTGGTCACTTTTGTTTACATCAAGACTTTGTTCAGCTAATGGTCGAAGTTTATTGTGTCAGTTGTCTGCTCATGGCTTGCGCTCACTGGTGTCATGGAATCACGTGACCACAACAATACGTGCACTGGAGTTGTAAAGTTTCCGTCACTCTCAAGTGTTTGGGAGAACGGTGCGCGTGAAGAAGGCAGCGGAGTGACATGACAAACTTCTGACAGGATTCCGACAGATCATGACGGAGGAAAACCAAATTTCTGTGTGGGTCTGCCGCGTAGAGAAGCTTGTTTTGGGCTTGTCCAAGCGGACCAGCTGTGGAGATGTGATCCAGGTCCTTCTGAAGGATCAGAGCCCGGAAATGGGACTTTTTCACACGCCTCAGTCCTACTGTATTGTGGAGAAATGGAGGGGCTTTGAGAGGGTTCTGCCAAACAAGACAAAAATCTGGCGGCTATGGCTCGCATGGGGACAGGAACAGAAAGATGTGAAGTTTGTGCTAGTGAAGTGCGATGCGTCCTCCTCCAGTCACGCTCCCCGAAGCGCAGAGGCGCGCGTGGTACGCAGCAAGCAGAGCCCGTGTGTTACCTATGGGTCCATACGTGGCCCAGTGGCAGTCTGTCCCGAGAAGCAACGGCGCATAGTCAGGAAGGCCTTCAGAAAACTGGAGAAAATCAACAAGAGGCGCGCGCGCAAAGACGCATCGTGTGCAGAAAGAATGGAGACTTTGGTGCACGTGGTCCTCTCCCAGGACCACACCATCAGACAGCAGGTGCAAAGACTCGCGGAACTGGATGCAGAAATAGAACTGCGCGAGGCAAAAACGCACCTGGAGCGAGTTCAGCGGCACGGTGCCAACTACCTTCAGGAAACATACCTAGTTAACTGTGACGCAGCGTGCGTCAAAACAGAGACTTATTGCTCAACGAAAATTAAACAGTTTGAAGACTACGTAAAAACATGCGAGGCTCTCGTGAGGCTACACGAGGAAATCAGTGAATATGAGGTTCAGATTGACAGGCTGACCGAGCAGATTCAGGCGGAGCTGCACCTGCGCTGGATGCAACGGAAACAGCAGCAGGTGACCCCCAGGGCCAGCCTTTGCGAACCGAGTCTGCAAACAAGCCCCCTTTACGAAAGTCAACTGCTGCTAGAGGAGGAACAAATAAAAACTCAATTGGAAGCCAGCTGGTACATCGGCCTGCGCCTGGAGACGGACTTAGAGTCTGTCCAGGGCGATTTAGAACTCTCCGGGGACATTTGTACCGCAAAAATGAAGGAGATAAGCGATTTACTACATAAAGTTGACCTAGCAGATGTGCAAAACACCGAGGGAGATGGTAGAGCTAGGGTGGTCAGTTTGGACAGTCAGGCGGAGTGGGTGGAGCAGGCCAGAGGACTTTCCAAAGCGCACGACATAAACGACACCGATTCAGACACGGGACTGAGCTCCCTGCACAGTCAGGACTCAGATCAGGCTCAGTGGGAGGCCGTGGTGTAGACAGTAGTCTTATGGTTAGAAGACACACTGCATTTAGGCTAATAGTATTTGGTTTTGTACCTCTAGACTAGGAACAAATAAACCACTTTATGATATAATCGTTAAACGTGTGAATCTTTCTAATTTAGACTGCACTGGTTTGCTTTGTGAGACATTTCATGGCAACATTACAATTCTGGTGCCATTGTTAACCACATCTCTCTACCCAAATGTATATGACTGAACTGAGGTGGGGAAATGAAGGAAAAGCAAAAGATAAACCTGCTCTGGACCTCCCTTGAGACCAGGGTATAGCTTCTGTTACAATAACCAGGTTTATGAAATGACACTGGATCTTGCAATTTGTATCCACCATGTAACTTATAATTATGTGAAAACCACAACAGTATATATTACAGTCCTTTATGTAGTTCTGTAATTACTGTATTGAAAATGGGTATAGAGCTGTTTCTCAGTGTATACTGTGACAGAAACACAAGGCTCTCATATACATGTCTGGCATCACATAAGAGGCCACGCCATGGTTCCCAAGTGTACTGAGTTACAACAGTCGTGTGATATTGTTTTCAATCACAGCCGCTTCAAACACAATCAGGGTTAATATGAGTTTTTCATTCAAGTGTTAAGTTTTTTATGATTTACACAGGACACATGCAGGACAAGATCAAATCTTGCATGAAATTGAGCATTTTGAAACTTACTTAACTTGATGGATCTTTCACCAGACCATCATTTAAGACTATATATTTGGACAACAATCTAAGTTACTGTGGCATTTCAGCTAAAGTTAAAGTATGTTTCCTTTGATGGACTGCCTGAAGTCTGGGGCCCAGGCCTGGGTTTCTACCTTTGACAGGCCTTTGCTGCAGTTATTTGATAGATTTCCAACTACTTCATACAACCATTTGATTGTGGATATAATTTAAGACGAGACTTGCACATGTTGACTGACTGCATATTGAATAACTTTTGGAGATAAGATGATGTTTGTCAAAGAGGGAGATTGCCCTGTTAGATTTGTATTCTACCATCTCATGTGGCCACCGTTTCTTGTGACACTTTGTCACTGTAGAAAGCATTAATTGTTGTGACCTGGTAAAGGAAAGAAAGATCCAATTCTATCACATGCAGCTGGGGAATAGCGGATTCTCTCAGGACCAAATGAACACATTCCTGTTCTTTTGTCTCTGAAACAGTACGAAGTGTTTCCCATGTGAAACCAAATGTCACTTTGTGATTATGTGGGGTTTCCACCACTTCAGCCTCTCAACAGAAAGCCCAGGAATCTGGAGTGGTCTTTTCTCAAGATCAGAGGTCAGCTCATAAGCTCCACAGAAGATGAAAACACATTTAAAACCACAATATTCAATTGTGAAAAAAATAGACTAAAATCATTTATTTTTTTTATTTTATTTTATTTTTTTTCATTTTGGTTATGTGTATTGCACTTAAGAAAAATGTGTGTCTATACTCTGTTACCTACAGGAAGTATAAAAATAAGAGGCTAATTATTAAAATTAGAATAAAATTGTGGCAGTCAAGAAAACCGTGATTATTAAATTACATCAATTTCCTTAACCTGTAATAAATTGCTTTTTCAGTGAATGAAAAATTCTTTTATGTGGAAACCTTTTGAAAGTTGGGAAATTCATGTTATAGTTGCTTACAAATCTTTTAGAGTGTAAAAATGCTCCTGTCCTTTGAATTCATGGGTCATTTAAGAAGATAAAGTTATAAACCCAGGAGGGCATGAAGGTGAGCTCTGTGGACAAAGTGGTCCATAGAGGCCTTTCTCATGGGATGTCTGCACTCAGGACCTCCTGTGGTGGGAGGGACAGAGGGCAAGGGCTTGTGGGAAAGAGAAGCAACACCGTGGCCAAATATTAGGTAGAATTTTTCCAGGTAAGCCTCTTAATTTCTATCTTGAGACCACCACAATAAATAAACTGGTGTGACCCATACTTAATTAACGATAAACCTAAATACACATCACCAGAGGGTCACTCACATCAGTCCTTTGTGCAAGTCTCAAGTTGGCCTGGATAAATGGCAATACTATAGAGGAAAACCAATTTGCTTAAAAGAAATAAAAGCATATGAAGTACTAAGTCACTTGTTTTTCTGAAATTGTCAAAGCTAACATCACCAAAACAAGACTCTTATATTGCACTGGCCCTAACCTCTGGAATGTGTCCCTGTGGTTCCTCTGATCTAAAGCTTATCCCAGAGAGTGGCCTGCCATGAAGAAGTGATTAATGAAGGAAGTGTTGGGCAAGAGGAGAGTGGAAGGGTAGAGGGCCAGTGTGCTATAGTTATTTGAATGTTGACATTCACTATGGACTTCACAGCTCGATAAACAATTATCACTGACAACTGTGATAGAAAGACAGAAGGACAAGTAAGTTGCTTACAGGTACTTCTTGCTCAACCCATTGTGTACTGTCTGCTCTATGTGCTCTTGCAGAACACTTCACCCACATTAGTCAAAGAGGATAGTTACATAGCACTGTGGCCAAACTGTAAGGGGGCATCAGCACCCACAAGATATGAAAATGGGAACATCTACAACTTAAATCATAGCTAAACCACAGTAATAGGAATGTTTATTTGGTATGCTGATTACGTTTAACTGTTGTTCTTTATTGTTTTATAGTGTGTTGCCACTTAGGGTATTTGAAAAAGGGCATCTGCTTTTATCGGAAAATGTACAGAAGACATTTTGTGGTGGATTATCGTACATTAGAAAGTCCCTATAAATGAGGTTAAGAGTGCTAGATGTAGACTTTTAATGCAGATCACATCTACACTGGAATCAACAGAAATTTGTTGGGAAGAGGAAGGAAGAGGGTCCAATTCTGGGCCCCTAAAACCCTGGGGCCCTACACAACAGATGCCCCTTCCCCCGGCCCTGCTTGCACGGCTCCCATTGGTGTAGTAACTGTACCTTGATGGGCGTGCTGAGAATATCCATTTCAGAAAAAACAAACAAACATGTAGACATCTGGGTGTTTCTGAACTTCCTCCACTCTCTTCCTCTCCATAGAAAGTGAATACACTCTCCTCAGGGGGAGAATAACAAGATCTTGTTGTAGGACAATTACTTAAACCCCCTCTAATCACCCATTGGGAGCGTTTGGCCTTTCACACAATTGTGGTGGATTGTGTTGCACTACTTTTGTAGGTCATCTTATTTTCCCTTCATAAAGCTCATAGTGATGGTTTTATGACAGGATAAAAAACAGGTACTTGTCAGTTTTATGTACAATTCTGCATTTCATAAAATGAACTTATCCATTCAGCAATCCTCTTATGACACTGTCAAACACTGTCTTGATAATTTGTGAGATCTGGGCTTCATTCAATAATTAGAAAGACGGCTTTAAACCCAAAGTCTGTACAGGTGTGGTGAGAGACTTCTGGCTGAGAACTGAATTGCTACATTTTAAATTTATTTTTAAATGATCAATTTAATATATGGCAATAGTATAGTTTAACTTTAGTCTTGTTTGAAAATCCAAAATAAATAGCCTTGAATAAAAAAAGAATAAAAATGCAGAAAAAGTTTGTAGGCTAGATTTTTTCAAAAACACAATAACTGATCACTCAGTTTGGGAAAGTGCATGTGTAGAAAACCAGAGATGCACCAAACAAGGCACAGTTATGGAAAAAAGGTGGTGTACAGATACAGTGATACTAACAAAAGCAACAGATGGGCCACATTACTGTAAGTTAAATACTTAGATAATGTTTCATGTTCACATCTCGCAAACACAATCTGAGCCTGAAAAGCCCCAGCTGTCAATAGAGGAGCATGTTATTTTTGCTTCCATTCACTTTCATTCATACTGTATGCATTTGACTAATACTTGTGAAATAAAATGAGACAGTTTCTTGTCATTCCAGAGGTAAGCCTAACTTGCTGAGCAGCTGAGACCTCTAGTGGCATTAACCAAGAACAACTCTGTTACACACCAAACATTGTACTTACAACATCAGGATTTTTTGGTACGTGACCATGCCTTTATTTGCATAGATTTTGAGACATAGCTATATGATGTCACTGGATATTTACCTTTGATACATTGGCTGTTATGGTATTTTATGTTTATGTCTATGAATATCCAACTGGATTTATTTAATTAAATGATCATCATGGATTACAGTGTTTAGACACAATTAATGATTCAGAACACCAAAGGCAATGTCAGTGTGTTATTTAAGAGTGCAAAATTAGGTAAAACAAACAACAGCAACTATTTATTGATCAGTTACAGATCTCTATAGAGAAGTAGACTATAGCTAACAGTTTATCTTTGTACTTCTCAATCCACTGACTCAATCCAACATCGTAAGGAAATAGAGTCCTATAAGACCCTTTGATTTGAAGATCATGTTACAGTACTGTAGTTGACATACCAACCCTCAGCAAGAACAATGTGTCCAATAATAAGCATGACATGATGCTCATCTTTCTCATCTGCTCTTACTTTATTCATGTAGATCTGCATCAGATGGTGCCCTGATGCAGCAATTGAAGACAAAACAGAGCAAACTTATTTTTAAACAAACAAGCACCCAAGGTTCAGGGATGTTAAACTTGAAAACTGCATAAATAACATCAAATATAAAGGTGCTATAGGCCTACTTGATTTCAAGGTTTAATTTAGTAAAATTGTCGACAGTTTCTTGAATGTCAAGTCAATGTCAGGATTTTATTTTGAATATAATATTATTTTGTTGAGGATGTAATATTATTTTATTTTATTATTTTGTTGAGGATGTAATATTATTTTGTTCTCAAAATCAAAACAAGAGAACATAAACTAAAAACTTTTGAAGTCTTTTATTTACTTTGTATTTATCAACAACAAGATTTTCAAGCTTTGCACAAGTTTCTGACCACAACAGCCTAGTGCTCTGCTTAATATTGGCTGTGGGCGGAGCATAACATCACATAATCGGACCCAGCCAATGACTACAGACCGTAGAACAAGATCAAAACATCTGGAGATCATAACACTAAATGGTGACAGTTGACAATCTCTTGCTTGGTTTCATAAAAGTAGTCTAGTTTTAGTTTCCCTTAAGTAGTAAAAGGCCACCCCAGAACGTGTATCTAATCAGTTAAATAAAGAGAAATATAAAAGTGAGAAACAAATGACATGTGCTGAACTGTGCTCAGCAAAATTTATCAAATTAAGATATAATAATAACATTGTAAATAATAATGTCATATATTTTACTAAATGTATTCCAAAAAGAAAAATAAATCCTTTGGTCAAGTAAAAAACAATTTTTAAAATAACAGTGAATTCCTTCTTTTGTCTTATGGCCCTCTTCATATACCTTTTTTACAGTCCACCATGTTCCATGGCTCTAAGGCTGCAAAGAAGGTGTCAAGGCAATATGGTTATGGCGCCCCTAGCGGTCCATGCTGCAGCATGCTGGGAGTGGACTGGAGTAGAGAGGGGCGAGGCGTGTCCTCAAACCGCAGGTGAAGGTGCATCAGGGTCAGGTTCGTTGCTGTAGTTGTTGCTGTAGTGGTTCCCACTGGGTGGGTGGTTTGGGAGGATGTCAAGTTCATCCACCTGTGGGCCGGGGTGCATCACCACAAGCTGGTCTTGTGGGATATCTGCTGCTGCAGCTGCCAGATTTGTGATGGACTTGGACTTAACACACTGGAAGTCCACATGACGACTTTTCCCCTCCTCCTTTTCCCAGGACATGCGGATAAAGGGCCTTTGCACGTAGTTGTAGATGACCTCTGGGCGCCCTCCAGGCCTCTTTTTAACCTTTTCTTTATATGTTGGGTATCCTGCCAAATGCACATTATAGACATTAACACATATTTATGTAGCCCATGATTAATAAAAAAAAAAAGAATATATTGTAGATTACTAATGAAAACATTGCTCTGTATTAATTTTACAGCTATTTTGCAACTATTTTATAACATATGGTAAAGAATATACATTATTAATAATATTATTATACTGCACCTTCAATTCCAAGTCGTATTTTCTTTAATCCTCTTTCTTTTAAGACTGATTTGGCAACATCTCGATTCTCAATGTACTTGAAAAATCTATACAATTTTGTGCTGTAAATAACTGCAAAAATATAAACAGTCAGATTTTGACAAAGTTTGCATGCAGTATACCATTTGTCATATACATACTTTGTGAATACTCTTCGCCCATTTGTGGAGGATACTCTTCATCCCAGTCCACCACATCATCATCAGTTAAGACCACAATATGACATTCTCTTTCTCCACTCTGGGCACTGGCAACCATTAGAGGAAGAACCATTTCCTCAAGATAAAATTCAAATTGTCTTCGAGCTCCATCATTTGAAAGCTCATGCATCAGGGCACCTAATAATAGACAACATACAAAAGGAAATATTAGAAACATGAAGATGACATCACTAGTCATCAGAGAGACACTCACTAAGGTCTCTGCATTTGATGGTGCTGTAGTCAAAAGAGATGCATAGATAGTCACACGCTTCTCGCAACTCAGGGATGGAAATTCCATCAGGGCATCGGATTATCCCTGATTTGTAGTAATCCTGTCAACAATCAGGAAGTTAAACATGACACTTCAATAATGTTACATTTATTGCGTTTATTCAACTATTATGCAATTTGGAAGTATTGTTATGTTCAACAGTAGTTCTAGTAAATACCTATGTGTGATTGAGACGTACCAGAATTGCTCGGAAAACAGTGGAACTGATGCCTTCAGCGACCTCATACTCCCCTTTGTCATTTGGTCGTGTGAAATTATGCTCCCGTCCAGATCCAAACATTCTGAGTAAAAACAGAATGACTTATACTTAAATAATGAATTATTAACATTAATGATACTATTCACATTATTGATAAAATAAATAATTTATTTAATAATAGTAATAAATTAATAAATAATTTCTTTAAAGAAATGACAATGGTACAATACCTGCCCAACATAGTATTGGGTTGTGCAGTGAAAATGGAGGGGTCTACGACGAAGCGAGTGTTATCTACAATCAGAGTGACTCTTTCTGAGGTCCGTATGTTTCTGTTTCCAACAGTGGCACTCGTCCCTCCCTCTTTGGGATTCTCATAGACAAAAACCATCTCTCCAACCCCTAAACTTTTGAAAGTGCCTTCAGTGCTGGACAAACTGCTGTTGCGACTGCTCATAATGCCACTGCTGCTGGAGCCACTGGGAGATACTCTCTGGGGTCGTGGACTACTGGGCCTGGATGAAGATCCACCATCACGGTCTATAACAAAAATCCAGATGACATCAAGTAAAAAAAAAAAAAAGCACAAAACCACAACATAAGATGCAATATTAATCAATCGGAAAGCACTATTGGAAGAGAATGTGAAATCAAACAAGCACACTGACCACAGTTGTGTTGGCGAGTAGGAGAGGTGACGTTGCGAATACAGGGGGTGAGCTCTCTCTCGTGTGATGAATCTCGGGAGCGATCACTTGAACGACGGCGGTCTCGTGAACGATCACTGCCCCCACTGGCACCATGCAAGCTCATCTTCCTCTGTTCAGCCTCCACTCGGGATGCACGGGCCTGACTGCTGCTTTTATAATACGATTACATTTTTTTTAGCCTTCTTACATATATTTAAAAGCTGGTGCTTTGTTGTTATTCGTCATACAATGGCTGAACAATAGTAAAGCTACAATTCAACAGGTCATACCAGATGATCAGGTTTCCTATCACATTTGAAGCAGGGATTTGTTAATTTTCATGGTTATATTTTTAGCATATTTCAAAACGTATATATTGATATTTGGGAATCATAGGAAACATACTGCGGTATAAAACAACTGTATTGTATCGTATTTTATCTCACCTCAGATGCTTACAGAGCTTACGAGGTCGGCTTGTTGCTTTTCGATCCCAGTTATCAGTGTCGCTGGAGTTGCTGTCATATGATTGCAGACGCTCTGCCATCACCCGAACAACGGGGGGTCCTGTCTGGATCCTTCACTTTTCATAATCTGGTTAATAGCGATATCAACAAGTCAATAAGCGCCAGCAGCACTATTGTCTTTCACAAATGCTGTGTAACATAGCCATTCCTTGACTTGTCGATATGCTCCAGTCATTGCACCCGTTAGTTTTAAGACGGATAAACTACTACTCTTTAGCATACTGGCCCACATTAAAACATTACTTAAAACAGTAATTCCCTTTGTTGCAGCCTCACGGTTTACGATATGCTTTATAGCCAGTTAGCATCTTTGCGCTAGCTAGACGTAGCATTTAGCCAACAGAGAAATCTACGATCAAATAACGAAGAATTATCTCATAGGAGTGAAATGTGTTAGAACAATGAAGAATCAAATAAGACTAACTTGTAAACAAATTAAAAAAACATCACCTCGAGATGTAAATCTCACTTACTCGCCAATACTGCTAGCCAGCCATGTAGCCTACGTTCAAAACATCTCCCTCTGACGTCCAACGCGTTTGCACTTTGACGTCATGCGTCTCATCGTGTTGTGAGAAGAAGAGAAGAGAAGATAAAACTATTCTGAAATTAAGTGAAATTGAATTTACAATACCTGTGCAATGTCAAAGAAGACACGTTTAAAAGTAAATGTGGCTCGTTGCCTCTGGAACTATACATTTAAAAAGTAGCTTAAGTAAATTTACTCCGGTGGATTACGGTGGATCTATTAAAATAACATCTTTACCCTTGACTCGCAGTCAATGCATAACAAATTTGGTGATCATGAAAATCAGCAGGAATGGAAAATAATTATGTTTATAAGAAGTCTAATAATTACTTACATTTTCACTTAAATGAGCCCTTAGCAGTTGTTCAACAAAAATAACTACAGTAAAACATTTTCTGTGGTTCATAATACTGTAGCCTTAGTAAGAATTTGATTTACATTTACTTGACATTTATTGTAAAGGACACCGCTCAACTAATCAGTTCAGCCGTTAAAATATAAAAAATATATGATCAATAAAAATAAAATTAAAATGTATAAATACAAAAAATTGTCTATTAAAGAAAAAAAAAAACATTTTAAAATACAAAGCAAAATAAATGAATTTAAATAAGCCTAATGGTAAGGTAATGGTTCAGGTCTGGTTGAGTTTACAAATGTATGAAACAAACAAACAAACAAAAAAACAAAACAAAAAAAACTATGTCCCTAAAATACTGCTGGTCTTGAATTTTCCTGGTCGAACATTTTGAGGTTTGACACTGGTGACAATTATGTCCTTCAGCTTTTCCTGAAGCCACTCCTGTCGTTCTCCCACTTGTTTGTGTTCTTGGACATTATGCATAAGCTGCACTTCACTGATGGTTCTTTTTCTACAGGAGAAAAAGCACAGATCAGCCAAAGGACTCACAACATGGTAAGTGAAGCACATTTTTAAGTACTTTAAATGTAATACCCTAAAATCAAGATTTACCTTAGTGTTTTGGCTTTTGTTTGCAAACTGGCCATAAGAAGTATCAGAAACACTATTCCCAAGTGCTTTAATAAAAACCTCAGAGACTAAAAATAAGAGTTCAAGTTATAAAAATATAAAAATCATTAAAATAAAACCATTGACAAAAGTTACACAAATCAGCTCTTTTGTTGTTCAGTTTCACAGTTTTTAAGTAATAATTGTGTACATACCATTGTATTCCTGAATCCAATGGTTAAAAAAAAAAAAAAAAAAAACATTCACCCGTGACCTTCTGGCGAAGAAGTCTAACTTGTTGATGTGTGTTTTTCGTGAGGAGGGTTCAGTCCTTTATATACGACCTGCCCTCCCCTGGTCATCAATGCCAGTTTCATTCTTGATGTTGATGTCACTTTTCAAATCCATCGATGGGAACTGGCATCTGCATGACACCACCTCTCACTAACTCATCTGTCAACACCCTTTGCACCTCTCTGTGTGTCACATAGTTTTTGTCCATGTTTCAGTGGAATAACAAGTTCAAAACATACTTATAGTAATATTACACATTTCAGTATTTCTCCAAATATGTCTAATTGGATGTTTTCATGCACCAAGACTGCACTGAAAACATATACTCTTTGAAAAGGCAATGAGTGTCAGCTTTATTGGCAATGCAATTTATTTTATGGTTTGCCTTCTTGCATGCATCTAAAGGTCAAGTAGAGGTGCATCTGGGCTAGGATACACTGAACTGAGGAAAGTGTCCTCCTAAGACACAGTGGCCAAATATTTTAGTTATAAAGCTCTCCAAATGAGCATATTAGAAGGATTCGTGTTTGTTTTTTTGTTTTATTATTTATTTTATTTTATTTTAGTTTATTTTTATGAATAGTAACTGATTGCACTGATTTGAGTGGCTTATTTTATTTTGAGTGACTTTAGCTTTTATTCAATTATAATATAATAACCTTGTCAAAGTGTCACAAGGTGCATTAGGTAACCAAGGCATTTTCTAAATGTGGCAAAGGAATGGCTGTCTTCTGACAAAAGAACAGTACCACACAAGGATCAATTTTCTGTTTTTCAAAAATTGAGTACAAATCTTTCCTCAAAGAGGAATGCAAACATATCAAGCCAATGCAATAATTTTCTAAAGACTACTACTAGTGACTACATAGCACTGGTTTTTGATTGATGTTAAAACAGCATTGAGGTAACAGTAAGACCCATGTACCAAAAGAATAGTGTTTGTGTAGGAGCATGTAGCTGATGCTGACTTGAGTCTTTACCATCTCACAGCATTGAGCTCCTAACCTGCACTTAACTGCACCTGCGACTTCAGCTCTGTGTCCACGTGGAGTCCAGTCACAGTGCAACTGGCATTACCTCATGCACCCACAATGCCAGTCATCCCTGTAATGGCATGCTGCTGGGGTGCAGAGGGACCTGTCAGGGACTGATGGGAAGAATTGCCTGCAAATCATTAACATGGGTCACCCCCATGTCACAAAGAAAAAAAAAAACAGCTCTCACTTTGAACTATATATAAGTGTATTGCCCTCAAATAGCTTTCCTCCTCTTAAAAATTGTTAGTGCTATCAAAGCACATTGTTTAGAGTGCTTACTGCTCACAGTTATCTTTGTTCACCTGTCAAACAACAGTGAGTCCTATTAGCAGCATATAAAATGTATATAGCTCCAGTATTATGCTAATACATGCTAGAGAGCCAAGATCAGTCAGACTCACAAGCTGTCAAATGTGTTCCCTGAAATCTAAAAATGGACTTACTTTTTTGTGAAATGAGGTCACCTCATAAGAACATATCATGTAACCAAATAGTATATATATTTAGAAAAGCTACATCATCCCTTTGCTTGTAAAACAAAACAAACACACAATATAATAAATTATAATATGACTCCCTCCTAATACATTCACAGTTGAGCCAGTCATTTTAATGGGCTGTATCCCAGGTTTAAACTATCAACATTTATTGTCATTAACAGATTAATAACACACAAACTGCTATTACTTTGCACAGGTGTTATTGGTTTCAAATGATGTTTCAACCGGACAATGTTTCAAATATGCCATCATATGACAATACTACTCTGTATTAAAATATTTAGTAATTCTTTCTCTATTACATTGTTTAATGAGCTATGTTATAATGTTGTTCAATAATCAAAAACATACCTGGAGGTTTGTTTCATTCACATGTTTAAGACAAACCCTACATATTTAGGCTAAATTCTTCTCTCAAACAGAAAACACCCTGGAATTGCCCATCTTTACTGAACTATAGCTAAAAGGTAGCTTAAGTTAATTTGAACACTACCAGTTCATGACATCACAAGGTTAACCAAACATTTTGGACTTTGTAGAGCTTTGGAGACTCAGACATAAGTGAATGAAACAAAATTCATCTTTTTGATGAGGTAACAACATTATAACATAAAAGCTCACATGAGTCAGTTTTGGTAATATGGGACCACATATCAGTCCGTTCATCAGTTAGTTAGTGGATATTCATTCAAGTATTATTTAAAGCATTTATAATGCATATTCATATAATAGTTAAATAATGTCCAGTAACATTCATATGATGCAAAAAAGAAAACATTGATATATTAAAATAATAATCTGCACCTCAGTCACATATGAGCAGGCCAGGCCTGTTGTAGACATCCATACGATTGTTGGCTTGCTTACTTGTCTGGCAATGAGATACTGTATTTTCATTTGTCTCCGCTAGGGGACACTGTAAGCACGACATTGGTTCATTTAAAACAAATTGTGAGTCTGTGATCTAAACGCTTTTTGCGTCTTTAGTTTTAGCCCGTGTTTTCCAACAGTGCTTACGGGTTTATGCACTTTTCAGCCCCTGCTCTGTCGCGCGTCTCTGTTTTCTTTGCCGAGTACTCTGCTGTGTGGGCGTTACAATACATCATTTCTAGTTAAGGTTAATAGTAGGCTTAAGGTACATGCACGTCTACTTCTCTTAAGTGTTATTTATGATCACTGGGCTATCTCTGTTGAATTAAGGACTTTATCATTTCATTCATATTTCATACAAAGTCTGTACACATCAATCCTTGGACAGTATACACATAATATTCATAAGCAATTCACTGTTTTATTTGACCTTTCAGATTTTTAGGATTTTAAGATTAATTGTTCATCTCCCAAATGTAATGACGAATGAGGACGACGAGGTGTATTAGACTACCTCTGACATTTGAGTAAAATACAGTAATTAGAATTAAGTAAAAAATAGTCGAGGTTGCATTTCCTCGATTTCTCCACTAGGTGGTGGTACACACAATATTATGAAGTCCGTCCAGTTAATTTTCCACTGAGACATGCATTTGGAATCAGAATCAGATTAATACTTATTGCCATTATCGATGAACAGTTTTTCATAAACTAGGAACTTGCTTTAGCGATTAATAGCTTACTTTTAGGAATAATTCTGAATGAAAAGTTGTTGGCGAACGCCCAGGAGGCATAAGCCCATGTGTTTGTTTATTTATTTATTTCGATAATTTACCTAGCAAGCCTCTTATTGCTAAAAGCCTGCACTAACCAGGTTTTAATATCCGTTGATTTTTACAGAAGGTATTATAAAACATTTCATGTGCACATATGCTGAACACTTTCTTTCAGGTGCCACAAGGGGGAAGCATAGATTATAATAAAATAGTAAATCGATTGTGTTTGTTTGTTTGGTATTCAGCCTGTGTTTAATGTGTTTATAAGGTCTGTGTGGGTTCAGAAAACGGTTACCACAGGCAGAGGATCCCATTTAGAGGTGCAGATCTTCAAACTAAAAAAAAACACAGGGGAACTAGACTGTATTTTCCTAGAACACCATCCAAAAAAAAAAAAATCAAAGAGTTTTGTGTCAAATCAAATGCCAAAGACCTTTTCCCAATCAAACATCTTCATCATGAAGCTGGTAGGCTCCAGTGGGTCCTGAGTTAACTTAAACACTTCAGGGTCTAAAGATAAATCAGTTTTGAAATTAATTTCCCTAAGAACAAAGTTCTATGATGACATTTCTTTGAAATTGTATTCCGTTGCTATACAGAGTACAGACACATAATGTGACCGTGAATTTCAAATGTCTCAATTGAGAGTAAGCTAAAGAGGAAGTTAAACTGCAAACATGACTCTTTGATGCTGTACTGACCTAAAGTGACCCCACTATTTTCACTCAACTGAGAAAAAACATCTATGACAAGCCACAAGAGAAAATATCTATGACAAGACACTGTATTATCCTTGGTAAATACAAAATTACTGTCTATTTTATTCTATAGAAATCTAAGAACCACTTAGATACATTTTTAGATATTTTATCTTGATCTTTGATTCCATATTATTTGTTCTTGTTCTTTGTGTCATAATGTTGAAATATCCCCATTGTCAGACAAATAAAGGTTGTGTTGAAGCGGTACTAAATACTGCATTCACATTTTTCACTACTAAACTGTGTATATTAAGACTATTATCTCATTTTTGGTGACTTTAGTGCAAACTAGATAGTTTTGCAGCTTTCTGGTCAAAAATGTCTACATCTAAGACAATGCAATTTCCAGTAGTTGGTGACATCATGAAAGACTGCCCTGATTACAGAAAGGTGTTTCTGATTCCAAACACCTGTCAGCAGGGGCAAAGTTTGACATGTTAGACCGATCACACTGTTCTTCATATACCTAGACTGCACCCCTCCACCCCACTCACTCTTTTCTTTAGTCCTCCAGGCACTGCCCAAGTTAGGAGATTTAAAGGTATAACTTTTCTGGTGTAGGGTTTGTCAAATGCTTTTCTCCATGGAAATGTTATTGCTTTGTCTGGAATGTTTTATAGCATGGTATTAATTCTTTCTATCTTCATGGAGACCAAACCAAACCAAGTTACAGGTCAGATCTGTGGAGAGGCAACCCAGCTTACACTCAGAATGCTTGTTTTTCTAGGTATTTTTGGACTATGAAACCACTTGTAATTAAATACATGTAAGGTAAAACTGCTTAATGTTATACTGTGGAATATTTCAGGCAGAGCATTGACATAGCCATAGAAACAAGCAGGTGACAGACCCCCAACTGAAAAATTACATAATTCATCTTTAATTTAGGCTATAAGATATTTTTTTAAAGAAACCACAAAACACTTTTGAAATGATAATATTACATTATCTATCTTGATGAGCTAATGTACCTTGTGCTATATGTAATGTTTTCTGTGTTGTGGAAAGTTGTAATATCTGGGATAAAGAAACAAAACAATTTTGAATAATCCCTGAAAAAAAGAATAAGATGAGCAACAACAATAATAACAATCTCATGTTTATGTTAGCAAATGTAGTCACACTGTAGACTCACTGTGGATTTAGCATTACAACAACAATAAAGAGAAAGCTTATGAAATCAAATGTCCAGTTGTGTTTGTGTGTGGTCTTGGTAGGACCTGCAAGACACTGACGTCAGACCAGAAGAAGCAGGATGATCCGACGCAACTAAACTAAAGATGCTCAGATTTCCTCCAAGTATTGCTTTCTCAGAACATGCTTGTTGATAAATTTAGTCTACTAGCACAACTAAACATGCTTTGCCTTGCAGTAGATACTCAGGCACTTACTAGATAAAGGTAAGACCTCTGGAGTCAAAGAGAATTTTTTTTTTTTCAGCAAACATCGACTAAATAATAACTACCAACTACTTATTAAAATTTGAAATTATAAATTGCTTTTCCAGATTCAAAACACTATTTTAAAAGAAGAATTTCGAACCAAACAGTATGGAGTCATGACACACATGGAAGATCAGAATGACTACAGCAGCCAGAGTGAAGATGACAGTCCCAATGAAAGTTGGTCCTGGGTAAGAACACAAAACATCCAACATAACTAAATGCATTGCTTGTTTTACTCATGATTATGGTGATATTAGTAAGCAGATGTCTGCAGGTTCAGTTTTTTATAATGACATTTAAGATTATATGCAATCTTGGATTCCTTCATTGTCCCATGCTGATATTTTTTTTACCTTGTGCTATGTGTTAAATATGCCAAAAACATTTTACATCATAGAAATATTACATAACAAAAGCACCATACTGAGCCATTGAGTCATTGCATCTGTGGGGCCCCGACACTTCTCTTCCTTTAAACCTAAATATGACTGCTGTTAATTCACTTAACTTTATTGTCACTGCCCCTCCTGTCTGGATTATCAAAGACAATTATGGAAGAATACCTTTGTCTGATATGTCAGCATCACATCAAGCGTTATTCAATATAGTTATTAAGAATAGATACAACACATGCTGAATCAAAGATTTTGTAGAAATGATAGTTTAAATGAGACTACTGGGTGAAAAAATCATTTAATAATAAATAATAATAATAATACATTTTATTTATATTGCACTTTACATAAAATAATCTCAAAGTGCTACAGGTAAAAACAATGAGTAAAAAGGTGCATCGGAAAAACAGTGGATCAAGCTAAGACCAATTTGTATTGGCTAGACACTTTACATTCAAATAAAGCTGTATTCTGTACCTTATACTGACAAAATAACAGCCAATACCATATTTTTATAACAGCTCAGCATGTTCTGTGGTAAGTCTCCTTACTGGGGTGTGTTTGACAGGTCACTTGTGATGTATGCCTCAAGCTTTTCTCTGATTGGCTCTTTTGGCCCATCCCACCACAACACCCACATAACCATGGTGACGAAATGAATGCATTCTTGACCCCAGAGTTCCTGGGATAGATCAGGCTAGCCTCATCTCAGCAAACCACCTTCTTCCTTCCCCTCTCCCTCTCACGTGTCTGACATGAGGCAGGCACAGAAATCAATAACTCAAGTTATATAAACAAAATTATTACTCACTACACAAACAAATACTATTAGACCACACGCATGAAGGAATACTGTTGAAGTTCCTGTTCTTTGTCCAAGACCAAATACTGCATACATAAATATACATTTTAAATAGTCAGTAACTCTTTGTCTCAGCTCCAAGCCTACCTAAAAAGAATGGGTGGCACTAAAGTCAAGGCAGCATGCCAATGCCTCATATGGTGTCATGCTGGACAGGCCATGCAGCACTAAACATGTATATAATAATAATAATAATAATAATAATAATAATAATAATAATAATAATAATATAATAATAATAATAATAATAATAATAATAATAATAATAATAATACAATAAATATACCAATCATAGCAAAAGGGAAATGAAAAGCACTTAATATATTTCTTTCTATTGTGATGAAAAGTATGTAAATGTCTTAGTTCGAGGCATCTTTACTGTATTAGAAAAAGTGTAGCCAGTTCTCACCCTCAGTCACCACAAAGGCTCCCCTTACAGCCCCTCTCCAATCCTCCTCCCCTCTCGTTCTGTCCCTCGATGAAAGCTTTTCTAAGAAACCCGTGACACGTGCTTCCTTTCTTGCCTCGTTCCACATATGCCTGTTTGCCACTGTAAATAGGTGTGGTCATTATCAATCATAGTAAATAGTCACATGATGCACATGGTATGCACTGTACAGTAAAATGATTGACAGCTGAAAATGATCCAAATGGCTAGAAACTATGGCCAAGCGATTTGTAATAAGGAGAATTTGGAAAGTATTTGAAGTCAACAACAACAATAACTAATAGTGTGTATGGTTTGAGCAACAGAAAACGGTTTTGCAATGAGAAAAGAATAACAAAAAGGGGGAACATAGTGGGCTGTGGCGACTGCACAGTTCCTCGAATCAGAAGGAAAACATGAGAGTTCGCTAAGGGAGAGTGTGTGGAAATCTTTTGTTTGTGGTGGGCTGGACTAAGGCAAAACTCTGCGAACCATGCACTAAATCACCTTATATAACCCCACTTTAATCTGATTATGCACACGAGGCAAGAAAGGATATTACAATACATTAAAACTGCCAATTTAATTAGAATGTCAAATGTCTAAAGATACACTATAATGTACTTAACTATATACTGAATTTCATGTAGATGAAATATTGCAAATTGTAGGAGTAGGGTTAAAATAAGATATGCTTCTTTTTTTGCCTCTTTCTTACAGTTTCTTTCTTTATGTGTCATATGTACATGTTCTGAGAGTATGAAGAAAAAAAAAATCTAAAAAAATTAACTCTAAATTCTAAACTCTGTAGGAACAGCAAACATATCACTTGCAAGAAAATATTTATGCTGAGTATGACTAGTTCATGTTTCTAATCTGGTATGTTTCTGATCTTGAGTCTGTCACTTCCCTAGTCAACATAAGTAAATGCATACAAATAGAACTACAAAATCCTTCACATCAAATAGCTGAACTGTAAGGGAACAGGTGACTTAAGATGTACATACTATAAACAGATGATAGGCCTCCAGTTCATTGCACAAGATGCTTCAGGACAGGCTGAATGTCACTGCTATTCTTGTCCCTGCCTTTGCATACAAGACATATTACATTCTCACAATATACTGCAAGTGCAAAGCAGTGTCTGCTTTTAATATCTTACACTACAGAACTTTTTTCTGATGGAGAGTCGGCATTACAGGGTCTGGATTACATGTACTAAATTTGAAATGCCTTCATTGATAAAAAATAAATTAATAAATAAAAAAATTGCAAAATATGTACTTTGACTGTGAGCGGGCTTGCCTCTCCACAGATATGACAGATATGACTTTTAACTTGGCCAGCCAACTGTTTTTTTTTTTTTTTGTTTTTTTTAATGTCACATTTTTAACCAATATTTGGGGATTTTGATCGACTAAGAAGTGCAGCTTGTTCAAGGGACAGAAGTTAAGGACTACAGGATTGTGTGATTTGAGCGGTTTGTTTTTCCCGTGTCCATGGTGACTGCTTGGAGACAGCTATTCTAGCCAGCTAGCTCTGAAATGTTACAGACTTTTTACACCAATGCAGCGGGCTTTACAATATAGCAGAAGACGTTGTAGAGGAAAACTTCAAGGGAATGGCATGTTTCATCACCGACAGATACAACAAAGCGAAGAAAGAGTGAGGCTTGAAAGAGGTTTTCCTGTTGTGTGTCAAAACTTCATCTGACTCCCCCTGGAAGCTGCTGTGATGCTGCAGTACACACAGATGTTTCCCAGGTAGTTACCCTATGACAAATCTTTTGAAGAGCAAATTTATATGCTATTGGCAACCAATAGCATAACGTTATAATCACTGGCTTTCGTCTTCGAAAACATGATTTAGCTATAACCAGGCAGCTCCTTCTAATCTAAGAGACAAATGTGATTTGTTTTTAATTTAGGCCTATTATTCACAAAGGCTACTACTACTTACTAGTGATAATTAATAAATATTTTTCTACGAAGTGGGTACTGCGTTACCCGGACTAATACATAGACTGTGTAAAAAGTCTAAGGACTATTATTTATTTATTTATTATTATTATTATTTAAGTCTAAGGACTAATCTGAGGTGGATGTTTTAACTGCACCGTCACGATGCAGCAGCCAATGGCGCGCGCCGTTCGTGTTGTGGCGCTCACTGTGGGCGGAATATGTTGACTGTGCTTTAAATAGAAAAGACAGGCTCGAGAGAAGACCCCATAACATTTAACAGTGTGTCTTTTTCACGTAGTGAATGTCAATAGCACCTTGCCGTGTGATGCGATTTGGAAAATGACTAGTGACGAAATACACCCTTGAAGGACATTTGGTGGACACAGATTTTATGGCGAAAAGAAACCAAGAAGAAGAGTGCGGCGTAAATTGGCCTAAATAACGTAAGTAGGAAAGAGAGCTGGTCTGCTGTTAAATTAATGCATTTTGTGTTAAATGAAGCTACTGGTTGTAATTCTTGCGGTGGATCGTAGTTGCATTTTCTTGCGATGTACTCCGCTATGAATGGGCACAGGGCTACACACAGCCTCACCCCGTGTGCAGTCTACTGTTTACATAGCCTATTCCCGTAGGTCAAACATGGCACTACGACGATGAAGCTTACAGCTAATAATTAGGCAGGAATTTAAGACAATGAGAATCGGATAATGCTTTATGAAAAATAAGTTGATTGTGTTTCAGAATATTAATGGGATGCTGCTGTGATGTGGCATTAAGAAATAATCACATCAACATAGTGAATTTGGTAGGTTATGCTGCTGAGTGTGTACAGCCATTGCTAAACCATTTTATGGTGTTGTTCACTGTGTTATGTTGCAGTAACCTGAGAGGTAGGTAGGTTTCACACCTTTAATAGACTATGAATAAACCGCTTACAGATGTGAGAGTATTTCTTTGCATTTTGCAACAAAAGCTAGATACATCCCTGGAGGCATTAGGAGGATTTCAAAGGTTGGAATTTTAGTAAACAATGCAGCAACTGCAATGAATGGCCAAGCATTTGTGCCTTGTGATAGGTTATTACATAATGCAGAGTTGTGATTGGCTGTTGTGGGATGTGTCCTGCTCCTGTGTGTCTATGAATGGTCCTGTTTGTTCACACGTGGCCTCTGTTGACAATTATATCAAGTTTGAGGTATGTTCACAAGTGTGTGAGGTGAACACAATAACAGTGCTTTGACAAAGAGGTCCGAAAGTTTCATAACCCTCAAGGTGATGTTCCTCAGAACAGACACTATTAGAGCAATTTAGGTCAATTTATTTGTTTGGTTGACCTAAATTTACCTGGAAGGACACATTCATGGTTATATACAGTTTATTTTGTTTGTTCTACTTAATCATTCCAATACACTAGACAAAATTTCTTCAGTTCTTCAATAAAGCAATATTATTTTATTATGATCAACACAGTATGATTGTGATAATTTTGTTATTGACATTAAAGGAAACACAGTAACAGTGTAATTTTCTTCTTCTTCTCCAACTTTATTTTTATTATAATTTTTTAAAAACTTTTCTATTTTTACCATTAACGATGGGCATTATTTTCATCTCCGTCCCATGTCTATAAATGCCCAGTGCATCAAAATCCAGTGAATGTGTTTCCCTGGCTGTGCCTCTTCTCACTGCTATGTTTGGCATTCTTGACACAGCTTTAGATGGGCACAGCATCACATGAATCTCACATCCCCAACTTATTCCACTTCTAGAAATCTGTATTAAATAATTGATGATAAGATTTTAGTTTAATGCATTTGTGCATTTACTAAATTGTTTCAGGTTTTAAAAATGTCAGTTGGTTATTTTGGTCAAGGTCTTTTAGTTCATTCTGGCGTTGCTGTTGAGGCAAATTACATTGCAGAAACAGCTTAATTTCATCTATTTATTCAACAGGACAATGTACTGTCACTCACAGTACAGTCACACCAGACATGGTGGCTGAGTGGCTAGCACTCACACGTCACAGCAAAAAGGTTTGCCCTGGTCTATCATGTTGGTTGTTTCTCCGCGTGTGAGTTTCCTCCAGCACAGGTAATCCTGGGCAATCCTAGCAAAAAGATCATGGAGATGGGTCCCCAAGCACCACTGTGCTCACTGCTCCCGAGGAGATGCCCCAGTGGCATTAATGGATGGGTCAAATGCAGAGAACAAATTTCTTTATTGGGACAATAATATGTATCTTAACCTTACTACCCAAGGACAGAGTTTGCTAGCACCAGACTCCAACTTAGGGAGCTCATTTCCATCTTTAGCAGTGCTTAGTCCTTCTACCAGTGTTTAACTGACACAGGTCTGTGCATTATTTTTTAAGTGAATCCCCTCTTTTTCTTCCCATTTATAGCTGCAGACCATGAACTATGTGGGGCAGCTGGCGGGCCAGGTGTTCGTGCAGGTGAAGGAGCTGTACAGGGGACTTAACCCTGCCACATTGTCCGGGTGCATTGATGTGATAGTGGTGCGCCAGCCTGATGGATCCCTGCAGTGCTCCCCTTTTCATGTTCGCTTCGGCAAGATGGGGGTGCTGCGATCCAGGGAGAAAGTGGTAAGATGACATACTTTTTAATGCTCTCCTAGTTTAATGTGTTTGTTTTCAGTGGTCATATATACCATGTTTTGTAGGTTGATATAGAAATCAATGGAGAGCCTGTGAGTTTGCACATGAAACTGGGCGAAAATGGAGAGGCATTCTTTGTCAAAGAGACTGAAAACACATTGGTAAGTGGCGAATAATAATGTGGGATTTTTAATGAACAGGTAAATCCAAAGGCTGATGTTACTCTGGGAACACATTGCTGAGCTGTGTTAGTCTTTTGTTTTCATCACAAACTAGGAAGAGAAGAACATAGGAACACAGTAAAACTGTGGATAAACCCAAGAAAATATAATACAGAGTGCTGGAAAACTTGACTTGTGTAGGGAAAATGAATGGCTCCAATTACAATAACATCTATGTACAGAATAGCCTGGAGAATCACAGAGTTATTTATAGCTTTGCTGGCCATGGTCAACAGAGGCATGACTGCTGCTGCTGGTGTTTTCTTTCTTACACACATCACAATCATAATGTTCTCTTAGGGTTAGTCAAATCATCTGCAGAAATGCTTTACGCTGACATCTTTAAAAACACATGCCATCCTCTTAAAAACTAGCCTTACCAGCAAGATGAATTCTCACTGTTTTTGCGAGTTCCCAAACTCTTGACTGAGATTAATATGTAGAACTTAATTCTACAGATGTCAGAATTGCTACACATGTCAGTCTGGTGAAAGCCAGGTTCATTTAAAACAACAAAAAGCACTATTGAGAAATCCTTGGCCTGAAGTGTGTTTTACTTTATCTCTGGCACCTATCCCCCATGAGGTGCCTCAGAATGGAAGGTCAAATCTGCAGATTTGTTTGGACTTGTGCGTTGCCAAATAAATCCTGCACGTGAAACATTAACCAACGTCAGCACCATGTTCTGCAGACCTCAAACAAAGACACTCTTCTCACACACGAACAATGTGGTCTGATAATTATTGTATGTAATGAAATGGTGTACTGCTAACTCCTTTGCTTTAATGTAATAATAATAATAAGTAATTTGATGTGAGTATTTTCTGTGGATTAATAAGGGAGGGCTGTGCTGAGAGCAGATGAGCCTTGGTCTGTTGACATTCATAACGTGTCTTCCTACGTGAATTGGGTTGGGTTAGTTAAGCAGAGTTGTGACACGTGCACTCTGAGGCATGTGTCATTGGGGATCATCTCTGTCTTTCTTACTGTGTCTGTCCATGCACAAAAATACTTTACTAATCCAAAGTCATAGAAACAGATTACAAAAATGCCATATAAATGCAATTTCTACCCCAATACTGTATGTACAAGATTTCTGTTATCTTTTTTTTGTGTTTTTTTACATTTTAATGCTCCTTCCCATCCCTCATTTGACAATTATGATGTACATTGTACATAAACATACTCTGCCTCTATATGCATATATTTATTTTTATTACCCCCTTTATTAAATAGAATGGCTAAACCTTGAAACATGAAAAAGGGGACAAAGTAGCTACAAAACAAATTTTTAACACAAGGAAATGAAGAGTAAGGTATATATCTATTTAATACAAGGAATCATCCTGATGTATCCTCTTGTAAATCCTGTTTCTCTATCACAGGAAATAATTCCATCCTACTTGGCCACATCCCCTATTATTTCAATAGGAGAGGAATTAATGGAGTCCCAACTTAACAGAACCCCTTCACAGCGCCACGGTAAAATACTTCATAAAATGTAAACAATTGACCAAAATCCCTTGTCTATTTATTTACGTAATACTTTTCTTTTGTGCAGACATCAGCCTTTGCAGCTCTCTGCCTGTTCAAAACCTGGGACCTCAGACTGATGGAGGGATGAGTAAGAAGAGGAGAAAGAGGAGGAGGAGAGTCCGACCTGGTGGAGGAGGAGGCAGGAAAGATGACAGTGAACTATCAGAAGATGAGGACATGTTCACCATTGACCTGAGTTCAGATGAGGACAGTGACATCACCAGGTATTTTCAAGTGTGGCCAGTGTTGTGAGTTGAATGCTAGATTATAATGATCTTTTTGTTACATGCAGAGATTCATCATGAAATTCAATGCAATAAAAGCAACGTTTAAATCCTTACTATAGGCAATAATGGTGATAAAGTGTTGTAGTGAGTTCAAATAAGACCATTTAAACCCATAAAGGGGTAGCTCCTCAACTGATGAACAAATAATAACTATTATAACTGCCATTTTTCATTAAAATCATAAATGGGATGTGATTAACATGTGAATAAAACAAACTTGACTGAGCTTTAGTCTTTAGTGGTTGTGCTGTTCATTGTCAGCATTAGTGCTTTCACAGGAATAAGTCAAGCAATCAGCAGTATACATGTACGTGCATGTGTTTGTGTGTACAGTGCTTTGAAAATACCCTGTTGGACTAGGGCTAGGGATCTGTGCTGTTCCCACAGTGTAACTCACTATACTGCCCTCACTGCAGGAAGTTTGGGTTTGTAGAAAATATCTATATTTTGAGTTATAAAATGTGAAATACTGTAGTTATTAGGCTCAACAGTATTTTATAAGCTCTCAAACTATAATACATAACAGTTCAGGTACACTCTTTTGTACATTTTGTATGGCCATTATGTCCATGACCTCAGATGGTCTAAAGCACTTCCTGCATTGATCCATGTATTGATCCATGTGCCCCCTGTGTTTTCAGGACTGGGTTTTGTGATTCTATTGCCAGTGAAAACAAAAACACAAACGGATCTGACAGGTAATTCATTTAACATGACTCCAAGCCATGACTCCAAGATAATAATACAAATGTCTCCTTGATCTTGCCACTGTATAGATAACACAGTTTTTTCTGCACTTCCCTTTGAATCCTTTCTCTGTTTCTGTCTTTTCTGGTAGTACTTTAATCAAGGACACTCTGTCCATCCATCCGCACTGTGGCCTTTCTATCTCTTGCCCTCAGCAGACTTCTCACCTGTCCTCTATTAGGTATCCTTTTCATATTGCTTTTAAAGATGTCTGTATATGTGTGTGCATACACAATTTGTTTATTTAAGTATTTTTTTCATAAATGTGGTTTCAACAGCAGTCCAGACGATTCACAGTCCTCAACTCCAAAAAGTGACTCAGAGATCTCAAACCAGAGGAAAACCAACCCTGAGATGTTGTGGACCTGGGGAGAGCTGCCGCAGGCTGCACAGGTGATTACAACTGTCATGTTCAAACTCACAGTCAGAAATATATTTTCTTTATGTCTCTTTATCTATACTACTCCCATATTTAACATATTTATATTTTTCCCAGCCATCTTTTCTCACCGAGAACCAGAAACAAGATTCTACCTCAGTTGTGCCAATCCATGTGTCTGACAGCACTCACTTCAGAGCCATCAATCACTGTGAAGCCCCCTCCCTTACTGTCTACCCCCCTGAAACACATGAGCCACAGGACACCAAGGACATCACTTTGAAAACTGCACAAAATAGTACTGCAGTGCAAGGTAAATACAAGACTGTTCCAGGGATGGAAGCAGTTGTTAGTTGTACCCGGCTCATTATAATTTGAGTTAAACATTTTGTTTTCTGTGTTTAGAGAGAGTGGTAGAAAGCATTGGGGTGTCATATTCAGATATGGAAGCTTGTTCAATGTCTCCCAGAAGTCTTTCTGACAATCTGGACAGCGGAGGAGTCAGGGGGAGTCCCATCAGAAGCAATGATTCACCCTCAAAAAAGAAGGGTACAAACGACTTTAAGTTTAATGAAATATGTATTTTACGTCTTTGGTATAGAGTTTTCAGTTTGTTTGTTTTTCTTAGAAAAAAGAAGCCAACACTTGGGCACAGATGGCATTTACCTAGATGATATTACAGAGCTAGAGCCAGAGGTTGCTGCACTCTACTTCCCTAAAAGGTATCGTAATACTATGTTATGTATGACAATGAATTAAACTGTGAGATGAACTTTGACTTTTGTATGTAATTGTCTGCCGTTCATCAGCTTTGGTGTCTGTTTTTGTTGTTCCTTTTCAGTGATGGTGGCAGCAGCTCAGTGAAGCTGGACTCAGACATGCTAATATGCGTGCGCAGTGAGAACCATTCCCCACAGTCTGTGGGCAGCTGTGGAATGGACAGTGGTGTGGACAGTTTACCAGACCACTTCAGCGACCTGCCTCACGTGGCTATCTCTTTATGCGGAGGCCTCACAGACAACAAGGAGATCACACGAGGTATGGCAAACCAATGTAATGTCAGTGCATGAACTATATCAGAATTACTGTCTCATTAATATTCATACTGCTCATTATTGTTGTTTATGTTACAGAACAATTCCAGCAGAGGGCAGTATCTTATCAGCAGTTTTCTGAAAATCCTTCCATTATTGATGATCCCAACCTGGTAGTAAAAATAGGAAACAAGTATGTACAACAGTGAACAAAATATGGACAGTCTAAAATATTTTTTTCTGAAATTAATGTCATGTTGAATTTTCTAATATTGATTTTAGTATAGCATTTAAAGATGAAATGGTATATATTTAACTTGTCCTACTAATTTTCATTGTAGATACTACAATTGGAACACAGCAGCTCCTGTCATGTTGGCTATGCAGGTTTATCAGAAACCCCTGCCCCAGGTAATTACACCATAACAATAACTAAAACTAACAGACTAATGCAACAATTAAAATTTTTGAGGAGCAGAGTTGTGTTTAAGTGTGCTATTTTGTTGCATTACTTAAATAATATTATATTAACAGTTTCACTTTGGTTCAGTCTTTAAGATTAATTCAAAATGTACTTTTAGCAGTGCTACTCAATCATGGGGAAAATAAATTAACTGATGAAATTAAAATAGGATCCCACCTGATTCATTTGAATCATTTTACAGTGTTTTGACTGGTGGTGAAACCACAGTGAAATTCATGTTAAGTCAAATCTCACTTTAATAATGTCTTCTTTTCACTTCTCCTGTTTTTATTCCCATTTTATTTGCCTCACATTTATCTCACATTTGTATGATAAAGTGTTGGTGCTTGAGCTACATGTTCTCTGTTTTTGGTCTCTTCACATACTGCTTTCCGGGTCTTTTTGGACCCAGCCGTTCTGAGCATGTATGGAAAATTGTAATTTTACCTCAGTATTTCTCATGCAACTTACATTAACTGCATGTTTTCACATATCAACATGCATTTTTTTGTATTATTAATTACACCTTCTGTTGCATGTTTTTCAGTTTGTGTATGTCTTTGTGATATTTGTGCCTCATTTTCAGTCAGTTTTGAGTTATGTGCATGTCCTCAGGCTTCAGTGGAGAACATCATGAAGGAAAGAATGCCAAAGAAAGGTGGACGCTGGTGGTTTTCATGGAGAAGCAGAAACAATGACTCCAAATCAGTATGTCCTCAGGCAATTGCAGCACCATTATCTCCTTCACTAAACCTGTTTTTATTAAGTCACTGTCAATGGCTGTATTTTACAGGAGTCTGTCGCAGATGGTACAGATAGTGGAGAACAGTCACTTGCCATGTCCCCAATTGACAGGTTACTTTATGCATTTACAAGATAAATATTTTATGCAAGCAGATGTGATGCTGAAAATCAGTATATTTCTTTATATTTCTTTCAGGGTGAAAGATGACTCATCTAGTGATGAAGATCACAAATCATCTAATTTTGTGTCAGGATCTGTTCAGCCTGAACCTCTGAATACGTCAAGCAGCATCTGCTACAAGAAGACGCTTAGGCTCACATCAGAACAACTGGTGAATATATGATATTGAAGTATATTTTATATAATAGATTATATATATATATATATATATATATATATATATATATATATATATATATATATATATATATATATATATATATATATATGTGTGTGTGTGTGTGTGTGTGTGTGTGTGTATATATATATATATATATATATATATATATATATATATATATATATATATATATATATATATATATATATATATATATATATATATATATATATATATATATACATATACATACGTGTGTGTGTGTGTTTTCCACAGACTAGCCTGCAGTTAAAGGAGGGCCCCAATGATGTGGTGTTCAGTGTTACCACTCAATACCAAGGGACCTGCCGCTGCAATGGCACCATCTACCTTTGGAGCTGGGATGATAAGATTGTCATCTCAGATATAGATGGAACTATTACAAGGTATAGTAAATCAATATTAACATTAAAACTTCATTTGATTGGGGTTCAGTTGTTGTCTTCATTTGGTCATGGTTTGTTTTAATGATGGCTTTCAGGTCCGACACCTTGGGTCACATTCTTCCTACACTGGGTAAAGACTGGACTCATCAGGGTATAGCCCGTCTCTACCACAAAGTTAGCCTGTGAGTACAAGTGATAGAATGTAACACTATTGTCTGTAATAACTTCAGGAAATGGAAGTTGTAAATATCACTCATGTTTTTACAGGAATGGCTATAAGTTCATGTACTGCTCAGCTAGGGCTATTGGCATGGCTGACATGACCAGGGGTTATCTGAACTGGGTCAATGAGAGAGGTACTATGCTGCCTATGGGTCCAGTTCTGCTCAGTCCAAGCAGTTTGTTCTCTGCACTGCACAGGTAATGTGAGACAAGTTTGGAATTTAACAAAGACAATTTAATACAGGGAATTGGCAAGATGTAATTTTGCTGCACAGAGAGGTGATTGAGAAGAAACCAGAAAAGTTTAAGGTTGAGTGTCTTACAGACATCAAGCAACTTTTTTACCCAAACACTGAACCATTTTATGCTGCATTCGGCAACAGAGCAACGGTAAGGACAAAAAGAGGTCTAAACATGCTGCAAAATCAGTTAAAGTATTTTTCTAATTGTCCAAATGTTATTTCAGGATGTGTACTCTTATAAAGAAGTGGGAGTTTCCCTCAACAGGATTTTCACTGTTAATCCCAAAGGAGAACTGACACAGGAACATGCCAAAACCAACATTTCATCGTAAGAATCTGCGCCATTTATATTACTGGCTTTCATAAATCCTTTTTGAAATACCTGTAGAGGACTTAAATGGCCCACACTCTGAACAGTGAATGCTTTTTCCACACAGCTTTGGCCATTTGTGTGAAATGGTGGACCATGTCTTCCCTGTGCTAGTGCAAGATGACGGCTCAGAAGTTTCAAAGAACTTTGATCGGTGTAACTACTGGAGCAAACAACTGGATGATATGAACTCAGACGAGGCAGAGGACGACCTACAGACCATTGAGACCAGTTAAGGACAAAACAAACTAAATTAAAGGAACAGTGCATTTTAGAGTTTAGTTTCACATTATTTTTTACAGCTTAATTTAATGTTGTATGTATTTTAACAAATGAACATAATATTATCAAGCTTCTTACAGTACACAGTACACAGTATGCAGAGGATACGATACAATACAGTATAAAGAAACTGCTAATAACCAATGAATTAATGTATTACAAATCAATAGCTACTACCTTTAAAAAAATAAAATAAAATACTTGACATTGCAATTCCATGTTATATTGCAGTAACTTATTTCATAAAGCACTTCAGGAACATGGCAAAAATAATGCAAAATATCACAGAATGTCCCTAAATATTTTTCACGTTCTCTTTGACCTTTCTACTGTGAAACATGAGGTTTCAGCACATTTCCTTAGTATTAACTGGTTCTAATATTGATGAATGCAGAGCAGTGCATATGTATTTCGTCTTTGTGTTATGCCTAGATTAAATATGTACAGATATTTTGAATGTAGTTTATATACATTTTGTAATGCCTATCAATGCAAGTTCAAGTTTATATGTCAATAGTTGAAACAATGACAAGATGTTCTCAAGTCTTCAGTCTTTTATAGATGTGTAAAGAGAATCACTTAATTTTCAAAATTTTACTCGATGTAGATGTAGATTTTATATAAAATATACTAGATTTTATATTTTATAACAGTCTCGTAACCACTCTTAATATTGTGTTTGTTGAATTTGTTTGCATTTCTATGCATAGTCCAACTTTGTAATAGGAAAAAGCACTTGTCTTTATCAGTAACTCTTGGACAGCTAGCGTTATATTATTTTAAGTCTGTATTTTGCACTGGTTAAAATGTTTGTTCAGTTTTGAAGCAGTGGTGTTTTTATTGCCTGAACAGTTGATATTTGCCTACATACTACAATTATAAAATAATGCAATAACATACAATTTTTTCAATCACAAGAAAGGTCATACATAATAATGAAATATTCATAATATAATAATGTAAAGTGATGCGGGTTAATCAGTGATGTGCCAATTGTGTCTAACCTCATTTTGCTGTGAATTTTGTATATTATAGGTTATAGATTGGTGTTGTCTGTCTTAAATTAAGAAACACAAGACATTAATATTCTAAATGAACGGCACAATTTGTCACATGAATAAGCATGCATATGCATCCATAATGTAAAATGTGATTTTTCTGTGTCAACTTGATCTTTGCTGCTTCTGCTTTATCTTTACTGTTTGAGGAATCACTGCTCTTACAGCTTGTACAAAATGAGCAGAATTATGGCTTTCTCTGCTCTAATATCACGTATAGTATAAAACATCTTGCTTTTTGTTTGTTGTTATTTCAGCGCACAGTGTCTCAGACAGTTATCATCTTTTAGATGGTTATATGATTCTTTCAGTGAAAGATACAGCAAGCAATTGTTTAACCAGTCTGCAGCCTGTGTCTCCATGTTTTTAACATGTAAGAGTATAATTTTTAAAATTCTGGTCTTAGTGTGTTGTCAAAAATGTTGAGCAAATGAATCTGAATTTCTAATAAAGTGATTCCAAACATAGGTATCTGTTTTAAGATTTTTTCTGTCCAGTCGTTGAGAAAAGTTGGCTACACCTCTGTTTCTCAGGAAAAACAGGAAATCTTCAAATCCTCCCAAGTGGCACTTCCTCTTTTGCATCTTGTTGAATATGATATGTTTTTGCAGAATGAAAAATAAATGGGCTAGATTGAGCAATCAAATCAACAATACATTCCATCGTGCTTCCAGCAATGTCCAACAGAACACAGCACATACCTTGGAGGGGGTTTATGGAAGTGGGGGGCGGGGGAGGGGGGAGCGGTCACAGATACGTGGTTCCAGATGTGCGCAAGTCATGATTCCTCTGAGGTACGACCACTGGAACAGCGCTGAGTGAAACACGGTATGGCTCTATCAGTTTTAGTGTGGAATTAGCTACAAAATGTTTGAGACTAATGTTCAATGTGATGTGTTTGTTTGCTTGGTTCTGGAATACTATCTTGGGAAAACTAACTTTAGACCCATCGGATCTTTATGTTCTTTAAAGGGTCATCCTAATCATAAAGTATATGCGAGATTCTTTGCGCTTGTTCTTTGCACCAACGAAGCTCGCCTAAGTTATATTAGATTTTTTTTTAATTTGACGCCCTACAAATGCCTTTATTAAAGGACAAGTCGCATTCATAATCTAGTTGCCGAACCTATCCCAAAATGGCCAATAACCTAATCTTAAAGAAAAAGTAGACCTAGGCATCCCCAGATGTGCTCGGATGTAGCATATTGTTGCTTTTTAGTAAAAGTTAAATGTATGATACTTAAACTACCACTGTTACCATTGCTTCTAATGTAATCACCTAGCCTATGTAAATTATAGCATACACAGCAATTGTGCTAAAACCCTTTTCACATTAATATAAAACCATAACGAAAACAGAAAAGTTGTAACATCATCGTGTTCCATGTGTCTTCTCTTTATTTGCCTGTCTGTGAAGATGTCTGCTGAATTGTACATATCACCAAGACCCACAGACGGCAATGGATCAGTACAAACCACCACTACAGGAGGAGCCAAACCACTGCACCGCTTCATCAAAGGACAACCAAAGATAGTTGGGGTAATGTTATTACACCCTTTTCCAGAACAACTTTCCTGCCACTTTTATGCAATCTTCAACAATATTTTATGAATTGATTTCATTTTTTTCAGATCATTGTAATGGTTTTGGGAACATCTATTTTTACTGTTACTGCTGTGGTTGTAGAAGACAGAGACATGCACTATGTATGGACAGTCATCCCACCTGGCTTTCTACAAGGAACAATGGTTCATAGATTCAAAAGAGCATTATCTACTCTGCTGTCAAAGTAAAACATTGATATACATTTTTTTTCTTTTTTTACTTTTTTCTTTCAGTACATCATATGTGGAGTTCTGTATATATTAACAGAGCACAATCCAACAAAGAAAACAGTAAGTCACTGTTTTATCCTATTCTTGTTGAACCCACAAAATCAAATATTCATGCATTCAACTATGGCTGCAATGGTTAATCATAATAATTATGACTAATCAACTAATCTCTGAATTATTTGTTCATCCTTATCTGGACTTTACTGACTCGAAAACATACTGTCAAGCGATGATTTATATCAAAATCTTTGATAAATTAAAGAGTAAACAATTCGTGATTTTAAATTAATATACACTTAATTAGTTCATAAACTTAATTAATATTCTCTTTATTTTTCTACCTGTATCTGGTTAAAAATTTATTGAAATAATCTTGATTTGCAATAGAAAAAATTTATTTGACTAGTCCACAATTAAAAACTAATAATCACTGCCTAGTCAAATACTGAATTAATAGTTATGGCATCCTTAGATTCAACATTGTACCCAATAGAAAATGTATTGTAATTAATGTATTAATTGGGACCTATCATCAGGAATATATTGATATAGTGATCTATTGCTATTGAGTTTTCTTTGTTTGTTGTAGGTTACTATCTCCTTGGCGTTGAGTATTGTCACCTTACTTGGGACTTTGTGGACAATTCTGCATATCCTACCTGATCTTGCATATGGGCATTATGTTAGACACTATGAATATATGGAAGAAAATATCACAGATACTTTTTTTGCAACATTACAATATGAGGCAAGTATAACTCATACATCTTCTTTTTTTTTTTACTCTAAACTAAACTTTTATATTTCTTTTACCTTTCAGACCATGGGCAGGTGTTTGGAAGCAATTTTTCTGGTCAAGTTCTTAATGGGAGGAATAATTTTTGTTGTTATGTCAACTCTGGGGGGTATTGCCCTGCGTTCTACCAAAAATCAGGTAAAATACACATTAATATTGTTATTATTACATAATAGAATAAGAAGGATGCACCAAACCAGCTTTTTAAATTTCAGTACTGCTATTGATACTTCAGCTTTAATTAACACCTGCCTTGGCAATATTATTAATTTCCTCTTTGTTCTATAGGCCATTGTAGTGATGACAACTGCACAGACAGAAACCACTGTGGAATAGAAACCAGAATAAATACACCATCAATAGGTTTTGTATGTAATTCAAATTTCCTTTACAGTCTTCTAAAATTAACGATATGTTTAAATAATAATTACAAACACACACTTTAATTTCTTTATTTTAATATTAAAGACACAATATACATCATATTTATTACAACATAATAAAGTTTTAATGACTTTTGTTTTTAGTCAAGTTCTTTCATTTCAGTTGTTCAATATTTCAACCCTAAAGAGGCATTATGCCATTTGACAAAGTGAATATAATTATTACTCAAAATGACACATAGCTTAGTTGTATGAGCACATATAGGCAATTTCCTCTATAAATAATGTACTTGGAGTAATCAGTTGTTTCAGTGTGTATGTTTGTTGCTGCATTATTAGCAGATTGTAATGTGCCTTACTGGTCTTAGTACAAAAAACTATTTAGTCTAGTAGTAATTGTATATGTTGCTGTACAGAAGAGAATTTAAACTGAAGAGGCTGGTGGTTTTGGGAAGTCCATCCCGAGGGCAGAGCGCTGGTGAACACGCATGTGTTCTACCACACGGTACTGCCGTGAAAATGACATGGGACACTGTGGACAGGGGAATGGCCGAACTCCAAGATGGCTCCTCACATGTCTGTTCAGAGATCCTCTCTGGCTGAAGGAGCGCTCACACAGAGAGCACTGGAAGGTTTGCTGCACAGGTGACAACAAGTCTGACACATTTGGTTGCATACTAGGCGAAGGTATAAGATGAGAGACAGACATTGAAACAGTTGAATTGTGTGCACACTTTTTACCACAAGCAGAAGTACAGCTCGTCAAGATATCCACTCCTTCTTCATGACAATATGTTATACTATTATTAGCTCCTTTACTGTTTTGAGTCTTATCATGATCCTTCTTTATTTCATTTAAACCACCAGCTGCATGTGTTTCTGAAGTGCGTTTATAAGACACCAACGTGTCAGATGACTTAGAACTAATATCCAACAAAACAACTTGCCCTTCGTCTAATGTTGTAGTTGGATCATTGTCTGAAAATGTAGGGCTGAAATTGGGTGCAAATGATATGTGACTAGTCATGGATTCACAGTGGTAAAAAAGATGCCCACTGTATGAACGTTGAGTATCAGTATAAGCAGGCAGACACGTGTTTCCTTCTGGTGGCTCTGATAGACTCCTATATAATGTTGTTGTTGTATTTTTGTTTTCCAGCTGTGCGTTTTGTTCAGAAGTAAAGAAATAATCTGTGCAGGTTTCAGTCACAGCAGAAGCAGAACATGCCATGTCAGTTTTTGCTGATTTGCTGCTTTTGTCACCGTTTTCCTCTTTTAGTTTTCTCTTGGCATATATCCTTTTTTCTCTAAACCTTATTCTTGCATCCGATATTTCATCAACAAGTTTAGCCGCATTGTGAACTTGTGAAATACATGTTGTATTTTTTGTAGAAATTCCATACTGTTCATTTTTATTTGAGTCTTTCTGAAAGGTGTCAGGATTATTGTTCCCTAACAGATTCACACTACAGCTGCTGTCAGAAGCAGGTATGTATTCCACATCCTGGTAGTTGGAATGGAGATCTGAGGTCTTTGTATCTTCAGCAATGGCACAATATGTTCTTCCTGTCAGGGTCTGGCCAGTGCAGGGCTCAGTGTCATGAGGAAGTTTTATAGCCACATTTTCCTCATGCGCTCTTATTACTCTGCTGCTATGGCGGATAACAGATGTAGAACTGCATGAAGAGTTATGGCTCTTGTCTTCTCCTGAATTTGATTGTATTTCTTCAGCTTTAACGTTGTCATGTTTGCAAACATCTTGTATCCTCTCAACTTGGGTTGGTTTATTCTCTTGCACTTGAGTTGAGACAAATGGATGTAGTCTGGCCTCTTCCCGTTTGTTTCCTTGCCCAGTCTCTGGTTTTATGACTCCAGATGACTGACTCTTCTCCCTGTCTTGGCACACTGTTGACAGTTGTTGCTTTTGACCAGAGCTCCCTGTAATACAAGATGTCTGATCAGTCTCTGATATTACACAATTGAAGGCATCTGGTCTGCTTTTCATGTAGATACCATCATTCCAATAGTGGAGTGGAGATTCTGATGGGTTTTTAGAACAATCTATCCCAGGTGGTAATAAAGAAAAACTATGGGCTTCATCAGTTGTATTGTAATATTCCAGTGTATCTGCCACCTTAGTCCTTATAGTTAGTTGTAGTTCATCCATCTCCAGGTATTGAGCAGCAGCAAGCAAATACGAATAAAGGTTGTAATCCAAGTGTGGTAAAGTGCCAGTGTAGATGTAGTCCAGCAAATGTCCCAGGATGTGGTCAGATAAACAAGGGGCCTCCAGCTCTACAAGAATGCCACTAGAATCCAGAATAGAAGCAAGCACTGGGCTGGAGGCAGCCAAGATGCACCTGGAAAAACATTAAATTTATGATTAACCACATAAAAAAAAAGGTAAATGCATTGATAATAATGGAACAGTTTACAGGAGTTATAGCGGAAGCTGTCATCTGCCAGACTCTTACCTGTGCACAGGGTAGACCTGACCTAGTCCCTTCCTGATGACACAGTCACAGAACTGAGCCTGCGTTCTCTGGTGGTTTAATTTGGCCATCACCGAAGCAGCGTGCGCACAGTATTCCTCAATTGTGTGTTCCATCTGTGAAGTATGGCCACAGAAGTTAGAACTAGAGCCCGACCGATATGGATTTTGCTGTGGCCGATATGAAACCAATATAATGGAAGTTGGAGCTGCCGATAGCCGATATAATCACCGATATATTTAGTGATGTAAAAATTCACTGTAAATGTTGAATTGTTTAAAAAACTTAGGTTTGGCTCTGGTGGATTTTAAATTGGGTTTATTTAGGCAACATTTATTGTTATTCTGCCTCTTTACATCATATTTACAGACAGTAGGTTGACTTAATGGCATTTTTGCATCACATTCTAGACACTAGTGATGGGTATTCCAGTTCTTTTTAGAGAACCGGCTCTCTTTGGCTCGGCTCACTAAAAGCTGCTGGTTCTTTTGGCTCCCAAGTGGCTCTTCAGATTGTTTTGTTGCAAGCAGGACTAAAGCACGTCTAAAGCAGGACTGAATCAGGACTGAACCAGGTCTAAACCAGGACTGAAAAAGGACTAAACCGGGACTTATTTATTTTATGCTAAACTACAGTCAAATATGCTCGTTTTTTTAATTTATTATTTTTTTTAATCCTACGTACACGCAAATTTCTCAAAGTTTCGTTTTTAGCCGCTGCCGCTGTCAAACCACGAATCTGCACGCGGCGTGAAGAGAAAAAAAGTGAGAGAAAGAGAAAACACGGCTCCCAATAAGGATCAGGCTCCCGTCGTTCCCTTCAAAGAGCCGGTTCTAAGAGTCATTTCGTTCGCGACGGACCCATAACTAGTAAAGAAAGTAGAGCTATTAGCCTTTAGCCGTAAATACGTGCGCGCGCCGCAGTAATTAATTATATGCGCAAATGTCATAATTCACACGTCTGTTCACAGCTCATTTACATATCAGTGCAGGTCCAGTAGCAAATATACGGCCAATATAGTCACTTTAGAACAGACCAATAGAAAACAGTCTGTTTATGTGCGGGAGCTACAGCAGCTAACCCATAACAAATGACAAAAACTAGCTTCAGAGTCGACATATTTCCAGCACTCACCGCTCAAACAGGCTCCTCCTCACATCACAAATCTGCACTAATAAATGTCCTTTTAATCCAGACTCAAACCGATTGTCCGTAAAAAGAAAATAATCTCAATGTTTAGATCTGTGTCTGCGGGTGTAAACAAACACACGTGAGTGACGCGACTCTGTGGTGTGTTCAGGGACAGTACGGACACACACAGACAAATGACTCCGTAGATAAATACTGATGTGGAGCCACATATTAGGACATTTATCTGTCTGTAAATTGGATTAAATGAACAGAATGTAGAGAGTCTAAGCTTTATAATGAGGTATAACATGCCCACGTGAAATATCGGCCCCTATCAGCAAGCATAACGGCCGATAGCCGATATGCCTAAAGTTGCCCATATCAGCCGATAATATCGGCCAACCGATATATCGGTCGGGCTCTAGTTAGAACTATCTAGAAAATATCTGGATATACCTAAAGATGCTGCCTTTTCTCTGTTATTTAGTATTATTCATTCACAATTAAGGCAATCACACTTGCACACTCAGGACATCCCACAAAAATGGGATTAAAGTGGGACTTAACCCCATAACTAAAACTGGGCTAGACCTGGACAAAACCAGGATTAGAAAAGCATCAAATTAAAGGTATATCAGGACTAAAATGGGCTCAAACCAGGATGAAACCAATGTGAATGCACCCTTACAAATCCAATGCATCCTTACAAATTCAATGCCCTCTTACATATTCAATGCAATTCTTCAAAATGAAAAAGTATTTTAATATTTGTAAATCAAATTAGAAAAAAAACTAAAATGATATAATAACCCCCAAAATAAGGGAGTCAACAATTACAAAAGAAAAGATCACTTGCACGAAATAAATACCTAAATAATAATAATGATAAATATGGTGGAAGGAATATAGTTCAAGCTGTCATTGAAGAGACAGCCTCTAAGTATAGTCTAGTATAATAGAATGCATGTAATATATGAAATTGAATAATGTTTTACTCATGAAGAAAGTTTTATACTTTGAGTAAACTCAGCACAAACCTTGAAAGTTGCATGCAATGCCTACCAACTACTTCAGAATAAAAATAATAAAAATGTCCTACCTTCAAATGTTTTTGGAGCAGCTTAGTCTTAGTTCCCTCTGGTTGGAAAACTGAGTTTGAATGAGGACTAGTACTTACATGTGGTCTTTATAGCCTTGGACTTGTACGTGCTCATGCTGTCTCAGTTGGAAAACAATCACACGGTCAGATCCGGGAGCATTCTGTGACGTTGAGGGACAGCTGCTTACGAGGGGTACTCGTGATGTCACTCTCCACTCAGGCGGGCCAGCACCAGTCCAAAGCAACAGAGCAAAGAAGACCACTCAGAAGAATTAGCTGGGATGACTGGGAATTATATTAACATTTATATCTTTGGAAAACAGACATTTCATTGGGCAAACATCTCAGGTATAATGAACAATAGAAATGTTTGAGAATAGAAAGTGACCACTACAAAGAATCCACGGAAAACTAAAAAACATTTTCAGAAGCCACATAGATATTATCTATAATGATGTTCTGTAGTTTGATAAGGAGAGGCTTTCCTGGCCACTGTCCTAGTCCATGCCCATGACGATTTGTTGACTATTCCTTACAAGGTAGTGTCTCCTCCCTTCCGCACCATGTGCTTGTCACACCTCTTCATCTCAGGCGTCTCTAATATTACTGCCAAGTCTCCATACTGTGCGATGTGACCAGACAGAATTGGCAATGCTGCAATGGAAATACTCTCTAATAGCAGTTTATTTTAAGTAAGATATACAGTATATTCCAGAGTGTTTCCAAGCACATGAGAGACATTCTACACTCTACACTACACTACATATAAAATAATGAAATGGCTTTTTAAAAAAAATTTTGACCATGCATTTAACATGACAGAAGTTGGGTGCTTGGTGATATAACTCAGATATTGTACTCTTTTCCAGAAGAGACTGGATCTCTTTTGGCACACACCTACAAACTGGCCCCATATTACTTTTAACACTATAAATTTATCTTGGTGTTATCCAAGCTAAATTATTTCAGTCATACAAACTATCAATTGCAGCCACATATTGTACAAGCTACTACTAAATGGGCACACTCTTGCCCCTAAATCCCAGTTCAGTTACATAGCACAATGTGTATTACTTGACACAGAGAATTGACCAATTACCTCACAAAAAATTATTTTGAATACTAGTCAGTGATGTTTTTAAGGGTAGTGTAAGGGGTACAGTGGCTTTTACCATACATGGACATGCTTTCCTCTTTTGAGGTCTGTAATTTTATACTGCAAGTTGGCAACTGGCTAAAATCTTTTAATATCACAGACCTCTAAATTGTGCTGTGATTATATCCTATTTTGTAATAACACAAAACATTGAGTCCTATGACTCGATATGTCACACTCCTAACAAATATGCCAGATAATTTTATCATTATATTATTAAAGAGAAGTTGATGTCATACTTCCTACATCTAAAACATCAGGTTTAAATTGATGGTACAAATAAAAACATTTTTTTCTTAACATTTTAGATGATATAT